AGAGTCCCCAGTGCCTGGGACACACAAGTAAACGTGCTGACAACACTGGGTAAGAAAGTGCAGAAAACAGTCCACTTTGAGGTGGGTCAGAGAATGATTCCCAGGGCCAGGAACTTTGGAGCAGGATATTGGAGGAGGAACTGGAGTCTGGCCTGGGATGCACGAGGGGAGAGACAAGCAGGCACTGAGACCCAGGGCTCAGAGGGAGTGCACAGTCCATGTGCCAGCAACTGTTGGAAGTTCAGAGTGGGGGAAGGAGGGAGTGGAGGGTGTGGGGCAGGGGGCCTAAAAGCAAGCAGCCATCAGAAGGACTTGAAGGACAAGAAAAGTGCCAGAAAGCCATTGAAGTCCTTTAAGCAGCAGAGTGACCATGTCCTCTTTGGAAAGGTTCCTCTGGTTGCTGTGGGGAATGGGTTAATGGAGACCAGTTCAGAGGCTGCTGCAATCAGGGAAAGACTGGGGTCAGGGATGAGAGTGGAGATGGAGAGGATAATGGATTTGAAACTATGACAGCAGTACAAGGGACAGGGTCTAGGTTTCCCATAATAATCACAACCACAATGACAATGACAAAAGTCATAGTGACGCACAATAGCTCTGGTTTTAGTTGGCCCTGGTGAGAATCTTCTCTCCCTACATTTTACTTAGAAAATTTAAAACCTCAGAGGCTTGCAAGACAGTTTCCACAGACATTGGTATACCTTTCACTCAGATTTACAAATTCTTGCATTTTGCTTTTCCCCACTTGCCTGTGTGTTTTTCTTTTCCTGCTGAGCCACTTAGAATTTGTTGCAGAAATCACTAATCACTTTTAATAAGGAGATTCTTTTATGTAATTGCTATGTCATGACCTTATTTAAAATATATAATGTTGATATACTAGAATTTAACATAAAGTCCAATTGGCCCAAATAATAAAAGCTACTTCTTTTCACTAAAAAAAAAAAAAGAATGAATGAAAGAAAGAAAGAAAAGTAAAATCCACTATGCCACAAGGAATAGGCATTGTATTTAGTTGTTCTCTTTTTCATCATCCTGCCCCTTTCTTTGTGGTCAAGGTTTGAAGAACTTTTTTAAAAAAAGTGATGATCAAACAAAATATAGGAGGCCTTCTGTAATCAGTTCTACTGTTTTCTTTTTTTACTTGTTTAAAGATTTTTTAACTTTTTATTTGAAATTATTTTAAACTTAAATATATTTGCAAAAAATAGTAAAAAGACCATTTGTATTTTCCTCTAGTGATCAATTATTTACATTTTGCTGCATTTATTTTGTTGTTCAATTGTGTACAAATATATACTCATCTATTTTTTTTTCTGACCCATGCAGTAAGTCTCCCCTCTTGTGCATTAATACTACAGGATATTATCTTATATAACCACAGTGCAAGCACTGAAATCTAGAAATTCAACATCAACAATATACTATTCATATTCAAATTTATTTAACAGAATATTGTTTATAGCTTTGGAGGGGGGAGACACAGAATCCAGTCAATAAATACACATTGTACTTAGTTCTTGCATCTCTTATTTTTTTTTAATCTAGGCAAACACCTAGTTAATCCCATCCCATCTCTCTCTCTCTCTCTCTCTCTCTCTCTCTCTCTGTATGTGTGTGTGTGTGTATTTCACAACATTGACCTTTCTGAAGCTTTCAGGCCAGTTGTTTTGAAAAATGTCCCCTTGCTTTGCATTTGTCTGGGTGTTTTTCCATGAGTAGATTCAGGCCAAACTTGTTTGAATACTTCATATGTGATGTGTCTTGCTCAGTGCAGAATATTAGGGACACATGCGAAAATGTGCACTTAGTATGCTCTCTCTTTTTCTTTTTAGTCACTGTTTTAAATGTTAGTTTTTTTTTTGTAGGAGATGATTACATAAAATAGAGGAGGACTAGTATAGAGTTCTATTTCTTTTGCAAACTGTTGGGCGCAGCTGTTAAGTCTGATTGTTTGGTTCAGCTGGATTGGAACGCGGGCTTCCTTTTTTGCTAATTGGCTAAGTGGGTTATTGAGATGGTCTTCTCAGCTGTCAAGCGGGGATAATAATGTTCCTGGCTTCATGAGGTTGTTAAATTGATACGTTTAAGACAGATTTCAAAAAAGTATCTGGCATACTTTAAGTATTTGAAAAATAATTATTATCATCCCCCCCCCCCCCAGTGCTGGCACAAGCTAGTCAAGTCTCTACCCTTGAACTATGCCCCCAGCTCCTCATGGCTAGTATTTTTACCACAATTTATAGAGGACGTAATACCTACTGCACAGACCTTCACCACTCCAGACCTAGGGCAGCGTGTGCAGATAGGAAGCGTTCAGAATAAGCGTTCAGCCCTGTGATATAGAGTGCTATCGACGCAGTGTACCGTTTTACAAGATGAGCAAACTGAGGCTTAGAGAGGCGAAGAAGGTCATACAGATCACTGTAAGTGTCAAGAGAGTGGATTTGAACTGGATTGAGGGGAGAGGAAGAAACCTGGATGTATTTTGTAAAATCCTTAAGGGCTCTGAAGGCATGAAGAATTGAATTGGAGCGCCAGGGCAGAGTTCTGTGGCACATACATAACAGCAGGCGCTCAAAAACGTTTATTGCGTGAATGACGAACGAAAATAAGTCACCTGGCGTGAGCTCCTGTCCAACGTATGGGTGCGCTTCGGCGTAGCGGCATCAGAACCTATCCTCCCAGTGCTAGGACTAAGACCACGAGTTCATATGGGGATGTGGCTTGGGCTAACCCCGCCCCTCGCCTCTCCTGGCCTTCTCTGAAGGTCGAGGTGTTTTGGCCCGCGGGTGGAGCCGTAGCCCCCGTCTCCTCCAGGGTCCGTAACCCGGAAGCCGGAGTCCTGGATCCCTGAGAGTGCTCTGCGATGTCGGATAGGGGCGCGGGGCAGAGTGGAGGTTTGTCGGGGGCCCGAGCGGCGACTGTCAGCGACATCCAAGTGCTGATGCGTCGCAAGGAGGAGATCGAGGGGCAGATCAAGGCCAATCACGAAGTGCTGGAGGGCGTGAGTGGGGGCTCGGAGCGCAGCGGGCGTGGGCCCGGGAGGGCCGGGAGACCGGGAGGCGGGAGCCCCGCTCTGGCGCTGGCCGTGGGTCTTCCGCTCCCGGGGCGGCCCGTGGGCAGCAGGCAGTGCGGGCACCGGCAGCCCATGTTACAAACAGGAAAGAAAAGGCAGGAAGAGGTGGGGAGGTCCAGCGCCAGCAGCACCCCCTCTCCAGGATCTTTCCTACAAGTCCCGCCTCCTGCCCATTGTGTCAACTTCTCCTTCCCCTCATGGGTCCTTCTGCCCATCAGGAAAGCTGGGGACCAACCGCAGGCGCAGGCGCATCACTGTCCTGAATGAATTATTTTATGCATTCATTTGCTTTTAGCTAAGGGACTGGGAGAGAGCAGAGGCTGGGTGCTGGTTTTCTGTTTCTCTTATAACAAATGCCCACGGACTTCCTGCCTTAAAAGCACACAATTTGAGCCTACTGTTCTGGAGGTGAGAAGTGCAGATGGGTCTCACTAAACTCAAGGTGACTGCAGGGCTGGCTCCCTGTGGAAGTTCAGGGAAGGTCCCATTTCCTTGCCTGTTCCCGCATCAGGAGGCCACCTCTATTTCCCAGCCCCTGGACGTCTCCGTCTTGAAGACGTCGCATCTCCCCAGCCTCTGATTCTGTCTTCGCGTCTTTCTCTCGCCCTGCTGTCTCCTCTTTCACTTGTCAAGACCCCTGGATAAAGGGCTATCTCCCCGACTCAGGATCCATAACCATGTCTGCCAAGTTCCTTTTGCCATGGCAGGTCACGTGTTCACCGTCTCCAGGGATGAGGCAGTGAGCACTGTGGAGGCCATTCCTCACCCTGCCCCTGGTAGGCAGCGGTCGGTCTCTACCATGGACTCTCATTACAAGGGAATTTATCATCTATGCTTTTCACTGAAGGATTGCCCTTTAATCTGTTTGAACCCTGGTTTCATCTGCAGTATGCCCTGGTGGGACATGGAACCCCAGGGCTTGACAGAGCTGAAGACCCCAGTTCCCCACAGCCAAAGTAAGATAATGGGACATCTTTTAAGAGTGTCACTTGACTCTAAAGATTTTGGTAAAAGAAGAACTTCATTTGTAGATTAAAATAAATAGGAAATAGGAAGACACAGAGAAGGGGAAAGCCATGTTAATATGACCAGGCTTGAGGGAAGTTTGGGGACTTTGTCTAAACCTTTAGAGTTCCTGGGTTGTGGCAGTGTGCCTCTACATTAGGAGGACCCTGGGGAGATTGCAGGGGGACTGAGCTACTGAGCACCTGCTGACTTCTTTTTCTCCAGATGATTAGTTTGATATTCTAACCATTTATTAATAGTCCCCTCTTTCCTTCTAATTTAAAATGCTAGTGTTGCTACATACCACATTCTCACTCACGCTTAGGTCTATTCTTGGTCTTTTTTTCACTCTCCTATTGATCTATTCTTTGGGTGCCCTATGGTGCCATCTTAATGACTTTATTACACGTAAGAATCTGTTGAGCAATTCTTCCTCATTGGTTTTCTTTTGAAAAACTCTTCTCATAATTTTTTTTTTTTAAATAGTACTGGGGATTGAAAAGGGACACTTCACCAATGAACTATATCCCCAGCCTTTTTTTTTTAAATTCTGAGACAGGTATTTGCTATGTTGCTGTGGTTGGCCTTGTACTTGAGATCCTTCTGCCTCAGCCTTCTGAGTAACTGGGATTATAGACATGTGCCACCTTGCCCAGCTCTGTGAGATATAATGTTTCATTTTGTTTTGGTTCTAGGAACCACTGAGCCATATACTTAGTCTTTAATTTTTAATTTTAAGACAGGATCTTGCTAAATTGCCCAGACTGTCCTCAAACTTGCAATCCTCCTATCTCACCCTCCTGAGTTGCTTGGCTTACAGGTTTGTGCCACTGGGCCTGGCTATTGTTATTTGTTTTGTTTTGATTTTGGAGACAGGTCTCACACATTGTTTCTGTTTGTTTTGTTTTGGTACCAGAGGCTCCTGGAGGGTGACAGGCTGTGTCCCACAGATGCCAGATGCAGGTGACATTGCAGGTATGCCTAGGCCCTCTTTGAAACTCTTCAGAGGGATTTGTGTGAGCAGTTTGGCTTGACCAAAGAAGTGGAATACAGAGCTGTAGGATAAGTTGTTTTGAGGTTAAGAAACAGTTATCAAAATGCCAGTGCTATGCTGGACTAGCCTAATGGCAGGACTTGTTTGGCCTGGCTATTATTTTGAATTAGCCTTTTGTATTATAAAATCAGAGGATTTTCCCCACAAGCACTCGGTTTCCTGTTTTTCTAGAAAAATCAAAGCTGGCAACAGGATGATTGGGGCTGTGAACCCTGTCAGTCTGGCTTCATAGCCTGAGCCCAGCTAATGTGGGACTGCTCTGCCCAGAGTTAAGATCCTTCATATGGGTCTGAAGAGGTTTTTACACTTAGCACTGGCTGCCTGTTGCTCCACAGGAAGACAAGCCCAGAGTTCTCTGATTGTTCCACAAAGAAGCAGAATTTGTATATGGAATAGCACAGCTTTCTTGCTTTCTTTCTTTCTTTTTTTTTTTTTTTGGTTTTTGTTTTTGGTAAAAGTGATTGAACCTAGGGGTGCCTAACCACTGAGCCACATCCCCAGCCCTTTTTGTATTTTAGAGACAGTGTCTCACTGAATTGCTCAGGTTTTGCCAAATTGCTGAGGCTGGCTTTGAACTTGAGATCCTCCTGCCTTAGCCTCCTGAGCAGCCCAGCTGAAATAGCACAACTTATTTTCTTTTTTGTGTGTGTAATGCTGGGGATTGAACCCAGGGCCTTGTACATGCAAGGCAAGCACTCTACCAACTGAGCTACATCCCCAGCCGTGAAATGGCACAATTTTCTACAATGTTGTTGCAAACTTGTTTGAAACCATGCAGGCAAAATAAAGTACATCCGTGGGCCATATTTGGCCTATAAACCACCAAATTGTGGGTTTTAGAACTTCCCTTTGCATAAGCTGTGGGGATAGAAGGAGACTATTTTTGCATGGGCCTGGCCCCTGTCCATCTTGATTCTCTCCCATGTTCTTTTCATTTTTGAATTTCATGATCCCAGAAACCTTGGTTATTTTCTCTAATCTGAAAACAGAATACCTCAAATTTCCCCCATAATATTAACTCAGATTATTTTCCTTACACAGAGATCCACCTGTACTAATTCTGAGGTTACATGTTCTCAGGGAGGAATGTCAAGCATTTAAAGCAGAAGGATCGGGTGTATGGCGAATGCCTGTAATTCCAGCAGCTTGGGAGGCTGAGGCAAGAGGATCACGAATTCCAAGCTGGCCTCAGCAAGGTGAGGTGCTAAGCAACTTGTTGAGACCCTGTGTTAAAAAAAAAAAAAAAAAAGTAAAAGGTGGGGCGGAAGGGAGGGGGCATGGGTTAGAAATGATGGTGGAAGGTGATGATCATTATTATCCAAAGTATATGTATGAAGACATGAATTCATGTAAATATACTTTGTATACAACCAGAGATAGGAAAAATTGTGCTCTATATGTGTAATAATTGTAATGCATTCCACTGTCATATATAAATAAAAAAAAATTTAAAAAAAACACCAAAAAATGAAGCCCATCTAGGGATGTGTTTCAGTGGTTGAGTGCCCCTGAGTCCAATGCTTGGAACAACAACAACAAAAAAAGGCAGAAGGAAAAGGGACCCAATGCGTCCCCTGAACATCTCTTCTTTGCTGTGTGATTTTTTTGTTTGTTTTTGCTGTGCTTGGGTTTGATGGCACCCAGGGCCTTGTCCAGCACATTCTAGGCAAACCCTCTACTGCTGAGCTATTCCTCTAACACTGCCCCCCACCTTTTTTTTTTTTTTTTTCTTTTGACGAAATACTTGCCTTTCAAGGGTTTTAGGACCAATTGCCTCATTCTTTTGGAAGGGTTGCTGGTGGCTGAGTATGAAGATTTCTTACTGGGGACAAGGGCGGATGCAGTGGCATTGTGTGGGACATTGTGGACTGTCATGTGAGGGTGCAGGGTAGAAGCTGAGTGGCTCAGATCCCTCCTACCTGTCCTGTGTCCTCTGGTTGCCCTACAAGGATGGCGCCCTGAAAGTCCCTTCTGAAAGTCCCTTCTGAAAGTCCCTTGGCTAATTCTCCCCTCTCCCTTGTTCAGAGGTTTGGACACCAGGTAACCAAATCCAAGACGGTGCATCTTTAGCAGTCATAAAGCCACCAGTCATGATGCTGCCATCTTCTGTCCCACCTAGGGACCTTATCTCTTGCTGCTATCATTTTTTTTTTTTTTTTTTTTTGGTGTGTGTGTGGTGCTGGGGATTGAACTCAGGGCCTTGTGCATGCAAGGCAAAGCACTCGGCCAACTGAGCTGTATCCCCAGCCCTCTTGCAGCTGCCTTTACTTTCCATGGATTTCCCTGAGCGGCTCCCCATAGTCACCTTCTCAGAGGGGCTTTCCCTTGATTGAATTAGTCCTCCTCCCAACTCCACCGCCTCTCAATCTCAGACCTGCTTGATTGTCTTCTAGGAAACGGTACTACCGTCCTTTCCTCTAGATTGTAGGCTCCCCGTCCCCACGTTCCAGAAATCTCCCCACCCCTGCCACCCGACCAGCGCAGTCCCGCTTAGCAAAGCGCTTGCACCCTACCCCACGCTGGCTTGGGTCGCAGGGCGCAGGGATCCCCTAAGGCAGATGCCTCCAAGACGCCTCGGTGCTGGCGGCAAAGGGGCGCCACTGCTCCTCCCGGGCGCAAACTCCCGCACTGCATAGTACTGAGTGTGCTTTACTCCTTACTCATAAGGGCAGGAACAGATCAAGTAAGAGGGCGTGGTCGTGGGATAGGTGGAGCCTTGCTCCAGGAAGTCGTTTGGTGGACGGGGTCTGAAGGGAGATGCCAGTGGGAGGGTTGAGCATATTCCAGGTTAGGGGCATGACTTGTGGTGGGCGGGTCCTGTGTGCTGACCAACATCCCCGCGAACTACAAATTGGTGAGGTTGCCTCGGAGCTCCTGCGCATCCTCCAAAGCCTTGAACAGCGAGTTGAAGTTGCCGGCTCCAAAACCCTGGAGCGGGAGACAGCAGGTGAGCTGGGGACCCAGAAAGCCGATGATGCTCCCTGCAGTCCCTGCTCAGGGCCTACCTGGTGGTTGTGGCGCTGAATGACTTCCAGGAAGAGTGTAGGCCTGTCCTGCATAGGTTTGGTGAAGATCTGCAGGATGTAGCCTTTCTCGTCATAATCCATCAGGATTTGCAGCTCCTGGGCGAGAGACAGGGCAGAAAGCTAGCCTTTCCTTCTAGCCTGGCACGGTGGGATCCTTAGAAAGTCCAAGGGACCTGGGTGCCCCAAGCACCAAGAAAAACTTTTTTTCCAGCAATTCCTGGCCCCTTCAAATATATCCCCAAACTGTTGTGTTACCACCCTTCTGCTGCAGCACTTGCTAAGTAATCATCCAGCCAGGCCTGCTGCTGGGTTTGTCTCCTTACAACTCCATTCTTCCTGCAGTCCTCAGATTAGATTGTTTCACTCATCTGTTTAAAATGAGGCCCTGGCTTCAGTCCCCACTACCTCTTCCAAAACCCAAAAATCCTCCGTGGAAATGGGAACCCTTGCCTATTGCTGCGTGAATGTAAAATGGTGTTGAGTCAGGATGGTGCCTGGCATTTTGCCAGAAGGAGCGATTGAGAGGTGAAGCCAGGGAGCCATTAAGATGATGATAATTAAGTTAAGCTGTGTATAATTGCTGTGACTGGATGATGCTGGATTGAAACAGGCTGTGTATTCAGTTGTATATAGGTCCCTGCTGTCTGGCAATAGGGTGGCTCCTGCTGTCTCAGGCACCCGCTACTTTTGAGTTCTAGCGGAGTTCCCTGAGTTCCCATTGAGTTCTCAAGGAGCCGGTTGAGGGCGGGGAGAGTTCCTGGGGAGTGCGCATAGAGTGCCAGTGAGAGTACGGGCAATAAAGTATTTCCTGTTTGAACCTACAAGTGCCTCCTGTGGGCCAGACTGCGGCAAAATGGTACACCTATTTGAAACAGAGCCTGACTCTCTCTCAAAAGGTTAAACATAAAGTTAGCCTGTGACCCAGCAGCGCCACTCCCAGGCACATACTGAAGGGAAATGAGAACATACATCCACACAATACCTTGCACATGAGTGTTCATAGCAGAGTCATTCCTAATTGCCACAAAATAAAATTATATTATTCTCTTATGTGCATATGTGAATATGTAAACTTGAATTGCATTATTTTTTAATTTTATTTTTTAGATGTTGATGGACCTTTATTTTATTCATTTATTTATATTTTATTCATTTATTTATATGTATGGCCTCATACATGCTAGTCAAGTGCTCTATCTTCTGAGCCACAATTCCAGCCCCATGAATTGCATTTGTATAATTATAATGTGCCAATAAAAAATCATGGACTGAACTACCTAATTTGTGAAAATAAAACTAAGAATAGCCCCAAATTAGAAATAACCCAAATATCCACCAACTGATGAATGGATAAGCAAAATGTGATCCATCAGTGCAGTGGGATACTATTCAACCAAAAAAAAAGGAATGAAGTAGAGCTGGGGGTGTAGCTTAGTATGTTTGAGGTCCTGGGGTCAATGCTCAGCACTATACACTCAAAAAGGAATGAAGTACTGACATAGGCTAAAAGTAGATAAATCTTGAAAACATTATGCAAGTGAAAAAGAAAACCAGTCATGCTGGGCCCCCTAGTGCAGCTTCTTGGGAGACTTAGGCACAAGGATCACAAATTCAAAGCCAGCCTCGGGACTTAGTGGGTCCCTAAGCAACTTACAGTGACTTTGTCTCAAAATAAAAGATAAAAAAGGCTGGGGATGTGGCTCAATGGTTCATTCCCTGGTACCAAAACAAACAAACCCTAGTCATAACAGACCACATGCTGTATCATTATATTTATGTGAAATTCCAGACTAGGTAAATCTGCAAGACCGAAGGTAGTTTAGTGGTTGCCTAGGGTTACGGTGGCATGGGAGGAAGGAAGTGGAGGGGTTGGGAGGTAATGACTAAGAGGATCAAGGTTTCTTTCCAGGGTGTTGAAAATATTCTAAAATTGATGTTGATTTTGATTTTAGCAAATAGCGAGAGATAACCATTTAATATGAGTTCTGTACCAATTAGCTGTTAAAAAAGTAAAACCAAAAAACCTTCAATGCTTTGTGGCTAAAGAAGTACAAAACTGCATCCTAAGAGCCCCCAAGAGGAACCGGACCCCGCCTACTCTGCCTTGGTACACCTCTTCTCAGATGCTGTCTTCAATCCACAGGAGCCTTCCTCCTGCTCCTCAGGCACTTGGAGCTTGCTCCCACCCCATCACCTTTGCATCTGCTCTTCCCTCTGCTGGGATGCTCTTCCTAGCTTACCTCTTGGCCAGGTCCCTCTTATTATATAGCTTTCCATTAAAGTCACCTTCTCAAAAGTTCGCCACTTCCTGTAACGTAGCCCTAGGTTGCCTGTTTTAACTTTACATGGCACTGACACACACACACACACACTCTGTTCCTTTCTGGTTTTCCCTCTGTGTGCCTGTGTCTGCTGCAGGATGGGGGAGGCCAGATGGAACTCAGGGCTCACATTGCCTGTGGCCTAGCATCTTGCTGGGCCTCACCTCCAACACGTCAATGCTCTCCTTCACCCGGATCTTGGCTGTCTTGAGATTCTCCCGAAGTTGCTTGTAATAGGTTGATGGTACAGTCAGGAACTCCATGCCTCTCTCTTGCAAGTTGCGAATCTGTCGCAGAGCAGGTTGAGATTAGCCTTTGTCTTTCCAGGCTCAATGTCCCTAAGCCAGGTGGAGCTGCTGGGCCATGAGGAGGCAGGATCCCTGTCCTTGCTCTCCTGAGTGCCAAGATGCAAGTGGCCTCAGCCCCTTCTGTCCTTGTCTGAGTCCCATTAGAGTAGGGATCCATGATGTTCACAGAGCACCCATTATGTGCCTGTCTTTCTAGTCTTGCTTCATCCTGTCCCTGAAGCAATCCTGCTCTGTGCATTTCATAGCTGGGAAACAGGCATCGAGAGATTTAAGTATCTGTTCTCAGCAGAGAAGCCAGAGTGGATTTTATTCAAACACAGGCCAAATCATGCCACTCAGTGCTTACCTCGGGGTGGTGCCTCATCTCAGAGTCCAATTCCAGGTTCTTGCCAGGCCCTCACCAGCTGCCCCCACTTCCACCTTAGACTCCATCTCCCACCTCTCTTTCCCTTGCTCATTCTGTTCCAGTCACACTGATGATCTCCTTGCTGTTCCTGCAACCTTCCTGGAAGATGTCCATCTCAGGGCCTTTGCCTGGGCCATCCCTCCTGCCCGGGGTCCTTCTTAGAGATTTCCACGGGCTTCTGTCCTTCCAACCCTTTGCATTCTCAAAAGTCTCCTTCCGTATGTGACCTTCCTTCACCCACTTTAAAGGTGAAAATCCCCCACCCTTGTTCCCCCATATCCCACCTGGATTCTTCCAGACCTCTCACACCACCTATTTATTTAATTTGCTTTTTTTCTCCATAAGAGCAGAAACTGTTACTAATGTGTCCCACATACCTAAAATAGCACCTAGCACATGGCAGAGCCTCAACAGGCATGATACAAATGAAGTTCCAAAGGATTGGATGGGACAGTCCAGGCTCTTCCCCTTAAGGACTAGGCAGGACCCGCCTCCCCAAGGGACAGAGCCACAGACACAGGGTGCTTAATTTGGAGGAAAGCACAAGTCTGATCTTGTAGTATAATATCCATATTTTCAAGGTGAAGCAGCTGAAGCCCAAGAAGGCTGCTGAGTGCCCCAGAGACAAATGGGGACTTGCAGATCTGGGAGCAGGATGCAGTCTTCCTTATCCTCTGGCATCTGCCACCATTAAAGCCCAGAATGTTCTAGAGACACCAAACTCTTCCAAGTGAGGTGGGTAGGGATTACTTACACAGGTGTGGGGACCCGCTTTGAATGATCACATCTTCCAGTCCTGAAGCACGAGGCTCTGACCAATCACTACATTTTGTAGTGACTTGGGCCTTGTCCCAGCTCAGATAGCAAGGTCTTCAGGTGTAGGCATACTTCTGAGGTTGAGTTACACTCACCTGCCCCCTTGTAATTCTACACTTTCTGCTCTTTTTTTGGGGGGTGGAACTTTCTAAGAACAGTGCTCCCCCAAATAAAAGCTCACTTCCCAACATGCTCTCTCTCTCATCAGCCTCTCCTGACTTTGTCTTTCTCTGCCTTCTGGAGCCTGAGGCCCAGAGCCTGGGGAAGCCATCCTGAAGCTTGTGTAAATGTAAATTGTGTCTGTGTTTTATTTTGCTTCACCACAAATTCACACTCGTAAACCTAGGTCAGCTGCCCATGCTGGATGGGGGTGGCAGCAGGAGTTGCAGGAACCAGGCAAGGAACCCTGTCAGCCCTCTAGGCTGGAGAAGGGAACCCCAGACTGCCACTGCCCCCTCCCTCCCCATTCTGCAGAGAATTTCCCTGGAGCTGAAGAGAGGAGTCTTAAGACCAGGGATGGTGGGCTGGGGTTGTGACTCAGTGGTAGAGCGCTCGCCTCCCACATGCGAGACTCTGGGTTTTATCTTCAGCACCACATAAAAAAAAAAAATAAACAAGTGAAATAAAGGTGTTGTGTCCAACTACAACTAAAAAAAAAAAAAAAAGACCGGGGATGTTGTTCTAACCGTTGTGATGATGTCCTGGGTCTTGAGACCGACGTGCTGGACTCCAGCTCCCCCATTATAGTCCACATATTCCTGGGAAAGGCGAACAGGAGGCCCCTTTCATTGCTTCTGTTCCCCACACCCCTGCCCTGCCCTGCCGGAGGCCTCAAGCCTCTTCCCTCCTCTCTCCTTCTCCACCCAGGCAGGGCCGCACCTGGATCGAGGACTTCTTCATGCCCATTGCGGGCTCATTAATGGGCATCTTGATGGTCTCCTCATAGTTGGTCACCACAATGGAGCGCAGAGAGCTGTACTCTGTGTGCACTTGTGTGTCATCCACAGACCAGAAGCGGTGGAACTGTAGGTTCCTCAGGTACCTGCAGGTGGCAGGCGGGACACATCTGCTCTGAGTTCTGGCCTGGGACTGGCTTCCCCTGCTCCCACTTCCACCCTCCAGAACATGTCCCCAAGGGGGCTCCAGAAGGGAGATGACAATCTGTAGGTCTTTACCCTTGTTGTGACAGTTTTCCTCAAGGTGGAAATAAAGTGTCTTATATCAGAAGCCACATAGGAGGCCATGCTCAGGTAGGGGGACTGGGTGGGGCAGGGGGCTCCTGTGCCTCCTGCTGGCCTTTAACTGCCACTGCCATGGTCACCCAGGGCTCTGCCTCAGGAGTATGTTAATGTTATGGTCAGAGCCAGTCAGTTGGGATTGTTTTTTTTCTAAAAGGAGCTCAGGTCTCTGCTCTCTGCTCTGGTCTGTCCCCACCTCCCGCTGTAGGAGGCCAGCAGGAAGCAGACCAAGTCAGGTAGAGGCAGTCTGCCCCCCCCCCCCCACTCACTGGAAGGGACACCCCTGCAGTTCCTCATGGGCGGAGGCTGTGGATTGCTGTAGTCCCTGGTCCTCTCATTCTTCAGGGGACAGATGTATGGGGAATAACTGAAGGGCTGGCCCTGGTTCACCTCCCACCTACCTGTGCTCCTTTCCACCTGGTACAAGGACTGGGGCCAGGGCCCTTGTGGGGAGGGACAGGGCTCACCATTCTGAGGCAGACGACATCTCATGATCAAGCAGATTTCCGACAACATGATCGATGATCTCGAGACCACACCTGGGCCTAGGAAAAGGACAGCACTGAGGGGCATTGAGAAGGCTGCCCCCCCAAATCTCACCACTGCCCCCCCATCATAGCCACAGCTCACACCTATGCAGCTCTTACTGGGGAGGAAAGTGCTTAACTAACTCATTAGTGCAACCCCTACTTTATAGATGAAGATGCGGGGCCATCGAAAACTCCAGTGCCCTGCCCAAGGTCCAATGGCTGAGGAGGGAGGAGGCTGGGATGGGACCTGGGGCCCTCAGGTGTTGGGGCCCGTTTGCTCTCTGCCCTCAGAGGGTTCCAGCGGCCGCCAGGAGCTTGGCCCCATCCCAGAAGCCCAGTCCACATGGAGGAGGGGGACAGGCTCTCCACCCCACTCCTGTAGCTTGGGGCACTCACAGCTTGGGAAGCAGGGAGTCCTTGAGCAGGGGGGCCTTGAATCCAGGCAGGAACCGGCCGCTGTAGTTCGTCTTCTCTACCAGAGTGTGGGTGGTGTCCCCAAACTAGGGGTGGGAAGCAGACTGGCTCAGCCCTGTGCCCCCACCCACCACTGATGGGCCTTTTCATGGCCCCAACCCAGCCCTGGGTTCCTAAGTCAACTTGTGATCCTGGGAAAGTCATTTCTCCTGGCCTGGGGCTGTGGCTCATTGGTAGAGTGCTCACCTTGCATGCGTGAGGCACTGGGTTTGATCCTCAGCACCACATAAAAGTAAAATAAAAATACTGTGTCAACCTATAACTAAAAAACAAGTGTTAAAAAAAAAAAAAAGAAATTCACTTCCCCTGACTGGCATTTGTTGCCATCTGTCATTCACTTAGGAGTTTCCATCACAGTCTACCTGCCTCAGCGGACCAGAAGCCCTGTGAGGACAGGGATGCTGTGTCGCTCATCATGGTGTCTGTGGAGGCATCAGCTCTAATGCTGAAGGGTGTTCAACAGGCATAATGCTCTTCCTACCCAAGGTGATCGTCTCTGTCCTACAGCAGCATGGGGCTGCAGAATCAGTCATCTCTGCCAAGTGCCTACGGTGTGCCAGGCTCTGCTCTTCTAAGTGTTCTACGCCAATGGTCACACTCAGCCCTCACAATGGCCCTGGGAGGGGTTCTAGCTGAAAAATCTGAGCCACAGGATGGTTCACTAGTGTGCCCCAGGTCACACAGGAGTCCAATTCCACCCTTGCTTATTTAAACTGAATCGCAGAGAGGGAAGTTGGTCTGTCCATGGACTCACAGCTAGTGTGGGGCGTGGCTTCCCAGGCCCACCCTTCTCTCCTTTCGAACAATCCCCTGCACAAAACTGATGCCCCCATGCCGTCACCTCCCACTGGGGGGGGCAGGGGAACCTGGGAAGGGTGGCTGGTGGCCCCTGCCACCTCTGCACTCTTGCCAGGCACTTTGGGAGGACAGAGCCCAGGGGGAAGCCCATGTTCTGAGGCCCATGAGTGGATGGTGTAATGGGGTGAATTAGGAGCATCCTGGCATCTCAGTGGGTTCTGGCAGCAGGAGGGGCAGGGACATCAAAGGGAACTCACCGTCTGCAGCACAGCAAATTTCACCTTCCCAAACTTGTCTTCCTCCACCCAGGGCTCCCGCACTATCTTGGCCCCCTGTTCTCTGGCTTTCTGCAGGGAGATGGAGCAGTGGGAGCTGGTGAGGGCTGGGGCCCCTGAGTCCTGGCCTGCTGCTCTGGCTGGGTTGGTTTCTATGTGGTTCTGACATGGCAATGTCACCTGTCTCCCCCACCAAAGTGTGCCTCATCCCCGTTGAGCAAGAAGGGAAACTGAGGACCAGGCTCAGAGTTGGGGCTTGGGAGACAAAGCTGGTGGGTGTGTCTGCTTCTCCTAACTCACTCTGTGGCCCTCCTCCCCCTCCAGGCCTCAGCTTCCCTCCCTGTACAAAGAAGAATGGGGGTGAGAATGGGGGTGGACATTTCTGAAGTGACCTCTGTGTGTTGGGCCCTGTGCCACGAGCCCTGCATGCCAGGTCTGTGCCTTAATTTAGCAAGCCCTTGCTTACTGCAGGCCAGTGCGACACCCAGGCCAGGCTTGTTCTGGGGATGCACCTTGGCAGTTCTCACAGCAGCCCTGTCTGCCTTCTACAGCAAGGAACACGAACTCACACAGTTGGGAAGACCCAGACCCAGTCATGCTAGCTCTGGAATCTACTCTGAACCTCCAATCCACCATTTTTTTCTTTTTCCTTCAGTGCTGGGGATTGAACCCAGGCCTCAATTGTCTTTAGGGCTGCATTTGGTTCAGAGTCATAATCCAGAAATGGTAATTGTGATCTCTCTCTCTCTCTTATTTATTTATTTGTTGGTTGGTTGTTTTAGTTTTGGGGCACCAGGGATTGGACCCAGGGGTTCTTAATCAGTGAGCCACATCCCCAGCACTTTTTATTTTATTTTTTATTTTAAGGCAAGGTCTCCCTAAGTTGCTTAGAGCTTCACTAAATTGCTGAATCTGCCCTTGAACTTGGTACCCTCATACTCCTGGCCTCAGCCTCCTAAGCTGCTAGGATTACAGGCATATGCCACCACGCCTGACTCCATTTCCTCTTTTAAAACTCAGTGAGGTGCAGGCTATGACTATCCCCATTACAGGTGTGGAAAATGAACATGAAAGTGAGTATACACAGTAAGGGGCAGGGTTTCTGTCACTAGGACTTAGGTATGTCACGCCAACATCCAGCCCTGACTGACAGGGTCCCTGGGACCCACAGAGAGCGGGCTGCGCCTAAGGCCTCTTCCCAGGCCAGCCCAGGTACATTCTCACCTGCACAATGTAGTCACAGTCTTCCACCTCGAAAGCCACGTCCTTCACGCCATCCCCGTGTTTCACCAGGTGGTCGCCCATCTCTGTGGTCGGCAGGGAGCGCTGGCACTGGAGTTCAAGGCCCCTGGACAGGCTCTCTGCCTTCTGGGTTCAGCCCCCCTCGTGCCCTTCCCAGGCTCTGCCCTCTGACCCCTGACCCCCTCCAACAGCCCTGCTGCCACCCCGGGGCCCCTCACCTTTGTTCCAGGGGTTGAGTGCAGAGGAGAAGACAAACACAATCTACCATGGTGGAGAAGGGGGTGTGACTGGTGGCTAAGGGGAGTGTGGGCAGGTGCACCTCCCCTCCATCCTGCTCACCCCCACAAATCCCTGGTGGAGCAGGGGGCTAGCCATGCAGGACTCCTGAATCCCGGCTTCTAGCTTCTTCTCTGCCTTGGCCTCTCCCCCTGGTCCTGAGGGTTGGGGACTTTCTCCTGTGCCACCCCTAGGACCCATGATCAGCTATTGGGTCCCCTGGGGAAGAACTCCCAGGACCTCATGGGCCACAACTCTGCTGAAACTCCCTACACCTATGGCCTTGGCTTGCTGAACTTGTGGGGCCAGCACTGGACCAGGCTGAGGAGACTCGCCTGGGAAGGTCCCTGTTGCAAAGGTGCCGACCACGTTAGAGCCCCCAAGAGAGCTCTAAGAACAAGGGGTCCCTGGGGTGTAGATGCACCTTTCCTTGCTTGACCACATGGCTGACCACCTCCCGGGAGCCCGTCTCCAGGCCCCTGTAGGCTAGTGGCTCGAAGCCCATCTTGCTGCAGTAGAAGGAGGCAGCCTAAAGACAGAGAGGTGACAGTGTTCGTGAGGGTGGAGAACCTGCCTGGGGCCCAGATGAGAGTCCCTGTCCCCTGCCTGCCCTCTTGCTCAGGAGCTGAGACTGCACTGGGGAAAAGGCTGCTCTGTAGTATATTCTGTCTTCAAAGGAGTTTCCTTTTTTTTTTTTTTCTTTTTGGGGTACCGGGGATTGAACTAAGGGACACTCAACCACTGAGCCCCATTCTCAGCCCTATTTTGTATTTTATTTACAGACAGGGTCTCATAGAGTTGCTTAGCACTTTACCATTGCTGAGACTGTCTTTGAATTCATGATTCTTCTGCCTCAGACTCCCTATTCACTGGGATTACAGGCGTGTGCCACCATGCCTGGCTCCAAAGAAGTTTTCTGCTGGGGTCCAAAGTGTTGGGTCCCAACTGGGCCCTGATCCTGCCCTTTCAAGAGCCAATTTCAGACCAGCTGGGGGCTTTCCCTGGTCCAGGAGGCCCCTCTTGCGTGTCCTCTGCCCACTTCAACACCTTGTCCTGGTTACCTGCTTGGCATTGCCAACCCAGAAGGTCACAGAGTGGAAGTGAAGGAATCGGCCTCTCTCCGGCTGCAGGAGGAGAGAAGGAGGGAGGCTGAGTCCCTGGAAGGAGGTCTAGAGAAGTGCAGGTGGAGAGGTTTCCCCTGCCCTCTCCCTCGCCCAGACTCAGCCCCCAGCACCTAGGAGAGGCCAAAACCCTCCGAGCTCTGCCTGGCCTCAGGAGACACTGCTCACGTAGAAATTGAGTCCCTGGAGTGTGCAGGAGTGTCCGGGACTGGGAAGGCCCCTCAGGAGGCAGCCCAGCTTTCCCAGGAGGAACAGCCACAGCAGCAGGGATTGAAGGGAGACTTAGCCAGAGCTTCCAGATGACGTTAAGAGGTCAGCAGATGAATTAAGAAGAGCTGACAGTTTTTCAGGAGGGTGCAAGTGAGTCCAGCCAGTCTCGGGGAGTCCAGGTATTATCAGACCCCCAATCTTGTTCCTCTCCACTTTGTGCTCACATGCTGGTCTCCCCAGCCCAGACACCCTTCTGGACCCAGGTCCCCCATTCCCTTCCTGCTCACCTTTGCTCCTTTGTCACTATAGGTCGTCTAAGGAGAAAGAAAAAGACAGTGAGGCTCTGCCAGGGGGACAGGCATTGCTGAAGTCTCATGGCAGGTCCTCATCCCCCGGGGAGCCACCATGGCCCTAGGCAGACCCTCACCATGGCTGATCTGGGTCAAGCTTCCTGCCAGGAAGACAGGGACGCACAGCTCTTGGGAGTGCTGGACAGAGCTCTGTATTTACCAGGGCGCAGGGCCTGCCCCTGACCTCCCTGGGGGTGGGGAGCTGAGGTCATCCCATGGTATAGTCTCTCCAGGACCCCAGAATGGGACTGTGATCTTTGCCAACCAAATCCATAGTTCAGAAGCCAAGGCCAGCTTGAGGGCAGGTGTAGCTTTAGAACTTCTTCTTCTTTTTTTTTAATGTTTATTTTTTAGTTGTAGTTGGACACAGCTTATTTATTTTTATGTGGTGCTGAGGCTCGAACCCAGGGTCTCGCACGTACCACTGAGCGCTTTACCACTGAGCCACAACCCCAGCCACCCCAGCCACCCCCTCCCCCCAACCCCCTTCAGAACTTCTTACTCAGGGAATTTGCGGGCTGATCTTGAAGCCCTCTTTGCAGAACAAACATATAGACTGTATTTGGAATAAAAAGTAATAAAGTAGTAAAAATAAAAAGTAATACAATTCCATGGCAGTTGGGGCACGTGGACAGGGATTTGCTTACTGGTTCTGCTATGTACCATGTGACTGGGGCAGGCACAGACCTTGTGAGCCTCAGTTTCTCCATCAATAAAATGGGAACCATAATAATATGAGGGGATTCTGAGAGCATGGTTCAACGCTTTGGAGTTGGACCTGCACATAGCCCTATATATAGCACGAAGGGACAAGAGCTATTTCTTTGAGATTTGAAGGAGTCCTAAAGGGGGTTGAGTCCTTGGCATTACTGTGGCCTGAGTATTGGAAGAGAGCATTGGTCTTGCCCCTGCCCAGTCTACAGCACCCACCAGGCTCTGGGTCCATGCCAGTCCCCTGAAACTCTCTTCATTGCTTTGATGATGGAAACCCTAGCCAGCAACCCTGAGGGTTGGAGTACAGGACAGAGGACTCTCCCAGGCTATGCCCTTGGCAAGTGGCTGCACAGAACTGGAGTGTGAACCAGGGCTTCTACCTCTGGGGCCCACAGTTTAAATTGCATCGAAATGGGAGATATTGATGTCCCCAGGAAACGGAGGCCAGAGTGGCAAACACATTTCCCCAAGGTCACAGAGCTGGTGACCTTGGGGTCAGAACAGAACTCTGCCCTGCAGCCCATTGGACTCTGCAGCTGGGTCTCACCCACCCATCCACCCATCCCCTCCCTGCCTTTCTCTGTCTTCTGGGCTATTCTATAGGCAGTGGAGGTGGCCCCACCCCCTCATTCTCCTCTCCCAGATGGCTCTCCAGGCTTCCTGCCCCTCCCTTACCCGCAACATCCACCTCAGCTCCCTGAGTCTATTTTCCATTTGAGAAAACTAGAGTGGAGCTCACAGGCCTAGAAGGTTCCCCTGGGGGAGAAGGGATCAGTGCAGCCCATCCATCCCTCCAGGCCAGCAGGAATATCTAGTCCCCTGCTTGCTATGGCCAAATCAAACCCCTATTCCTGGATCTTGGCCTGGCTAATATGCTGGCACAAGATCAATGTTTTCAGTCCAGTCATCACATCTTGAGCAGCTCCAGAGGCCAATGGCTGGTGTCCAGTTCAGCTGAACAGGGTTGGTGACTATGTTCCTCCTCCACTCTGGAATTTGTTTTCAGAAGCATTGTGGGTTTGAGTCTCACTCTGGATCCCTGCAGGTGCCACTGCCATCTGTGGGCAGAGCCTAGGGACTCTGTGAGTCCCAGTGTCTGGAGCACCCTGTTCCTCCCTGATGCAACTAGCTTGGGCTGGGCTCAGGTGATAACAGATTAGCAGCAGTGGGATATGTCCATTGCTCTCTGTGCCCAGCCTGTGCCAGGAGGTGGGTTCCAGAAGCCTTGCTCAACCGTCACTCTAAACAGATGGGCACCTGAGATTCAGCCTGCACCACACCCTGAGGGGCAGAAAGGGTACACACTGGGGGCTCGGCTGGCACCCTGGAACCTGGATTTCAGAAATGACAAGAGTGGTTATGCACAGAGGTTTGCACAAGTGGCTGGTGGAGGTGGAGCTGGATGATAGAGCACTTGCCTACATGTGTGAGGCCCTGGGTTTGATCCTTGGCACCACAGGGGGGGAAAGACACACACACACACACACACACACACACACACACACATATATATATATATATATATATTTTTTTTTTTCAGTTTGATTTCTTATTTTACAGTGGTTAAGGTCAAACCCAAGGCTCAACCGCTAGGGAAATCCTCTATCATTGAAGCAGTATCCCCAGCGCTGGGTGATCAATTATATAAGCCTTTTTTTTTTTCTGTGCTAGGGATTGAACCCAAGTGTGCTCTGCCACTGAGCTACATCCTAAGCTCTATTTTTTTGGTGGGGGGCAGGGATGGGTGGGTACTGGGGATTGAACTTTGGGGCACTCAGCCACTAGCCCCATCCCCAGCCCTATTTTGTATTTTATTTAGAGACAGGGTCTCACTGAGTTGTTTAGCCCCTCGCTTTTCCTGATGCTGGCTTTGAACTCATGGTTCTCCTGCCTCAGCCTCCTGAGCTGCTGGAATTACAGGCATGCACCACCAAGCCTGGCCCGATGTGAGTTTTATATTGCTATTTACAACAAAAATACAGCTAATTCAAGGAAAAAAGAAAATATGCATAACTAAGTTTAAACTAAAAGATGGAAAACATTATCAGTGGGAAAACAAACCCACTGATAATGTTTTATCCATAAACAACCATGGTGGATGGTTTGGTCATACATAGACCCACATGTATGGATATATTTTCTGTAGATAATTTTTACATATACTTTGTATATACTTTCATGGCAATATGTATACATATTTGTACACATGCTTCTGCATGTATGTGTGTGTGTGTGTGTTTGTGTATATGTGTGTGTTTTCCATTGAAAGACTGTATCATAATTTCTTTAACCATTTCCTAGAAGAAAACATTTAAATTGTTGCTAAGTCTTGCCATCCAGGGTGATCCAGCTCACCTGAATGCAGCTTCTCAATCTGTAACTATTCCTTCTTTCCTTTCCAGGTGGTGGGGACCAAGTCCAAGGCTTCCCCATGCTAGGCAAGTATTCTACCACTGGACTATGCCCCAGCACAAACAGTTTCTTTCTTTCTTTTATATATATATATATATATATATATATATATATATATTTTTTTTTTTTTTTTTTTCAGTTGTAGATGGACACAATATCTTTCTTTTTCTTTTTCTTTTTTTTTTTTTAATGTGGTGCTGGGGAATGAACCAGGGCCTCATGGGTGTGAGGCAAGTGCTCTCTCTACCACTGAGCTACAACCCCATCCCCAAAATTTCTTTCTTGTTATTCATTAATTATTTTGGTGCTGAGCTTGAACCTGAGGGCCATTTATGTTAAGCATACCCACAGCCCTGTTACTTTTTAATAATTACTGTGAACTAGCATTAATAAATAATCTATTCTTAAAAGTTATTTTCTCCCCTGCCCCACACTTTGCTGAGGAACTAAATGTTAACAATTTAACATACATAACCACCCACTTTCTCCATTCTCATGCAGTCATTTCAAGCATACTCTGTACCCTGCATACAGGGGAGTTGACTTTGTAGTATAAAAATACAATTGTTTATTGTGTGGTTCCCTGACTTATTTTTCCAAATGCTTAAATATTGGCAACTGTGATTGGTATCCCTTTTACTTCCTCTCTGCTACATGTTGTTTTAGTACAGCGGGGTTCCCCTACTAAAGGCCACTTTCCTATGGGGTGGCTACAGTTCCCTCTAGATTCCCCACGAGCTGCCTACCTGTCTTAGTCTGTTTGATGTTGCTATAACAAAATACCTGAGACTGGATACTTTATGCAGAATAAAGATTTATTCATCCTGTGGCTCTGCAGGCTGGGAGGTTCAAAGTTTGATTCCCTGCAGAGTCCTGAGGTGACTCTGGGCATGATGTGGTCAGAGGGTTACTCTTGAGAGCCACAGTTTAGTCAGAATGATGCCTGGCATTTTTGCCAGAGGGAATGGTTGAAAGGTGACCCTGATCCGGGATTAGGGAGGATCCTGCTGGGATTAAGGCGGATCCTGCTGCCCTAATCCCACTACTTTGGAGTTCCCATTGAGTTCTCTCAGGGTTCCTCGCTGAGCCGGTGGAGGGAGTGTGTTCCTGGGAAGTGGGTGTAGAGTGCTGGTGAGAGTTCGGGAATAAAGGTTGCTGTTTGAAACTACAAGGTGGTGTGGCGGCTTGGTTATTTTGTGCCCAGCCAGACTGCGGCAGGTTACATGTGAGACAGAACCAAGCTGGGGTTTGTAACAGCTCTTGAGATGACCCATTAATCCAGGAATCGCTTCTCCATGCATGAAGGCTCAGTACTTAGTCAGCTCTTTCAACTCCCACCTCTGGATATCTCGTGATGGGCATTAAAGTTCAGCATTAGGTTTGGTGGGGTCATTCAAACCATAGCGCCTCCCTTGTCCCCCTTGGTACCTGGTGGTGATGAACCCCCAAGCTGGCCACCCCAGGCAGCTTCATCCTTTTTGCTCCCTTAACATGGCCTATGCTTGGTAAGTAGCCCCTGCATTAAACACCCCTCTGACTTCCTTCTGAGCACCAGCTGCTTTGTGATGAGGCCTCATGCTGATTCTGCAACAAGTTGAAATTTCTTAGAAACTCTTCACAAGCCACTCACACAAACCTGCCACCCTTTTGGACCACAAACTCCAGCCCCTCGTTTTTTAGACAGAGGAAGTGAGGAGAGGAGAAGAAAATGGACTTGTCAGTTCACCTGACACCCAGGCTAGGGCTGAGAGGAAATATGAACTATCTGGTGAGTCCCGGAGTCGGGCCATGTGGATTATGACGGGCCAGGTCTTCCTAGGGGAACCCCAGGTCCCTGGCTCTGCCTCCCAGCCCCTCCACTCTTGGAGGCCTCCTTGTTCCAAAATGAAGGTGAGCAAGACCAGGATGTTTGGAGGAGGCCAACAGTCCAGGTGCTCCTGGGTCTGTGGGCTTCCTAGACACAAGCCCTGTTGGGGAATGAAAGGTGGGAAAGCAGCCCAAAATGTGAAGGGCCATGTGTTTCTCTCCACCTTTCCCTTAGAATTCTCAGAACATTCAGGCAAATATTTGAAGATAAACAAGCCTATGTCCACATCCTCTGAGAGTCCCCAGTGCCTGGGACACACAAGTAAACGTGCTGACAACACAGGGTAAGAAAGTGCAGAAAACAGTCCACTTTGAGGTGGGTCAGAGAATGATTCCCAGGGCCAGGAACTTTGGAGCAGGATATTGGAGGAGGAGCTGGAGTCTGGCCTGGGATGCACAAGGGGAGAGACAAGCAGGCACTGAGACCCAGGGCTCAGAGGGAGTGCACAGTCCATGTGCCAGCAACTGTTGGAAGTTCAGAGTGGGGGAAGGAGGGAGTGGAGGGTGTGGGGCTGGGGGCCTAAAAGCAAGCAGCCATCAGAAGGACTTGAAGGACAAGAAAAGTGCACCAGAAAGCCATCGAAATCCCTTTAAGCAGCAGAGTGACAATGTCTTCTTTGGAAAGGTTCCTCTGGTTGCTGTGGGGAACGGGTTAATGGAGACCAGTTCAGAGGCTGCTGCAATCAGGGAAAGACTGGGGTCAGGGATGAGAGTGGAGATGGAGAGGATAATGGATTTGAAACTATGACAGCAGTACAAGGGACAGGGTCTAGGTTTCCCATAATAATCACAACCACAATGACAATGACAAAAGTCATAGTGACGCACAATAGTTCTGGTTTTAGTTGGCCCTGGTGAGAATCTTCTCTCCCTACATTTTACTTGGAAAAATTTAAAACCTCAGAAGCTTGCAAGACAGTTTCCACAGACATTGGTATACCTTTCACTCAGATTTACATATTGTTACATTTTGCTTTTCCCCACTTGCTTGTATCACTTTTTTCCTTAGCTACTTGGATGTTGTTGCAGAAATCACTAATCACTGTGAATAAGGAGATTCTTTTATGTAATTGTCATGTCATGATCTTATTTAAAATATTTAATATTGATATACTAGAAGTTAACATAAAGTCCAATTGGCCCAAATAATAAAAGCTACTTCTTTTCACTGAGAGAGAGAGAGAGAGAGAGAGAGAGAGAGAGAGAGAGAGAGAGAGAGAGAGAGAGAGAGATCCACTATCCAACCAAGGAATAGGCATTTTACTTAGTTGTTCTCTTTTTCATCACCCTGCCCCTTTCTTTCTTGTCAAGGTTTGAAGAACATTTTTAAAAAAGAGATGATCAAACAAAATATAGGAGGCCTACTGCAATCAGTTCCACTGTTTTCTTTTTCTACTTGTTTAAAGATTTTTTAACTTTTTATTTGAAATCATTTTAAACTTAAATACACTTGCAAAAATAGTAAAAAGACCAATTATTTACATTTTGCTGCATTAATTTTGCTGTTCAATTGTGTACAAATATATACTCATCTATATTTTTTTTCTGACCCATGCAGTAAGTCTCCCCTCTTGTGCATTAATACTACAGGATATTATCTTGTATAACCACAGTGCAAACACTATAATCTAGAAATTTAACATCAACAATATACTATTCATATTCAAATTTATTTAACAGAATATTGTTTATAGCTTTTTTTGGGGGGAAGACACAGAATCCAGTCAATAAATACACATTGTATTTAGTTCTTGCATCTCTGTATTTTTCTTTGATCTAGGCAAACACCTAGTTAATCCCATCCCATCTGTGTGTGTGTGTGTGTGTGTGTGTATTTCACAACATTGACCTTTCTGAAGCATTCAGGCCAGTTGTTTCGAAAATGTCCCCTTGCTTTGCATTTGTCTGGGTGTTTTTCCATGACTAGATTCAGGCCAAACATGTTTGAATACTTCATAGGTGATGTGTCTTGCTCAGTGCAGAATATTAGGCATACATGTGATGATGTGCACTTAGTTATGCTCTCTCATTTTCTTTTTGGTCATTGTTTAAAATGTTAGTTTTTTTTTTTTTTTTTTTAAGAATTGATTACATAAAATAGAGGAGGACTAGTGTAGAGTTCTATTTCTTTTGTAAACTGTTGGTTGCACCTGTTAAGTCTGATTGTTTGGTTCAGCTGGATTGGAACGCGGGCTTCCTGTTTTGCTAGTTGGCTAAGTGGGTTATTGCGATGGTCTCCTCAGCTGTCAAGTGGGGATAATAATGATCCTGGCTTCATTGGGTTGGTGAATTGATACATTTTGGACACTGATTTCAGATCAGTATCTTGGCATAAGTATTTGATAAATAATTATTATCATCCTCCCCACCAAGTGCTGGCACAAGCTAGTCAAGTCTCTACCCTTGATCTATGCCCCCAGCTCTTCATGGCTAGTATTTTTACCACAATTTATAGAGGACGTAATACCTACTGCACAGACCTTCACCACTCCAGAACTAGGGCAGCGTGTGCAGATAGGAAGAGTTCAGAATAATTGTTGGCAGGACAGCCCCGTGATATAGAGTGCTATCGATGCACTATACCGTTTTACAGTGAGGAAACTGAGGCTTAGAGAGGCGAAGTAGCTTACCTAAGGTCACACAGATCACTGTAAGTGTCAAGAGAGTGGATTTGAACTGGATTGAGGGGTGGGGAAGAAACCTGAATGTATTTTGTAAATCTTTAAGGGCTCTGAAGGCATGAAGAATCGAATTGGAGCGCCAGGGCAGAGTTATGTGGCACATACATACAGCAGGCGCTTAAAAATGTTTGTTGCGTGAATGAGAACGAAAATGAGTCACCTGACGCCTGCCTGCGTGAGCCTCTGCGTAGCGGCATGAGAACCCAGTCCTTCCTGTGTTAGGGCTAAGACCACGGGTTCATACGGGGGTGTGGCTTCTGATAGGTCCGCCCCTCGCCTCTCCTGGCGTTCTCTGACCGCCGAGGTGTTTTGGCTCGCAGGTGGAGCCGTAGCCCCTGTCTCCTCCGGGGTCCGTGACCGGGAAGCCGGGCGTCCAGGATCCCTGACAGCGGTCCGCTATGTCGGATAGGGACGTGGGGCAGAGTGGAAGCTCGTCGGGGGCCCGAGCGGCGACTGTCAGCGACATCCACGAGCTGATGCGTCGCAAGGAGGAGATCGAGGCGCAGATCAAGGCCAATTACGAAGTGCTGGAGGGCGTGAGTGGGGGCTCGGAGCGCGGCGGGCGTGGGCCCGGGAGGGCCGGGAGGCCGGAGCCCCGCTCGGGCGCGGTTCGTGGGTCTTCCGCTCCCGGGGAGGCCCGTGGGCAGCAGGCAGTGCGGGCACCGGCGACGGCAGCTTCAGCCGCTGGGTTGGCAGTTCCAACACGCATTTGTGGCGTCTTCTCTCTGTGCCGGGCGCTGTTGTTTGCCTGCCCGCTTAATCTTCGTGGCGACCCTTGAGGTGGGAGCTGTTCTGTCCCCACCTTAGGGAAGGGGTCGCCGCGGCGTTCCTTCGACCTGCCTGGAGCCACAGAGCTGCAATATTAGCAGAGGCAGGGGCGGTAGTCAGTGTCGACAGGTGAAGTTGGCTTCGCTGATGTTTTACATCAGCGTCCACTGAGTCTCAGTACAGGTGAGAATCACCTGGCATCTGGTTGATGCTGACGCTGATAGTGTAAGGACTACGTTTTGACTGACAAGGCCTGATATCCTTTTTGTCCAAGGAAGAAACAGAGACCCAGAGTGGGGCAAAAGCTTGTCTAGTTCCGCAATGGCAGGAGTGGAGTGCTTCCCAGGTCTGTCTGACTCCAAAGGAGGGAGTGTTCCTTAGGCCACTTGTTGTAAGACCACAAATCACTTTGCAGTGGAAGAGGAGGCTAATTATATCCAAATAGGTGTGATGGGAAAAGATGTATCCCGTGGAGGCCAAGGTACCTTTACTGGGTGCACACCTGACCCCTGAAGGGTACTGGGTTGTGGGTTTTATCAGGAACCCCGACAACTACACCATGAAGTTGGAAGTGCCCCTGAAGCTCGGAAAAGGGAAGTCACTTGCTCAAAGTCTTGTGTGGGATTCAGACCACAGATCTGTTCAGTCCAGAACTTTCAAGAAGATTGCCTGCAATTTCTCCAATCTTACTTACTTTTTCTACCGCAGACAGAACTATCCACACCTTATACAATTATTACATTGATATTGATATTACTCAGATATTTTTATTTTAAAATAAAAATCTGTAATTCCCCTGTATATGAAAAATTTTGATTTCTTCCCTCAAATATAAGGTACATATTAAGGTGATACTGTACATCAATTGCTTCTACCTGTGCTTGGTTGCCTGCTGAAGGCTTTATGCCTCAAGTCCTACTCTATGTTTGATTTTCCTTTAATGGAGAGTTAAAAGTCTAACTTTTTTTTTTTTTTTTTTTGGTACCAGGGATGAACCCAGGGATGCTTAATCAGTGAGCCACGTTCCCAGCCCTTTTTATTTTTTTTATCTTGAGACAGGGTCTCATTAAGTTGCTTATGGCCTAATTGACTTTGAACTTCCAATCCTCCTACCTCAGCCACACGAGCCCCTGGGATTATAGGCGTGTGCCAGGTGTCCAGCTCATTTGAATTTCTTAGAATAAAGCATAGGCATAAATCTAAGTGAACTTGAGTTAGTTAAAACCTTCTTAGATATGACACCAAGAGCACAAGATATGAAAGCAAAAATGATAAATTGGATTTCAAAATTAAAATCATGTTTCAAAGCATATAATCAAGAAGATGAAAAGACAAGCCATAAAATGGGAAAATCCTTAGAAAATATCTGGTAAGGGTAGCATCTAGAATTTAGTAAGTGCACTTCCAACTCTATAGTAAAAAGACAATTCAAAATATAAGCAAAGAATCTGAATAGACATTTTCCAAAGAAAAATATAGTAAATACAAATGGCCAATAAGCACATGAAACAGTGCTGACTGTGAGTAGCTGTTGGTGAAATGCAAATCAAAACTATGGTGAGAAGCCACCCTCAGCCACTGGGATGTCTCTCATAGAAAGACAAGTAATAACAAGTATTTCAGAGTTAGTGTTGTTTAGACCTATGTGTGAGCTGCCACTGGTGTAGGTCCCACCCTTTAGGAAGCAGTGTCTTATGTAGTATTGATTCTGTGAGGCCAGTCCCTCCTGGTGTTTGTGGGAAGATAGGAGACACGTACCAGAGCCCTCTGTGTTGAGAGTGAGTGTTGAACCCTCTCCCTCAACAGGGAACTGGTCTGGGGGTACACAGAGGCTTCCAGAGAAGAGGTGAGGAAAGTGAACAGGTAGCTCTGTCAGTGCCGTGCACACTGGGCAGCTTGTCTCTGGAGTGACAAATAATTACAGACTCCATTTATTATTTTCTATGCATGGTAGTTTCCTGGGGCCTCTCTGACAAATTGCCACAAAGTTGGTGGCTTAAAAAGAATTTATTCTGGGGCTGGGGATGTGGCTCAAGCGGTAGCACGCTTTCCTGGCATGCGTGCGGCCCGGGTTCGATCCTCAGCACCACATACAAACAAAGATGTTGTGTCTGCCGAAAACTAAAAAATAAATATTAAAAAAAAATTTTTTTTCTCTCTCTCTCTCTCCTCTCTCACTCTGTCTTTAAAAAAAAAAAAAAGAAGGGGGGAGGGTGGAGGATGGGAAAGGCAGCGGAGCACAACAGACACTAGTATGGCAATATGTAAATCAATGGATGTGTAACTGATGTGATTCTGCAATCTGTGTATGGGGTGAAGGTGGGAGTTCATAACCCACTTGAATCAAAGTGTGGAATATGATATGTCAAGAAATTTGTAATGTTTTGAACAACCCACAATAAAAAATTAAAAAAAAAAAACTACAAAAAAAAAAAAAGAATTTATTCTTGGGGCTGGGGATGTGGCTCAAGCAGTAGCGCGCTCGCCTGGCATGCGTGGGGCACTGGGTTTCCATCCTGAGCACCACATAAAAATAAAAAAATAAAGATGTTGTGTCCCCCGAAAACTAAAAAATAAATATTTTAAAAAATTCTCTCTTTCTCTTAAAAAAAAAAAAAGAATTTATTCTCTCTCAATTTTAGAGGCTGAAGTCTAAAATCAAGGTGTGTCAGTAGGATTGGTCCCGTCTGGAGGCTCTCGGTTCCGGTCCTGTGTCCTGTGCCCCCTCAGTTTCCAGTCACACCTGCAGTCCTTGGCTTGCAGCTGTGTGACCTCAGTCCCTGCCTTTATTTCCACCTGGCCTTCTGTCCAGCTGTGTCCAGCTCCCCCTTTGCCTTTCTGTTTCAAGGACACCGTCACTGGTTTTAGGCCCATGAGGAATCCAGGATGATCTTGTCTCAAGAGCCTAAGCTTAATCACATCTGCAAAGACCTTTTCCCAGATAACGTCACATTCAGAGGTTCTGGGGGTGAGGATGTGGTCATATCTTTGGGGGGGGCACTATTTAGCCCTCTACACTATGGATATGCCTGGCTCTGTGCTGAGTGTCCACAGAGATCAGGTCATTAGTTCTTGCAGCAGGAAGGAAGGGGCGTGTCTGTTCCCGTCATGCAGTGAGGAAACTGAGGCATAGAGAGGGGAGGGCAAGGCACAGGCGCCAGCAGCTCCTTGGCAGAACAGGAACTCAAGTTGTCTAACCAGGTACAAAGCCCCTGCCTTACACTGTGTGACATGTTTGGTTATTTTAATGCACTGTCCCTTGACTTATGTAGGAAGAGACTTTAAAATGGTAAGGCAAGTTGTGTGTGGTGGCACATACCTCTTCCTGTAGTCCCAGCTTCTTGGGAGGCTGATGCAGGGAGATCACTTGAGCCCAGAGGTTAGAAGCCATCCTAGGAAAACTAGTGAGACCCTGTCTCAAAATAAAATGTTAAAATAAATGTGTTATTTTGAATAGGGAATACATTCCCATTGTCAAAATTTGAAGCCTGCAAAAAGATGAAAGAACCACCAATGCCCCTCCTTGGAGGTCACTAGTAATGTCTTTATCCTTCCAAGGACAAAAAGCATCTTGGAAAGCCCTTGTAGAGCTTTTAATTTTCAGAAGACTGGAAACCCAGCCACAGCTGGGAGCTCGGTGGGGTTTTCACCCCCCCTCCAACTTCAGGGTGATCAGCTGGGTGCCAGCTGTCTGGGGGAAGGAGGATTTGGGGGAGTCAGTGGAGAGGTGGGCTCATGGTGATGCTCGGGGGGAACCTCAGTTTTGTGTTCCCTGTTTTAACTTCAGAACAGAACATGTTCATGCATTATGGTGTTTAAATATTAAAGATGAAAGGCTAGTCCCACCTCACAGGTAGTTATGAGGTCATGAGATAAGCACCTCTCCTGCACCTGTATTACAGTTCAGAAGGGCAAGGGTCTGGGGAATGGCTTATGGAGAACGCTCCACCTGTGACATCTTTTTGACCACGTGTTTTTCCTCCAGCAAAAAGGAGTTGGGATGAACGAGCCACTGGTGGACTTCGAGGGCTACCCCCGGGCAGACGTGGATGTGTACCAGGTCCGCACCGCGAGGCACAACATCATCTGTGAGTGGCCCTCATGGGTTCCTTGCTACATGGCAAGATGCTAAAAGCCCACAAATGGAATGGCCTATATTCAGGATATCTGCTGACCCCTTTCCTTGATGCGATTATCTCACTGCCCCCACCAAGGGACAGACTGAAGGGAGCAAATTAGACTCGAGGGTTCTACATGTAGGCTTTCGATTTTTTTTTGTTTTGTTCTTAAGAAAACTTTGTTGATCTACAGAAGCCCAAGTCCAGTGCTGCTTAAAGTCCTGGTCAAATCCATTGTGTGTGTGTTAGGGAACATGTTTGGCTGTTTAGGGTAGTGACCTGACTATGGTCACTCCAACAAAAGACATGAAATGTGTACACTGGGCTGCTGAGCACAAGTCCAGGTTCTGCATCTCCTTTGGGGTCAGTAGCCCATGTTGCAAGCAGGAAAGAAAAGGCAAGAAGAGGTGGGGAGGTCCAGCGCCAGCCAGCACCCCCTCTCCAGGATCTTTTCTGCAAGTCCCACCTCCTGCCCATTCTGTCAACTTCTCCTTCCCCTCATAGACCCTTCTGCCCATCAGAAAAGCTGGGGACCAACCGCAGGAGCAGGCGCAGGCGCAGGTGCATCACTGTCCTGAATGAATTCTTTTATGCATTCATTTGCTTTTAGCTAAGGGACTGGGAGAGAGCAGAGGCTGGGTGCTGGTTTTCTGTTTCTTTTGTAACAAATGCCCACGGACTTCCTGCCTTAAAACCACACACATTGAGCCTACTGTTCTGGAGGTGAGAAGTGTAGATGGGTCTCACTGGACTAAACTCAAAGAGCCCGCAGGACTGGCTCCCTGTGGAAGCTCAGACAAGGTCCCATTTCCTTGCCTGTTCCTGCATCGGGAGGCCACCTGTATTTCCCAGCCCCTGGACATCTCCATCTTGAAGGCCGTTGCATCTCCCCAGCCTCTGATTCTGTCTTCGCCTCTTTCTCTCACTCTCCCGTCTCCTCTTTCACTTCTCAAGACCACTGTGATAAAGGGCCATCTCCCTATCTCAGGGTCCTTAACCACGTCTGCCAAATTCCTTTTGCCATGGCAGGTCAGGTGTTCACCGACTCCAGAGATGAGGCCGTGGGCACTGTGGAGGCCATTCCTCACCCTGCCCTTGGTAGGCAGCGGTGGGTCTTGACCATGGACTCTCATTACAAGGGAATTTATTATCTGTGCTTTTCACTGAAGGAATGCCATTTAATCTGTTTGAACCCTGGTTTCACCTGCAGCATGCCCTGGTGGGACATGGAACCCCAGGGTTGACAGAGCTGAAGTTCCCCATGCCACAGTAAGATAATGGGACACCTTTTAAGAGTGTCACTTGACCCTAAAGATTTTGGTAAAAGAAGAACTTCATTTGTAGATTAAAATAAATAGGAAATAGGAAGACACAGAGAAGGGGAAAGCCATGTTAATATGACCAGGCTTGAGGGAAGTTTGGGGACTTTGTCTAAACCTTTAGAGTTCCTGGGATGTGGCAGTGTGCCTCTACATTAGGAGGACCCTGGGGAGATTGCAGGGGGACTGAGCTACTGAGCACCTGCTGACTTCTTTTTCTCCAGATGATTAGTTTGATATTCTAACCATTTATTAATAGTCTCCTCTTTCCCTCTAATTTAAAATGCTAGTGTTGCCACATACCACATTCCCACTCATGCTTAGGTCTATTCTTGGTCTTTTTTCACTGTCCTATTGATCTATTCTTTGGGTGTCCTATGGTGCCATCTTAATGACTTTATTACACGTAAGAGTCTGTTGAGCAATTCTTCCTCATTGGTCTTCTTTTGAAAAACTATTCTCACAAGTTTATTTTTTAGTTTTTAAAAAATTTTTGTAGTACTGGGGATTTGAAGGGGCACTTTACTGCTGAGCTCCATCCCCAGCCTTTTTTATTTAATTCTGAGGCGAGGTTTTGCTAAATTGTTGAGATTGGCCTTGAACTTGTGATCCTTCTGCCTCAGCTTCCTGAGCTGCTGGGATTATTGGCATGGCCATGGGCTCACATTTTGTTTTTGTGTTTGTGTATTAATTGTGTAGAGTAAAGGCTGTATTGTGGCATGTTTGTACATATGTGTAATGTACTTTGATCATATCCGCCCTTTACCCTCTCTTACCCTCCCCTTTCCTCACTAATCTATTGTATTTTTAAAGCGGGCTTTATTTTTTAGAACAGTTCAGATTTATGTAAAAATTGGGAAATTAATATAGAAAGGTCCCACATATTTTGTACCCAGTTTCCCCTGATTAGCAGCTTGTTAGCCTGGTATATTATTGTAAATGCAAATTTGGTTTTTGAAATCTACTGCAGAAAGATTTATCAAAATTTTTTTTTCAATTCTGATAGAATTGTAATATATTGTGAATAAAGGCATTTATTCTGTTACCCAGTAGTTGTGTATTAAGTATTGACTAGGTGCTGGGCATTGATGGGGATTCTTGGGACCCTCATGGACCTCACCACATGGTGGTGGACTTTTTGTTTTTAGCCTTCCTGCCAGGATATGTCTCCATTTGCTCAGTTCTGGGTTCTTTCCTCCCGCCTGCTCCTGTGGGTTGAGTACTTGAGTCCTGGAATATCTGAGGACCTTGCCTTTGCTCCATAATGACAGGGATGGGGTTAAGCCCACAGTCGAAGGCCCCTTGGAAGTCTGACGGGCCTTCTTTGAAACTCTGAAGAGGGATTTGTGTGGGCAAAGAGGTGGAATCCAGAGCAGCAGGATAAGTTGTTTTGAGGTTAAAAAACAGTTATCAAAATGCCAGTGCTATGCTGGACTAACCTAGGCAGGACTTGTTTGACTGGCATGGTGATTATTTTGAATTAGCCTTTTGTACCAGAAAATCAGAGAATTTCATCCATAAGCTCTCAGTTTCCGTTTTTTTTTTTTTTTTTTTTTCTTTCTTGGAAAACCAAGGATTTGCCTCCCAATTGCTCTAGTTAGATAGAGCCCAGTAGCAAGGAGCCTTTAGCTAACAACTGTGGCCTCTCCCAGACAGGGTAGAGCGCCCCAGCATGTATTATGAGGCTTATGCCTCAATTTTCTTTCTCAAACTATCAGGAGCAAAGTGACATCTTTCTTGTGCAGAGCCCGCCTTACTCAATTGCTTGAGCACCGTGCTTGCCCCTCACTCACAATTTTTTTTTTTTTTAAAGAGTGTGAGAGAGAGAGAGAGAATTTTTTAATATTTATTTTTTTTTTTTAGTTCTCGGCGGACACAACATCTTTGTATGTGGTGCTGAGGATCGAACCCGGGCCGCACGCATGCCAGGCGAGCGTGCTACCGCTTGAGCCACATCCCCAGCCCCCTCACTCACAATTGAGGTCTACTTCCGCTCTCCCTTAGGTCTCCGCCAGGGCTGCCCTGCCTTTGGGAAACCCTACCTGATGTCCTCGACTGGCTGGGCCCACACGGGGGTCGCTGCATGTTATTGTGGTGACTGTTCCACAGCTGCTTTCTCTCTAGCCAGCACACTTCAGGAGGGAAGGTCCTTTTGTCTTGTTCGAGATTTGTCCTCAGCCTCTGTCCCTAGGTCTGGCATGTAACAGGCACTTTCCAAATGCTCAGTGAGTGAGTGCAGGTGTCCTGTGCCCCTGATGTGACGGTTCTCCCCCCAGGCCTGCAGAATGATCACAAAGCGGTGATGAAGCAGGTGGAAGAGGCCCTACACCAGCTGCATGCTCACGACAAGGAGAAGCAGGCACGGGACTTGGCTGAGGCCCACGAGGAGGCCATGAGCCGCAGGATGAGCCACAATGAGGGCCACAGCCTGTCACAGGCCTTTGCCAAAGTGAACAGCATCAGCCCTGGCTCTCCAGCCAGCATTGCGGTAATCCAGCCCAGCCCCAAATCCATACCCAGGGAGGAGCACTGTGGGTGGGTGGTCATGGGCTCTGGCAGGGCAGGCTGTGAGGACCCGACCCTATCTCTTTGTGCTGCAGCTCTGACTTCCTTCACACTTCAACAAGCACTGGTCAAGGTCTACTGTGTATAGGAGGTCAGGATTTTGGAGAGGGGTCAAACCCTGCTGCTCACCAAACTGGGTGGGGGGGGGGAGAGACCTGTTCCCAGTGACAGCTGGGACACAAGATGGAAGGTGAGAAATGTCCCCAGAGACAGAAAGGGACTTTCTTCTTGGGGCTCATTTTATCTTGGTATTGAAGAGTAGTTGAGAATGCTGAGCTACCTTTGCTCAAGGCATGAGTTGTATATCTTACAGGGTTTGTTTGCTGTTTTAATTTAACAGCATTATTGAGATAGTATTCACACATCATAAATTACCTATCTAAGCACACAATTAAGAGACTTCTAGTGTTTTCACAGAGCATTGTGCATCCATCACCACAGTCAGTTTAAAAACATTCTCAGGAGAATGAATCAGGCATGACTTTCCTGTGATCACACATGAATACAAGATCAGAAATAAAAAACATTCTCATCATCCTAAAAATAAGCCCTGTGGTCCCAGGTAGCTGCCTCCGATTTGGCAACCTCCAATCCGCCTTTTGTTTTGTGGATTTGCCTGTCCTGGGCCTTTAATAGAAAGGGAGTGGTCGATGTAGTGGGTCTTCTGTGTCCGGCTTCTTTTGGTCAGCATCAGGCTTTCCAGGTTCCTCTGCATTGCAGTAGGTGTCCATTCTCCCTCCCTTTTTGTGGCTGAATAATATTCCCCTGCATGGCTGTGCCAGATTGTGTTTATCCATTTGTCAGCTAATAGTCATTTGGAATTTTCCACTTTAGAGTTGTTAGGAAGAGTGCTGCTGTGGACATTCGTGTCCAGCTTAGCATGTAGACTTGTAGTTAAGTTTAACTCCACAGCCCACCCTCTGGGATAGATGCTAATCTTTACTCTGTTTGACCCATGAGGAAAAGCTTTGAAGACCTGAGGTAACCTGTGCTGGCATAGATAGCTCCCAAGAGGAAGAACTGGGTCCTGAATCCAAGACCTGCCAATCATCTTGTGATTACCAATATCACAGGACTCTAAGTTGTGCACAAGCTCTGTTTTATTCACAGCCGTATCCACAGCCTCAAGTACGGTGCTATAGTTGGTTCACAACCAGTATTTGTTAAGGGTGAATGAGTGGTGATCTTCCTTCTTGGGACCGAGAACAAAGGATCACTCTCCTCCTGGTCATCCTCAGGCCTGTGACAGCTTGTTTGGTCTTTGAGTGCAAATATCTAACTCATCTGAATCTTGACCTAAGACTGGCTTGCCTTTTCCTGCCTTTGAACCTGGGGTTGGGCCCCAGAAAGAAGCATTTTTCTGGAGAGACCTAGAAGGAACCCTGGGGAGGAAGTGGCCCGGTTGCCTACTGTCCCTTCCTGCATGAGGTATTTAAATCCCTGATGTCCTCTTTCAGCCTGCTGTTCTCCCTTATAGGAAATCTCCTCTTGACCTTGGCTTGAATTGGGTCTTGAAGGGTGGAGAACTCCAGGAGCACATGTCCCTTAGCCTTGGTCTTCATTTCCTCTTCTCTCTTTAGGGTCTTCAGGTGGATGATGAGATTGTGGAGTTTGGCTCTGTGAACACCCAGAACTTCCAGTCGCTGCACAACATTGGCAGTGTGGTGCAGCACAGCGAGGGGGTGAGTTGGGGAGTCGGGGGCTCCCTGGCAGGTTGGCAGCTACATATACTGGGGCTACAAGCAGCAGGAGCATACAGCTCACTGTTCTGGAGGCTGGGAAGCTCAGGAGCAAGGCCCTGCAGACTCAGGGTCTGGTGCAGGCTGCTTCCTAGTCCACCGACACCACCTTGCCACTGCGTCTTCATGAGTCTCAGCATGAGGGCTCCACTTTCATGGCCTGATGCCAACCAGAGGTCCCACCTCTTGGTACCTTCTCACTGGGGATCAGGATTTCCGAGTATGAATTGGAGGAGGGGACCCAGATATTCTGACGGTAGCGGGCGGCATCTGTGGGTAGCCTGGAAGCAGTGATGGGGCCCTGGCTGCCTCACAGCTGTTGCTCAGCGCAGTCCCTGTTTAGAGCCTGTGCACTTGCTGTTCCCTCTACCCCAAGGCTTTTCCTTCCTCACTTCCCTCCTCTTTACACTACTGACACCTTCTCAGCAAGGCCTTTCCTAGCCAACCTACCTCAAATCCCCCTCCTGTTTCCTGTTCCTGTTTTCATGTAACAGTGTTTCTGGAAGTCTGTTCACTTGGGCTCATGCCTTGCTCTTTTTCACTGCCTCGTAGTACTCTGTTGTTGATACTGGGGATGTTTAGGTATTGCCAGCTCTGTGCCAGTGTGAAGAGTAGGGCACACTGTATGTGACTGTACATGTGTGTGCTTCTCTCCATGGATACTAACAAGTAGGTTCATAAGCTTGAAGAGTATGCATGTTTAAGGTAATTTGATAAGGTTTTACTAATTTACACCCTGATCAATATGTGTATTGATCTTTGAAAATTTTTGTGAAGTTGACATTTTGTTTTAATTTGTATTGTCTTGACTACTGGAAAAAGTTGAATATCTGTTTTCATATGTTCAAAAAAAATTTCCATGGTGCTGAATGTTAACGTTAACAGCGTTCTGTTTTATCCATTTAGATAGTTTTCAAGTTTATGGAAGTATGGAGATAAATCTTGTAGATAAATCTCTGTTTCTTCAGATAACTTACTTAAGGTGCAGTTTCTGGATCAAGTGTATATATTTTCTTTTTTTTAGAGAGAGAGAGAATTTTAATATTTTTTTTTTAGTTTTCAGCGGACACAACATCTTTGTTTGTATGTGATGCTGAGGATCGAACCTGGGCCGCACGCATGCCAGGCGAGCACACTACCGCTTGAGCCACATCCCTAGCCCCTAGTGCATATATTTTCAAAAAAGTAAATCTTCAGTTAAAAACATTATTGTCTGGCTAGGGTGTGACTCAGTGATAGAGCATATGCCTAGCTCTGGATTCAGTTCCCTGCATTACAAAAATAAATAAATAGTCTTTATTATAAAAACAATGCATATTTTATTCAGTCATAAAATGGAATGAGCCAGGGCCTGAGGTTGTGGCTCAGTGGTAGCCACTTGCCTAGCACGTGAGGCACTGGGTTTGATCCTCAGTACCACATAAAAAAATAAACCAATAAAATAAAGGTATTGTGTCCAAAAAAAAAAAAAAAAAAAGGAATGAGCCAAAGCAGTCCTTAGCCAGAAGGAGGCATCACAATACCTGGCATTAAATTATACTACAGAATTATAGTAACTAAAACAGCATGGCATTGCACCAAAACAGGAAGACGACCAACAGAATAGAAGACATAGAGACAAACTCACATAAATACAGTTGTCTCATACCAGACAAAGGCACCAAAAACATACATTGGAGAAAAGATAGTCTCTTCAACAAATGGCGCTACAAAAACTGGAAACCTGTATGTAGTAGAATGAAATTTAACCCCTGTCTCTCACCCTACAACAAAACTCAAAGTGGATCAAAGACCTACATATCAGACCAGAAACCCTGCACCTATTAGAAGAAAATGCAGGGCCAGCGCTCTAATATGTCACCATAGAAACTGACCTCATCAGTAAGACTCCTAAAGTGCAAGAAATAAAATCAACAAATGGGATGATATGAAACTGAGAAGCTTCTTCCCAGCAAAGAAAACAATTAGGAGTGTGAAGAGAGAGCCTACTGAATGGGAGAAAATCTTTGCCACCTATACCTCAGATAAGGCATTAATTTCCAGGATACAAAGAACTCAAAAAGCTTAACACCAAAAAACTACAAATAACCCAAATAATCAGTAAATGGGCAAAGGAATTAAACAGATGCTTTTCAAAAGAAGAAAAATGTTCAACAATACATGAAATACATGAAAAAATGTTCACCATCTCTAGCAATTAGAGAAATGCAAATTAAAACTACACTGAGATTTCATCTTACTCCATTCAGAATGACAATTATCAAGAATATAAGTAACTATAAATGTTGGTGAGGATGTGGGGGAAAAGGTACACTCATACATTGCTGGTGGGACTGCAAATTGGTGCAACCAACTCTGTAAAGCAATATGAAGATTCCTAAAAAACTAGGAATAGAACCACTATTTGACTCAGTTATGCCACTTCTCGGTATATATCGAAAGAATTTAAGATCAGCATACTACAATGACACAGCCACATTAATGTTTACAGCAGCACAATTCACAATAGCTAAACTATGGAACCAAACTAGGTGCCCTTCAACAGATGAATGGATAAAGAAAATGTGGTATATATGTACAATGGAATATTACTTAGACATAAAGAAGAATGAGTTTGTGACATTTGCTGGTAAATAAGTGGAACTGGAGACTACCATGCTAAGTGAAATAAGCCAATCCCCCCAAACCAAAGGGTGAATGTTCTCTTTGATTTCTTGATGTTATCACACACAAGGGGGTGAGGGGAAGAATAGAAATTCAATAGATTAGACAAAGGGGAATGAAGGAGGTAGAGAGTGGGGATGGGAATAGTAAAGACAGTGGAATGAATCAGACATAACTTTCCCTGTGTACATATATGAATACCCCAGTCAATCTCAACATTGTGTACATCCACATGACTGGGATCCTAATTAGAATAAGGTATTCCATGTTTGTAAGAATGTCAAAATGGACTCTACTGTCATGTATAACTAAAAAGAACAAATAAAATTAAAAAAAAAAGGAATAAAACACATCGGTGAACCATGAAAACCTGGTGCTAAATGAAGAACCTGATGCAAAAGCCCACATATTATATGACCCACTCGTATGAAATTGTCCAAAAGGCAAATCCAGAGGTTCAAGGTCCTGAGGTGGGAGGAGCAGAGCACCCAAAGGAAGGAGGTTGAATCCCAGAACCAAGGAAAGTGAAAGGGGGAGGAGGCCTTGAACTTGTGGGATTATAGACATGCCAGCGCACCTGACTGGATGTAACTCTGGACAGTTTTGTTCTTTTTATTCCTCCTCCTCCTTTTTTTTTTTTTTAATGTGGTCATGGGGATTGAACCTGGGACTTGGTGAATGCTAGGCAAGTGTTCTGTCACGGAGCTGCATCCCCAGCCCTTTTTAAAATTATTATTATTAGTAGTAGTAGTAGTAGTAGTAGTACTGGGGATGAACCCAGGGATGCTTAACCACTGAGCCACATCTCCAGCCTTTTTTTTATATATATTTTATTTAGACAGAGAGTCCTGCCAAGTTACTGAGGCTGGCCTCAAACATGCAATCCTCCCATCTCATCCTCCTGAATTTCTGTGATTATAGACGTGCACCACTGTGCCTAGCTGAACAATATCTTATAGATGGATATTTTGAGTATTCTCAGTTTTTGAATATATATATATACACACACACACACACACACACACACACACACACACAGAGTCCTGGAATGAACGCTTTATTTGCGTATCTTCTTATGCTTTTGTAAAATGTATTTTACATGTACCCTGTAAATATTTTTGAGGGGAACACATTTCTCCAGCAAGATGGCACAACTGGTGTATTCCCACTGGCCCCAAGGGCCCACACTGTTGCCAACTGCAGGGTTTTGCTTTAAAATACAAATCTTAGGGGCTGGGGCTCAGTGGTAGAGCACTCGCCTAGCATGTGCAAGGAGCTGGGTTCAAGCCTCAGCACCACATAAAAATAAATAAATAAAATAAAAGTATTGTGTCCAACTACAACTAAAAAAAAAATTAAATAAATATATAAAATAAAATACAAATCTTGGTCAACTCGGTGGGCACAAAATGACATGTCAATGTTTGAACCTGAATCCTTTTGAATATTAAGTTGAACCTGAAACAATCTTATTTTTCTCGCAGAAACCCCTGAATGTGACAGTAATCCGCAGAGGGGAGAGACACCAGCTCAGGCTTGTTCCAACACGCTGGGCCGGGAAAGGTCTGCTGGGGTAAGGTATCTGCCTCACTCATGCACACTGCAGCGTGAGTGGAGTGTTAGCCATAAAGTGGGGAATTCCAGGGGGCTTGCTGAATTGTGGGAATCCCCAGAATATGTAGAAACTGAGACAAAGGCTTATAGTAGCAAGGAGGCTCTAGGTGTAGAGGCAGAGAGAGCCTCAGGGTCTCCTGAGGGTCTCTGGGCCTTTCATCAGCTGGGCATTTGCTTTGAGAGAATGAAAGGGTGTCGGTGAGGAGCTCCCAAGGGCTCACCTGCTCGCCCTCCCAGTGGGCCACCAGACTGATGCCATTCCTCTTCTTCCTTGTAGCTGCAACATCATTCCTCTGCAAAGATGACTGTCCCTGGGAAACAGTATCAGGAAAGCTTCTTCCCTTGCCCTGCCCGAGGGCCTGGTGGGGATTTCCTCATTCTCTTCACTCCCAAAGAGTAAGGATCTGGAAGAGGCTGGAAGCCGGACGTCTAGGTGGTGGAGATGCTGTGGCCTCCCAATGTATCTCTCTGGATTAAGGCATTAAAAACGAGATTTGTGCTTGGCATCTTTGGCACATTGGGCCATGTCACAAAATGGGAATTCTCTGGATTGTGGGCAAGTGGGCGGGAGTTATTCTGGCAGGTGCCCATGTGACTTTATTCCTTTAGGAATTTTGTTTTTCAAATAAACACTGTTTTGCAGTTCTGATATGACTGTGTTGTCACCCAAGCTGAATTTATTAGGAACCTCTCAAAACCTAAGCTCGGATGGGGTTGAAATATTCTTAAAGTTGGGCAAAACAAAACAAAACAAAAAAAACAGCAATTGGGCTGAAGTCAAGATTTTTCCAGCAACTTTCTTTGCATTGAACCATTGCTACTCTGGACACAGAAGTTTGGTATCCTTAGCCTCTGAGCCTCTACAGCCACCATAGCTCCCTTTGGAGAATGAGGAAAGCCAGGAGGTTCCCTGGGTGGCCCAGTGTGTGCCAGCTTCCTCTTCAGTAACTCACCAGAGGGCAGCAAGCTCCCTTCACTTCTAGAATAAAAACTCCTGCAAATTTGCTTCTAAATTGACTTTTTACCCTCGTACTTTCCAGCCATGTCCTAAGAACAACAGTTTTGTGAACTAAGGTATGCTCAAAATTGTGTTTACAGATCTGACTGTTGAAGATGCTGCTGCTTTCTGCCTTTCATTCTCTCTCTTAAGATGTCAGATGGGTTTCAGTGATTCCTGGGACTCTGCATCTTAATTTCTTGTTCCAGTGTTTATTTCCCCAGCTCTTGCAGACCACTTTGTGTTTTGGGGGAGGTCTGGCACATTCTGCCAGGAAGCCTGCATTACTTAGGATTGGATTTTCTGGAGTTAGATGCAGATACCAGCTTCCCCTGATGGCAGTCGATATTGGTGTGTGCTTCCATGGTGGGTTTTCATGCTCAATTTGAAAGGCATCGTAGGAACATCTTCCCACAACTGTCCTGCCGTACAGCCTCACATCTTCCCTCTTATAGCCACAGACATGCTGTGTACCAGTGGATGCTGTATAAATTCCATGTTCTGATTCCAAGTATTTTCCAGTCTCTTTTTGTAAGTCCCAGACTATAATAAACAGCTTGCACCATTCAGTTTATCCCTTGGTATCTCCTTTGTTCCTTTGAGCTGTGTGCATATGAATCAGCTTAGCAGCAGTGGGGGCATGGTGGGAGGTGGGAGTGGGGAAGAATCATTCACCTTCTAAAATGATAGCAGCAGAGAGTCTTCTGTGGCAGTACCTTGGCTGGTTTCCTGCAGGCCTCCCCTTGGAAAGCCCAGAATAGCCACCTGTTGCACTCTCCTGTGCAGTTCTGGCTGGGAGTCAGTTTGACCCTAAATGATTTAACCACGCTGGTTTTGCAGAATTTTTGTGATAAGAACAACAAGATCCTGCAACCTGGATAATATTCAATCCCTGCTAGCCAAAATTCTCTGTACCTTCAATGTCCCAGCCAGAGGCAGGTGATAGATTTGTGTTGTATTCGTGAGACTAGGAAGTTCAGTTTGCTTTTGGCAAGAGGAATTTTATCAAATAGTTCATTCCACTTCACATAATCATGGCCAGCCTTGGGAAAGTCAGAATTGCCAGTGTTGGTCGTGGCAGTTTCTCCGGGGATGACACCATGGGGAAAGCCAGGGAGAGTTCCTGGAGTGTCAAAGAGCAAGGGGAGTAAGAGCTGCTACCACAGTGGCCGGCAGGGGGCGCGCGGGCCCGGCTCGCAGCCTCTTTCTGGGCACGTGACCATGGCCCTGACCTCTCGCTTTACGGTCGGATGCCCCGGCAGGCGGCAGCCGTTGCCATGGGGATGGAGCTTGGGTGGCAACCGTATCTAGGGAGCTGGTGAAGAAGGTGCCTGCTGAAAGTCCAAAACCAGCTGAGGGCTGCAGGAGGCAGGACCCCGGCTTTTTGAGGAGCAAGGTGGGCGCGCTCTGTGAGTCTGGGGCAGAGTCCAGGGGCCGGTGGGGGTCGCGGCCTCGGGTGGCTGGGGGCGCAGGAGGAGGCTGGGCTCTGCCCCCACAGACCCGCACACCTGTCCCCTCCCCAAGCCCCATGTCTCCAAGCGGGCCAAGGTGCCTGGCAGTTTGGAGAGTCAGCTGCTGCTAGCTTTCCCAGTGGCTTCGCCTCCAACTCGTGTTTGTTGTAAGGAAAAAATGAAAAGAGTATGTCAGAGGGCTTTTAAAGTGTTCATTTCTTTGCAAAATTAGGGTTGCTTTTATCCTCATAATGACCATTACCTTTTTTTCCCCTGCGCTGTGTGCCGGAACTGTGTTGAGCACTTGGCGCCTTATCTAATCTTCACAAGCCCTGAATTTAGTATTATCATTTTGATTTTGCCTGTGAGCAAATTTAGATTCTGAGGGGTAAAGCGACTTGCCTAAGGTCATGGAGCAGGTGAGGCAAAGAAATGGAATTCAATGCAAGGCTTTGACTACAAAACCCATGCTTTAACCACAAAGCTACACTGCTTATTCTCTTATTTGTGTCCTTGGAGTCATTGCTAATGCCTAGGTTATGAATTTTGCTGCCTGTGGGAATGCGAATATATTTTAAATGAGTTAGAAGGCTCTAAGCATATTCCTAGAAAGATGAGAGGGCATGGAATCAATATTTTTAAGATTCAGGCTGGACTTTCCCAAGAATATGACATTCTTGCTGGGTGTGGTGGCACACACCTGTAATCCCAGTTACTTGGGAGGATGAGGCAGGAGGACTGCAATTTCGCGGCCAACCTGGACAACTCGGCAAAACCTTATCTCAGTTTTTTTAAAAAAATGGGTGAGGGAGCTGGGAACATTAGCCCATGCCTATCACTTGGGAGGCTGAGGCAGGAGGATCATGAGTTCAAAGCCAGCCTCAGCAACCTAGCAAGGCCCTCAGCACCTTAGCAAGATCCTGTCTCTAAATTTAAAAATATAGGGCTGGGGTTGTAGCTCAGTGGCAGAGCTTTTGCCTAGTGCGTGTGAGGCACTGGGTTCGATCCTCAGTACCACATAAAAATAAATAAATAAAAATAAAGGTATTATGTCTGTCTACAACTAAAACATTTTTTAAAAAAAAGACTTAAATTTTAAAATATATTTTTAAAAAGAGGGCTGGGGATGTGGCCTTGTAGTTAAGGCCCCTGGGTTCAATCCCTGGTACCTACCCACTCTCCCCCACTAAAAAAAGGGCTAGGGATATAGCTCAGTGGTAGAGCACCCTGGATGGCCTCCATCCCCAGTAACACACAAAAAAATATGATATTCCTCTTATTCCTGTGTAAAGAAACCAGAGCTGGTGTTGCACATTTCATCAATAGGATAGTACACCCAGGAATCAAAATGGGGCTTGCTGATTATTATGATCAATATCTCTCTAGAGGAACCTCTACAGAGAAAAATGTCGGATGCAGAAGAAAATGCCCTGGAAGAAGCAGAAGAAAGTGAAGAAACAGATGTGGAAGAAGAAGAATACAATTTGAATTATAAAGAGGTAGAAAATATGGAGCAAAAATCAAAAGAAGATGACACATCAGTATGGAGAGAATCTCAGGAGGAGGAGGAGGGGGAAGTGATGGAGGAGGAGAAGGAGGAGGAGGAGGTGGAAGGAGAAGAGATGGAGGAGGAGGAGGAAGAGGTGGAAGGGGAAGAGATGGAGGAGGAGGAGGAGGAGGAGAAGGAAGGGGAAGAGATAGAGGAGGAGGAGGAGGAGGAGGAGGAGGAGGAGGAGGAAGAAGAAGAAAAGGAGGGGAAAAGGGATAAGGAGAAGGAGTGGAGAGAAGAAACAAAAGAGGAGAAGGGAGATGAGGGAGAGGAGAAGGAAGAAGAAGAGGGTGAAGGTGAGGAGGAAGGAGAGGCAGAGGAAGAGGAGGTGGTGGTGAAGGAGGAAGAGGCTGTTGTAAAAGAAACCGAGGACAAGTTTGGAAAAACTGAGGAAGAGGTGGCTGCAGGAGTCCAGGAGGACATCACAGTGATACCTTCAGAAATCATGTCCATGATCAGTTTGGAGAAAGAATTTTCTAGTTCTCAGTCATCCATTTCAGGAGCTTTCCTGGTAAGTAGAATTGTAATTCATTCCTCCATTCATTCAAAATCATTAATTGAATACTCAATATACACCAGGCTCTGGGGATACAAAACCAAATAAGACACAATCCATTTAATTAAGGAGCTCTAGGGTATGTCTGGAGGCAGACCCACAACTGCATACGTAACACAACATGGAGGTGCAGGGATTGTGAGATGCACAGGAGATTAAAAAAAAAAAAGTCAATTTAACCCATTTAGGAGGATGATCAGGACAAGTTCCCTGGAGGGAGGTGTGCACTCAGCTGACTTTAAAGGGCAGTAGGGGTTAGCGGAAGTGGGCTCATCTTAGCATCAGTGCAATAACAGTGGTATTGGCCTCCCCAGTCTGTTCCTAGTGGGGGAGAACTCAGCCCTGGCCCAACATAAATAACTTTGTGTCTAGCAGGCTTTTGGAAACCACCAATGACACTTAAAAGAATGATTTTACTGTCGTTGCCTGCTGGTAGGCTGAGAATAAATCCAGACTCACCCAGGACTCATTTTTTTTTCTATTAGTTATTGATGGACCTTTATTCATTTATTTGTTTATATGCGGTGCTGACAATCGAACCCAGTGCCTCCCACATGCTAGGCAAGCCATCTACCACTGAGCCACAACCCCAGCCCCTTGGACTCATTTCTTAAGCACAAAATGTGCCAGGCTCCTGACACATTATGAAAAACATCTCATAATTCCAAGGTGAGGCTAACACCAAGACTGGCTGGTGAAGAATAGAGGGAACAATAAATAGGAGAATGTGCAGGAGGCACTGTGTTTAGAATCACGATCTCCTTTTATTTCTTTTTAAAGGAAACCCAAGGAGATAAGTCTTCCTTACCATCAGGCAATTCTGAAATAAATGAAATTTTAAGAGATCTCAGCTCACAACATTCATTTCTGGATTTGGAGCAAATCAATAATGAGATTGATCAGACAGATTGGCAGTTCCCAGAAGAGCTTGAGGAGAAACCTGGAGAAGCTCCCCAAGACACAGTGGAACAAGCAAAAGGGGATTTGATATCAGAACAGGAAGCCACAGAATCAGAAGAGGATGAAAGGACACATGAAAAGAAAGAGTCATACAACCTCACTGAAAAAGGAGAAAAAGAAAGGGTCTCCAAGGAGTCCCTGGTGTCCACCACCACAGAGGATTCCTTGTTCCAAAAGGATGAGAGCACCCCTGTGTACCCCTTGGTAAGCATAAAGTGCACCTTCATTTCCCTGGTGCTTGGAGAGTATGAGAAAACAGGAGAATTGCATGTGTGTCTGGAGAACGTCCTACCAGAAAGATGCTTTTTAAGCTAAGAACTCTGGTTGGACATGTGTGATGAACGGGAACATGAACGCTCCATCTGGGTTCAATACTGTTGCTCAACGGGCAGGAAATTCCATGCATAGTTTGTTGCATAGGGTGCTGTTTTGAGCAAGAGACTCAAAATCTCGTCCTCCCTCTCTCCCCTTGACTTTTCTCCCTCTCCTCCCACCCTCTTTCCTTTTCTTCTCCTTTCCCACCTTCTTCTCCCTCCTCCCTCTTTCCTTTCCACCTGCCATGTTGTAACCTCCCGGGTCCCTTCAGTTCTTTCCCTTCCCCTTCTTGCCTCACCTCTCCGCCCTCCACTGGGTTGATGCCTTTATGGACTCCCCAAATCCTGGCCAGAAAAGTGACAGGTGTGATGAAAGTGGAGACTGCTTTGCAAAGCACCAGCCTGTCCCAAGGACTCTGCCTCTGCTGATGATATTCCAGGGAAGCACCATCTGGGAGGCATAAAAATATTGTCATGTACTCAGAGAAGGAAAAGCAGGGTTTTTTTTTTTCTTTTTCCCCTTCTTCTTCCTCCATCTGCTACTTTCAGAAAATCATTTCCTAGGATTTGCCTTGTTTTTCTTTTTTCCTGTAGTCTTATGCCTGTGGAAAGTTTGGCAGCAATCGATGGCATATAAAGTACCCAACATAGCTCCTAACACAGTGACCCACCATGGGTGTTCTACACTGTATGATGCAGAGGACAAGGACGATGGGGAGTGGAGTCATCCAGTGGGGAAGGCAGACTGCTACAAACCTCCTTTCTAGAGATTTGACCTTCTTTGAGCAGGGGTCTCCCACAGCCTGCAGTTGTTCAGCCTGAGCTGTAGACTAATGGGGCTGTGGGCCCATCCAGACTTTGGTCTTATTTCTCCAGCTCACCAGAGCTCAGGTAGGATGGCCGCAAGAGCGAGGAATCCATGCCCGGCCTGCCGCTGGCCTCCAGGAGAGCCATTCCCCAATTCTGGTTCCAGTCGGCTTTGGTCTCGCTGAAGGACCAAAACTTTCCTGGATCTTTGCAAGTTTCTTTAGCTTTTTGAAAGTACCTTTCTCCTTTATTATTTTTCTTTTGTTTAAACCAATCAGTGCTCTTTGTAAAGACGTCATACAACATAGACATGTCTGAAGGAAGAGCCCTCTCCCACACCCACTCCCATCCATCTCGCTTCCCTGGGAACTCCTGCTCCATCTGGGAGACTGTGTCTTTCCTGATCTTTCTCCTGACGAACACCAACATACTGTGTGTTCATAGGGTGCACACACACACACAGCTCACATTTGGTTTAATTTTTTTTCTTTTTTAACCACTGAGATATCCTGCATTTGTGCAAGATGTGGAAAACTCGGTATGTCTTGGAAGGTTTCTGATATCGGTGCCTGTAGCTCCATTTTTTCTTTTTAAATGTAACTGCTCACTTCTCTGTAGCCATTTATGTTTCTTCTAATTCCTTCTTCCCTCTCACAAAAGTTGCCATGGGGAATGTGCTCCTCCTTCTCTCTTGTGCCTCCGGTGGCCACCTTTTTCTTTTGAGGTCCCCTGAGAGAAGTCACAATGCTACTGGCAAAAGACATAACCATGAATTCCACCCAGCCAGGAAACAAAGTAATCATGTTCTTATGGGCAGGATCTCAGAATATCACACACAGAGAAGTTCAGGTTTGACAATAAAATTTTATTTTTCACATCAGCATGTTTTAGGAAAAGGCTGAGGTAAGAGGTGGCTCCCTCCTGGTCATTTGTCCCCCACGTTAGAGCTGATATAGAATATAGGGATTAACACTCTGCTAGGTGACGAGTCCCATCATCACTGGGTGAAGGCAGCCCAGTTGACCTGGGAAGAGCTGCTGTAGCTGAGGAGAGAGTCTGTCCAGAAATGTTTGCTTTTTATAACTAATTTACAAAATGGAAAAATTAATTTTCAGGATTAATATGATGATCCTTTTAGGATTAGCGACTTTCCAAAAGAACAATTTCATTTTGCATGAATCAGTTTTTAAGAACCAAATATTAAATAATTCTGTTCCTAGAAGTTGCAGTTTGAGACAATTATGATTCCATCGTTCTACCACTCACGCCCACACAATAAAAGATCTAAATAGAAATATAAATTATAAGGAACAGGCACATGGAAACAGAACAGGACAGAGAATGAAGAATGAAGGAGAGGGAAATTGGCCATGTTACCTGCTATGTCTGTCTTGGGGAAAAATGTATGGTATATCCATTTAACTTTATAAGTACTTAGTTCATAGATAAGAAAGGAAACTTTCCCGATTTTGTTTCTATAGTCCAATATAATTCCCTGATTTTTAACGTCTCATCATTCAAACATCACTTTCTACATTCTTCCATGTTTAATTAATTGTCCCTAATTTTTTAAAAAGAATTTTAACTTATTTTACTTATCTATTTTTTTTAATGTGTGCTGAGGATTGAACCCAGTGCCTCATCCATGCTAGGCAAGTGCTCTACCACTGAGCTATAGCCCCAGCCCCCTGGTTAAAAAAAAAAAAAAAAAAAAAAATATATATATATATATATATATATATATATATATTTCTTTTTTATTTATTTATTTTAAGAAGTTGATGGACCTTTATTTTTTTAAAATTTATTTGTATGTGGTGCTGAGAATCGAACCCAGTGCCTCATGCATGCTAGGCAAGCGTGCTACCACTGAACCACAGCCCCAGCCCCATGGTTAATTTTTAATAGACCTTATTTTTGAGCAGTTTAAGCTTATTGAAAATTGAGCCCAGGGGCTGGGGATGTGGCTCAATCGGTAGCGCGCTTGCCTGGTATGCGTGTGACCCGGGTTCGATCCTCAGCACCACATACAAACAAAGATGTTGTGTCCGCCGATAACTAAAAAATAAATATAAAAAGAAAAAAAAGAAAAGAAAATTGAGCCCAGAGTTACAGAGTCCCATCGGTTCCCTTGCACCTCCCTCTTCCCCAGGTGACCCTTTTATTAACATCCTGCAAGAGCAGTACATTTGTTGGCCTCCGTGGGCCAACATTGACAAATCATTGTTAACTAAAGTCCTTGGTTCACATTAGGGGGTCACTCTGTGCTGTATGCTGTGTGGGCTTTGACAAGCACGGAATGATGTGTATCCACCATTTCAGGATCTTTCAGGAGAGATTCACTACCCTCAGGATCCTCATGCTCCACCTATTCCCTCTTCTTCCTCCTGCTGGGCCCTGGCTGCCGCTGGAGTTGTCACTGTCTCTGTCATTTTGCCTTTTCTAGAATGTATGGAGCCCTTTTAGATGAGCTTCTTTTACTTAGCAATATGCATGTAAGGGTTCTCCATGTCCTGCTGTGGCTCAGCAGGCCATTTCTTTTTATCATTGAATTGCATCCCATTGTACGGATACACCACAATCTGTATGGATACACAAAAGATTACTACAAAAACAAGCTGTCATTGAATTAAAAGCAGTAGACTTTAAACATAAAATTATAATAAAAAAGCTTTTCTATTCAATTAAAAGTAATAGATTTAGCTGGGTTCAATGGTATATATGTGTAATCCCAGCAATTTGGGAGGCTGAGGCAGGAGAATCCTACGTTCAAAGCCAGCTCTTCAGCAACTTTGCAAAGCCCTAAGCAATTTAGCAAGACCCTTTCTGAAAATGAAAAATAAAAAGGTCTGGGAATGTGGCTCAGTGTTTAAACACCCCTGGTTTCATACCTCATATCCGCCCCCCCCAAAATGTAATAGGTTTTAGTACTTATAATTTTTTATTTAATGAAATTTTTATTTTTGGATTTATTCCTAGAAATGTGGAACTTTTAATTCTTCTAAGAGAATTTTGTCTTTTTATCTTTTATCCTTCCAGGAAAAAATGGTATATAAGAACCAAATCTTAGGTTGAATACTTGCCTTTCTTGTTACTTATTGACTTTATTATCACCTGACTGTTCACTGTGCTTTCAGGAAGTAGTGGAATTTCACCATGTTAACTGCTCACTGTGGGTTGGTGCCTAGTGAGGTCTGGGTCTTGGGGAATGGAAGAGTAGGGAATGGTTTCTATTTACTGTTAAAGGCTTTTTCTTTTCTTTCTTTCTTTTTCTTTTTTTTTTTTTTTCTAACTGGGATTGAACCCAGAGGTGCTTAACCACTGAGGCACATCCCAGTCCTTTCTTGTATTTATTTAGAGATTGGTCTCAGTTGCTTAGGGCCTTGCTAAGTTGCTGAGGCATCCATCCATCCCACTGCCTTTCCATTTTCATTTGCAAAACCGAAACTCTGCACCCATTTAACCAAATCTCTCCTTCCTTTCCTCCCTCAGCCGCCGGCTCTTGCTGTTCTCCTTTCTCTCTCTGAATTTGGAACCATAGCAGTGCTTGTCCTCTCATGACAGGCTTATTTCCCTTCATGTTTTCAAGGTTCATCCATGTAGCCTGGGTCAGAACTTTCTTCCTTTGAAAGACTGAATAATATTCCGCTGTAGGGAAAGACGGCAGTCTGTTCATCCATTCATTCACCAGTGGACACTGGGGTTGCTTTTGCTCTTATGAATCGTGCTGCTATGGACATGAGTGTACAAATATCTTTTGAGTCTTTCCTTTCAACGGTTTTGGATTTATACTCAGAAATTTAATTGCTAGATCAAATTGTAATTTTTTCTCCAGCACTGGGGATTGTACCCTGGGCACTCTACCACTGAGCTACATCCCTAGTTGCTGCCCTTCCACCTCCCCCACTCCTACCCTGCTTTTTCTTTCTTATTTTGACACAAGGTCCTGTTAATTACCCAGACCACCCTTGAACTTGTGATCCTGCTGCTTCAGCCTTCTGAGTAGCTGTGATGTCAGGCACGTGCCACCATTCTTGGTGTGATAATGCTATTTTTAATTTTTTTGATCTTTGATTTCATTTTTAATTATCTCAAATTTTATGATCACATAATTTGCAAATTTGTGCTGATGGGATATCTCTTCTACTTTAATCCTTCTAGTGAGTTGGCAAAAGCACCATTACCCAATCACACTTCCACAGTTTTCCCACAGTTTTTGTGTTTTTGAATAGCTGTTTAAGAACAATCTTGCATTATAACTTAGTCTGATACAGAAAGTATTCAAAAGTATAATCTAGTTTGCTATTGTATCATGCTGACTTTAAAACATCTGAACTTGCAAAAATGTGTTACATATTCTTTGTTTGATATTTTACACATAAGTAAAAGACAGCATTTTATTTTATTTTGGGTACTGGGGATTGAACTCAGGGACACTTGACAACTGAGCCACATCCCCAGCCCTATTTTGTATTTTATTTAGAGACAGGGTCTCACTGAGTTACTTAGCACCTTGCTTTTGCTGAGGCTGGCTTTGAACTTGCAATCCTCCTGCCTCAGCCTCCCAAGCCACTGGCATTACAGGTATGTACCAATGCACCTGGCAAAGGCAGCATTTTAGATATGAGGAATTCTAATTAAATTGGATTGGTCAACAAAAATATAAAGTAGACCAGACTGCTTCCTTGTCCTCAGCCACGGTCCTTAACAGGCTGATGAACACAAATTGAAACGCGTGTGAGTCTTGTTGGGCTCAGAGACAGTGAAGGGATCTCCTCCAGGATTTAAACTTGTTCACAGAACCAGTCATGTAATCTAAGTATAAAACCAGCCTTCAGTAGGCTTTAAATGGCCTTCACTACCCTGTGAAAGGTTGGACATTACTAATGAATTCTAACCATATCTCTGGAAAGGAAAAATGGTGATCATACTTACTGAACTGGGATTATCATCAAAACTTTTTTAAAAATCATGTCCATTGAACTACAAATCAATTTTATTTGAACCAAGCCTGTCCAAAAAAATATTCTGCCAGGGCTGGGATTGTAGCTCAGTGGTGGAGTGCTTGCCTTGCATGTGTGAGGCACTGGGTTTGATCTTCAACACCACATAAATAAATTAAAAATAAAGCTATAGTGTTCATTTACAACTAAAAAAAAATCTGCCAGCCATTCCTGATCTGAATTCTGGTGTCTGTCATCAAGTAAATGATGGTGCATGCAAGAAAGCCATGAGGCATTCTGTTTTGTAATAAACAAGCCTGTGGCTATTACTCGTTAGTAGCTTTTCTGAGTTTTTCAGATAGTTTTTGTTCTGGGAGGTTCCTTTTTGAGATTCTCCAGATACTCTATCAGTGCTCCCTGTCCCCAGGTGACACCTGTATTCCTGTTGGGGAACCCAGGCCTGACATGCCTTCCACCCAAGCAGTCCAAGGCTCAGCCCAGTCTTGCACTGGCTGCTCTTCCCTTGGTGTGGCCCTGGGCACACTTCTGAACAAGAACCTTCTTGTCTTTCTCTACATCACCCATTTTTATCTTGCAGCAATTTCTCTGCCCTGTGCACCTCTTATCAGCTTATAAGACTTCTTCTTATAAGCTACTCTCCATTCTCTTCTGTTCTTAATTTTTTGGGGGGATGGGTACAAGGGATTGAGTCCAGGGATGCTTACCACTGAGCAACATCCCTAGCCCTTTTTATTTGTTTGAGACAGCATCTTCCTAAGTTGCTGAGGCTGGCTTTAAACTTGTGATCATCCTGCCTCAGCCTCCCGAGCTGCTGGGACTACAGGTGTGTACCACCTGCCCATCTAATGTAGGGTTTTTTTTTTTGTTGTTGTTTTTTTTTTTGTGTGTGTGTGTGAGGTTTCTTTCACTTAGTGTCCCCTCTTCAAAGATTCTTTCATATTGTAGCATGTAGAGCCTTTCTTTTTCTTTTTTCTTTTTGAGTCGGGTGGGTACCAGGGATTGAACTCAGAAGCACTTGACAACTGAGCCACATATTTAGCCCTATTTTTTTTGTGGGGACAGGTACCAGGGATTGAACTTGGGGGCACTAGGCCACTGAGCCACATCCTCAGCCCTATTTTGTATTTTATTTAAAGACAGGGTCTCACTGAGTTGCTTAGCGCCTCACCATTGCTGAGACTGGCTTTGAACTCATGATCCTCCTGCTTCAGCCTCCCAAGCTGTTGGGATTAAAGGTGTGGGCTACCCCACTGGGCTTTTTTTTTTTTCTTTCTTGAGATGGTGTCTTGCTGTCATCCAGGCTGGCATCAAAATTCTGGACTCCCACGATTGTTCCTACCTCAGCCTTATGAGTTCTGAAACTGTTGTCCTGTACCATGTACCCGGCTCACTGCTGAGAATTTTCTTAAAGTGATTTTTCTCTGTGGCACTGGTGCTGTGGAATTCTTCTCTGGGTATTGGTGCAGGAGCGTGGCTCTGGGCTCTGCACACTAGCATCCTGCTGGTTTTGCTTTTGTCTTCTAGAACTTGACCTGGTCGTTTGGATGGAACAGTTCCCTCCCTGTCTTCTATGTCCGTGAGAAGAACCATAGAGTCCTTCTGTACGTGTCTTCTCACAATGCCGTCATCTATAATATCTTCAGGAATAGCCAGTACCACCTGCAGGTATGTGGGGCTTTTCCTGCTTGTAAAGGGCTCTAACTTGTGGGTAGTGTTTTGCTTTGGACTTTCAGGCTGACTTCACTGTATCATTATCATACTTTCCTGCCTCTCCTTTGAACTACAGCAAATCCTGCTATTTTTTTTAAAGAGAGAGAGAGAATTTTTTAATATTTATTTTTTAGTTATGGGTGGACACAACATCTTTGTTTGTATGTGGTGCTGAGGATTGAACCCGGGCCGCACGCATGCCAGGCGAGCGCGCTACTGCTTGAGCCACATCCTCAGCCCAAATCCTGCTTTTAGAAACATGTTATTGTTCACTGTTTCTATGATTCTAATCAGCATCAGTTGACAAATAGCAGTGGATATTAATTTTATCCTTGCAAGAATTTAAAACATCTGTATTTTTTACATTTCTGCAAAAATGTGGACAATGTAGACCATGATGTCTCCAGAGAACCACAGTGAACACAAGGACATCTGTTCACCAGGGAGTCAGGCCTAATGAATACTTAGACTCCTTTCCAGTTTCCAATGAGCTTGGATCCTCATAACCAAGCTGAGATGTAGGTATTAACATACCCATTTTACAGAAAAAGAAACTGAGGCTCAGAATAGTTTAAGTGACTTGCCCAAGACTGTGGGTGGTAAACAGTGACTGGAGTTCTCCTGACCTGAATATATTTAGGAGGTCAGTGGGCCTCCTGTCCCTCCCTCCCTACAGTAGCTCTCTTAGTTCAACCCTGCCTTCCTCCTGTGCGTCCTCCATGCTGTCTTCCTCCTACCACTCTGTTTCCTTCATTCTTAACATTTTACCCCTCTCATTGTCATCACTCATCTACCTAACTGTCCTGTTTCTTGGTGTCTGACATGCCCTGGTTGACCTGGTGAACAGTTCTGTGTTATATTTTCATTGACTTGCTTTGTTATAGGACCCTCCTTAGTCAATACCTAGTTCAAAACCTTCACAAAGTATTTACCAAGAACCCGGACAATGTTGAGCACTGAGCCAGGAGTCCAAGGCACACACACGCAGCTCCAGGAGTTTCCTTCCTGGAAGCACAGAAACACTGACATCAATCAGCAGGCAGCCGCCTTGGAGCTTGGTTGAGTGTGCAGCACAGAGGGCAGAAGCTCCAGCTGAAGGGAAGGGAGCTTGTAGACAGGCTCGGCTGAGCTGGGAGAGGGAAAGGAGGGTCATGCTCCACAGAGTCCAGCCTCACCAGAGTCAATGGCTGGGAATGGCCTTGACCATTCATCATATCACAAACGTGAATCATGACCACTGCGTTTCTGATTGTGGGTCTGCAGTCGTGAACAAAGCAGGTGTAGTCCCTGCCCTAGTGAGCATCCAGACTAGTGTGGAAAGACATCAGATAGGTGAACGCATGACGACATGGTCACACTGTAACAGAGCAAAAATACTCCAAGAAAAATCGGGGTGAGAGAGAATTACTTTAACTTTTTAAAAAATTGAACCCAGGGATGCTTACCACTGAGTTCCATCACCAGCCCTCTTTATTTAATTTAATTACTTAATTTATTTATTTACTAATTTATCTTTTGTACTGGGGATTGAACGTAGGGGCATTTTACCAGTCCTTTTTTAATTAAAAATTTTAAATGTTTTATTATTATTATCATTGTTATTATTATTATTTAACTATTTTAAAACTAGTTAATAGACCTTTATTTTATTCATTTATTTATATGTGGTGCTGAAAACCGAACCCAGTGTCTCACATGTGCTAGGCAAATGCTCTACCACTGAGCCATAACCACAGCCCCTGTTTTATTATTTTTAACATTAATGTTTTGGTATTGGAGATTGGACCCAGGGGCTCTTTACCACTTTACCAGTCATTTTACTCTTTACCAGTCCCATCCCCAGTCCTTTTTTGTTTAAATATTTTTTTATTTGTTGATGGACCTTTATTTTATTAATTTATTTATATACTGTGCTGAGAATTGAACCCAGTGCCTCACACATGCTAGGCAAGTGCTCTACCACTGAGCCACAACTCCAGCCCCGCAGTTCTTTTTATTTTTTGTTTTGAGACAGGGTCTCACTCAATCTGAGGGCCTTGCTAAATTGCTGAGGCTACCTCCTGCCTCAGCCTTCGGAGCCCTGGGATTATGGGCGTGGCCACTGCAGCCTGCACTTAGAAAGTCTGTTTCTGCTGAGACCTGAGGGATGAGAATGAGCCAACAGGGACAGTTTAAGGGAAAGAACTTTCCAAATTGAGGGAGCTCCACGTGCTCGTGTTTGAGGCTCAGAGAGAAGGCCAGGTGGCTGGTGCAGAGCCAGGAGGGAGTGAGGGAGCCGAAGGACACAGGGCTCCCTGTGCTGCGCTTTCAGACGTTCACATGCTTCCGCAGGATGCCTCTGTTGTGCGGGGCCACCCTAGGAACATAAGAGAGACCAGGAGGATTGTCTCTCTCCAGAGGGGAACTGTGTCCCAGGAGGTGGGCTGCGGGGAGCCCCGTGAGTGGGTGGGAGATCCCAGGCATCATCTTTTTCTCAACCTGGGTTGGGGGGTTGGGTAATGCCCCCACTCCCAGGGAGCCACCGTTCCTGTGGGGAGTGTGGCTTATTCTTCAGGTGTTTGAGGAGAGGAATTCTGAAAAAAACCCACCACGAGATGGAGGAAATCATGGGCAGGCCCACGGGAAAAGTTCCTACCCAGAGGAGCCTTGAAGGGAGCTCAGATCTCTCTGCGGGTCCCCAGTCTTCTCTGAGGTGCGTGAGGCTGGGCCCATCCTGGGTGCTTCAGAGCAGTTTCTCCTTATTTCCACAGGGCCACCCCAACCTCATCTCCTGCCTCTGCATCAGTGAAGACAGGCGGTGGGTTGCCACAGCGGACAAAGGGCCAGACTGCCTGATAATTATATGGGACACCTTCACAGGGTAGGCTTGTTCGGTCCCTCCTCCCCCTCCTCTTCCTCCTCCTCCTCCTCTTCGTCTTCCTCCTCCTCCTCTTCGTCCTCCTTCTCCTCTACTCCTCCTCCTTTCCTCCTCCTCCTCTTCCTCCTCTCCTCCTCCTCCTCCTCATTTAATTCCCAAGTGGTTTTGTTCAAAAGAAACATTTAAGTCAACTTTTTCATTGCTGTAACAAAAAGACCTAACAAGAATAATTAGAGGAAGAAAAGTTTATTTGGGGGCTCATGGTTTAGAGGCCTTAGTCCATCAATAGCCAGCTTCATACCTTGGGGCTCCAGGAGGGCAGAACCTCATGGTGGAAGGGTGTGGTAGAGGAAAGCAGGTCAGGACATGGCCACCAAGAAGCAGAGAGAGCGTGTAGTCGCTTCTTTTCCCCCTGATTTCTGTACAGTGTCTGCCATCCAGTAAGCAAAGAACGAGTAACACTGAGGCCCCGAAACTTGGTTAGTTGGTGGCCCCAAGTAGCCTGGGCTGGGAGGGGCTGACTCACAGTATCCCACCACACATAAGCTCAAAGGATAAACCAGAAGTCAAATCGGCCACTTGCAATAAAAACCATTGCTTTCATAAAGACAGATTTTCTAGTCCCGGGTCAGCCTACCTTTTCTGGGGAAAAAAAATATTTTTCAGTGCTGGGCAAGGAACCCAGGGCCTCATACTAGCTAGGCAAGGCTGTACCACTGAACTCCACCTAGCCTCCCTGGGAAGTCCTAAGTGGTCATCCCCAAGTGCTCCCTTGCCCCAGCATGCCATATGTGTTCCATGCTGCCTGGCCTCCCGGCTGCGGCACATTTCCTGGTGGGTGTGCTTTATTATGTTCCATGTGTTTGCCTGCCACAGAGGCTCTCCCATGCGCTGTTCCTTGGCAGCCCCTCCACTTCTGACAGCTCACCCTGCTCACAACCTTCAGTTGACCTTTCCCTCCTTTAAAATTAGTAGGCTTTCACTTTTTTAGAGCAGTTTTAGATTAATAGGAAAATCGAGAGGATAGTAGAGAAGGTTCCCTGTATCTGTTATTTACATCTTACACTAGCGTAGTACATTGTTGAATTAAGGAACATTGTCATTATTTACATAGGAGTATACCTAGATTTCCTTCCTTTCATCCTAATGTCCCTATTCTGTTCTGGGATCCCATCCAGGTGACCACCTTAGATTGACTTGTCATGTCCCCTAGGCTCCTCTGGGCTGTGGCGTCCCCAGCCTTCCCTGGTTTGGGGATGACCTTCGCAGTTTTAGGGACCAGGGCTTCTAGGGAGCCCTCCATGGGAATGGGTCTGGCGTTCTTCTCATGGTAGGACCCAGAGCCCTTGACCCACTGCAACATCTGAGACGTGAACCACAGTAGGCGTTGTCTCCTGGGTAGATGGCAAGTCCTTTCAGTCCAGTGTCGCAGAAACCAGCCCAGGGCCTAGAGAGGAGGTCAGCAAGTCCAGGCTCAGACATGGGAGCCTGGGCCCAGGCGGTGGGATTCTGCACCCTCCAGGTCTGCTTGGCAGCTCATGCCCCTCTTGCTGGTGACGCTGGAAGGGAGTCTGCAGGAATCAAGGTGGCCACCCTTCAGTGCCCTTCTTCCTAATCATGAAGCTCAGCATTTGTGCCCCCCTCAGCATCAGCTGAGGAATTGAGGGACTTCTAGGGGCCAGCGCAGCACTGCTCAACGCGTGACACACAGGCTGAGCTGGCCCGTGCTGAACAGGAAGCAGAGAAAGTGAGAGGAAGCTTCTGGGAACTCAGTGGCCATCTGACCTCGCCACAGTGTTTTTACTTTATGAAAGCATTTGTCTGCAGTAGAGTGACAAATTTAGAAAGAGTCCTTCACCTCAGGTAGTTTGGGAAATGCTAGGCAAGAAGCTGCGTGGGCAGCTGGGTGTGGGCAGACTGCTGTATTGCTTGGGGCAACAGCTGCCAAGCAGGAGGCTGGCTTAGCTGGGAATGGGACTGGGAATTTGGAAACGCGAGTGCAGCTCGGTTTAATCACTGGGAATACAGTAGATGTCCACCAAAGTGGAGGGAAAGAGCCCTGGAGTTCCAGAAAGCAAAACCGCAGCGTGTGGTGACGCCTACATGCTGACTTGGTGGATTCCTGAGTGACATGATAGCCACGTGGCCAGGAGGAAGAGCGCGCAGGCTTTGGGGCCACCTGGCTTCCATCCCAGTCCTGCTGTATGCTTCCTGTGAGGATTGGAGGCCTAAAGAAACCAAGTGACTTTTCCATTTGTGGAAAAAATGAGGCTAATACCTACTGTTTGACTTCTTGAGGCTGCTGTAACAAATTACCACAAGTTGGGTGGCTTAAAATAGCAAAAGTTTACTCTCTCATAGTTCTGGAAGCCAAAAGCCCAAAATCAAGGTGTTAGCAGGTTGGTTCCTGCTGGGGTCCCTCCCCTGGCTTCCACAGCTTGTCGCACCCCTCGGCATTCCTTGGCTGTGGACGCAGCCCCCCAGCCTTTGCCTCCATCTTCGCAGGTGTTTCCCACCCCCCACCCCGTGTCTCTCAGTCTTCATTCTTCCCTGGGTGTCGGGCCGTCCTCATCCAGTATGATTTCATCTTGACTAATTCCATCTGCAAGACCCTGTTTCCAATGAGTCACATCCTGAGGTTCTGGGTGGACAGGAATTTGGGGGCACACTGTTCAGCTGACTCTCACAGGACTGTTGTGAAAATCAGGTGAATCCACACCTGGCCCAAGATAGATGCTCATAGCGGGGTTTTCTTTTGTAATCCCTGCCCTAGAGGCAGAGAGCAGCTCTAGATTCTCCAGCAGGAGCTTAAGGCCCTGGTTGGGTGTGTGGGGAAGGGAGTGGCAAGTCCAGGGGAATGAGAAGGTTAGGCAGAAGTCCTGTTAATATCCTGGAGCGAGGGTCTGGAGCGAGGGTCGGGTCCCCCAGCTTCCTGGAGATCTCCACAGGCCACGCCACCCAGTCTCCGCCCTTACCTTACTTGGGTCTCAGTGGCATCTGACACTGCATTTCCTGTGGCTTCTCTGACACCACAGCCCCCTAGTTCCCTTCTGCTATGGCCCTTCCTTCTAGTCTCTTCTCAGGATCCCCTTCCCGGCCATCCCTTGAACACCACCCATGGTGACAAGGCCACCAGCACCATTGTTCCCCAGATAGGAGAGTCTAATCTCAACAAGGGCTCTCTCAGCATCCCCTCTTCTTCCTGATGAGGAAGTGCTAGAGGACTCTCCACCTGGATGTCCCCGGGCCTCTCCTGCTGAAGGAGGAGTTTTGGGAGGGATCTCCCAAACTGCCTTGGTGACCTCCCCACTGCCTGGCCTCTCCTGTCTCCTCTTCTCTCCCCTCTCCCCTCCGCTCTCTCACCTGGGCTATTGCAACAAGCTCCTGGCTGATCTCCCTCCCAGCGGTTCACTGTGTGACTCATTCTCCATGACACAGATCTTATTTCATTGTGATAAAATATACACAACTTAAGGGATTGTGGCTGGGTGGTAGAGTGCTTGAGAGGGCCTGGGTTTGATCCTCAGCACCACATAAAAATAAATAAATAAAATAAAGATATTTGTGTCTAACTACAACTAAAAGAAATAAAAATAAAATATATGTATATACGCAACTTAAAATTTACCACTTTAACCATTTAAAAATGTGTAATTCAATGGTATCAATTATAGCCACCATGTGCAACCATCACCGCTATTTCCACAAACTGAGTGGCATTTTTATCACTCAAATAGAAACTCTGGACTCATGAACTCCGCATGCTGTCTTGCCCAGGCCCTGCCTTCTGCCTCTGTACATGTGTCTACTTTGGACATTCATAAAATCACGCAATATATGGCCTTTTGTGTCTGGCTTCTTTTACTGAGCATGTTTCAAGATTCATCTGTGTCATAGCATGTGTCAATGCCTCATTCCTTTTGATGACTGAATCAACATTCCATTATATGGATAAATCACATATTTATTTATTTGTTTATACATTATTTTTGCAGTATTGGGTGTTGAATCTAGGGATGCTCTACCATTGAACTATATCCCTATCCCTTTTTTTTTTTTTTTGTATTTTTTATTTTGAGACAGGGTCTTGCTTAGTTGCTGAGGCTGACCTTGAACTTATGATCCTCCTGCCTTAGCCTCCCCAGTAACTGGGATTAGAGGTATGCACCACTGTACCTGGCTTATCTGTGGATTTTGATGAAAACCCAATTATGTTAATCCGCTTCAACTGAAAGCTAAAGTCTTGGCTAGCTTTCATCTCCAGTCCTAGTGCTCTCTCCAACCTGGCCACAAGGGAAAGTCACCACCTCATGCAGCAGGATGTCCACAGAACCTGTCTCAGAGGCCTGTCAGCTGTGCCTCTTCCCCTGGACAGAGCTCGGCCTGTTATGAGCAGTTCTGGCCTGTTGATCTTTTATTCATGATGAAGCTGTTCCCCTGCTAGATGCAGCATCTTGAAGGGAGTGACATTTTTTTTTCCTAAATCGAAAATAAAGCATATCTGTGATCAACAATTCAAATGTCACGTGGATACAAGTTTTATGATCTCCCAAATGGTGACTCTGGGACCCAGAAAAGATTACTCAGAGAATGTTTTGGCTTTAGAATTAATATCCTCTGTATTGAAGTGACAGATTACAAACAAAATGCTTCCTTAAACATTTTGTTCACTTTCTCATTTATAAATCTAGCATATTTTTGTAATCACTTTTGAGAAAGCTTGGATTAATGTTTGGCTTCACAAATTTGATTATTAGCTCTTTTTAAGCATTTCAAACTGCATTTATAAATTTAATATATTCAGTTTTACATGTTTTTAGTAGTCTAACAAATTCTTCACTGGTACTTAAGTAATTCTTAGAAATCTAATAAATTTAGTCACAAATATGGCAAATCTTAAGTTGTCTTAAGTGTTATAACATTGTACAACTTAATAGGATTTCAATTTAAAATCATAAGTCTAAATCCACTATGTGTTTTAAATTAGAATCAAATCTAATCTGGTAGAAACTTTGATATGTGAAATTCTCTTAAACATTATGCATTCCTTAAAAAAGAAGAACAAATTTTCTTATCATAAATATGTTACTTCTATGGATTTGACTGACTTCTCCATGTTTAATTCTAAATGTCTTCAGAGATGAGATACATTTTCCCACTGAGAACTCCACTGTGTCACTCCCAAGAATTTGAGGGTTGCCTTTCAAGTGAATTGTGAAATGACAGAACCTGAGTAGGCCTCAGCTAAGACACGGACTTGATTAAGACAGTTGGGGTGCCAACGTGACAAACTTAGGCCCATTTAAATTCACTGGGAACAGGACACCATAGTGGAACAAAGTGGGGCGCAGCCTGCCTGGCTCCCATCCTTTTTTAAAAAATATTTTTTTAGTTGTTGATGGACCTTTATTTTATTTATTTGTATGCGGTGCTGAGGATTGAACCCAGTGCCTCACACATGCTAAGGCAAGTGCTCTACCACTGAGATACAGCCCCAGCCTCTGGCTTCCATCTTACTGCCACCCACTCTCCCCTCACAAGAGAAGCACGTGGACCCCCAACCCCATGTTACAGCCCACCTGCTCCAGTGCTGCTGGGGTTTCTTGCTTTCTTTGTCTGTCTCAGGTATGTCAAGGTCATCTGCTTAAATTCTGCACACGTCAAGCTCCACCTGAGCTGTACAGTTGTAAGTCCTTACCAGGGACACATACAGAAGCGTGCAGGTAGAAAAGGAAAGTCCCTTCTCTGCCAGACCATCTCCAGACTGCAACCACCGTGGACAGTCTGCAGTCACTCCTACAGGCCTTTCTCGTACATATAAATGCCCTCACACCCTGAGGTTCTGGGTGGACAGGAATTTGGGGGCACAATGTCCGTCTGAATCTCACAGGATTGTTGTGAAAATCAGGTGAATCCACACTGTGTGCCACAGTCAAAATGACACTATGGATTTGTTTCGTGATATGCTCTTCTCACAAAGTTCTCGGTCACTCTCTCAGATCTATCCCATTCTTTTTGTGGCAGCCAAGTTTTTCCACTCGATGGCTTTGCCATAATAGTTTAAAATAATTCTTATTTTAACAGGTTTGTTTTGCTTTTTTAAATTTTGCTGTTAACACAGCATCACCAAGAAGATGCATCTTGGTTTATTTTGTTTAATTTTCCTATTATTTCTCTAGAAAAGTCACAGGAGTTGCAATTGCTGGACCTTAGAGTACAGATAGGGTTTAAAATTCAGATAGTCAGAGCTACATTGCTCCCAGGAAGGTGGTGCTTATTTGTTCTCTGTGTGCAGGGGGCACCCATTTTCCTGAGCTGGGCACCTCCTAGTTGTGGTTTTTATATTTGCATCCTTCATGCCTGGTGAAGCGCCTCATGCTGAATTGGCACCTGGGAACAGGTGACAGGGCCACTAGAGCTCGTGCAGGGTGAGCTCTAACACACAGCATTCGTGTCCTCTTCCCTGTTAGGCTGTTGGTTGTTACTGAGGCAAATTCACAAAACATAAGATTGGCCATTTGGATGTGTGCAGGTGGTTGGGCATTTAGTACATTCCCAATGTTGTGCACTCATCCTTCTGTCTAGTTCCAAAATATTCTCATCCCCTCAGAAGGAGACCCTGTACCCAGTAGGAGCAGAAGCCTCCCATCTGCTCTCCAGCCTCTGGCAACCACATCTGCTCTCTGTCTCTGGATTTGCCTGCTCTGGACATTTCATATCAATGGAACCACAGAATGCATGGCCTTTGTGTTTGTCTTCTTTCACTAGCATGTATTTTTGTGGGGCAGGAGAGGGATACTGGGGATTGAACTCGGGGGTACTTGACCACTGAGCCCCAGCCCCAGCCTATTTTGTATTTTATCTAAAGACAGGGTCTCACTGAGTTGCTCAATGCCTCACTTTTGTGGAGGCTGGCTTTGAGATCCTCCTGCCTCAGCCTCCCAAACTGCTGGGATCACAGGCGTGCACCACCGCACCCAGATAGCATCATGCTTTTAAGTTTTGTCTGCGTTGTAGCCTGTGTCAGGGCTTCACTCCATTTTATGGAATAGTGAGTAATAATGAATAAATTAACTAGACACAGATATTCTTATGTTGTTATTAGTGATTAATAATGAGTCAATTAAACATAAATATCCTATTGTGTAGATAGACCACATTTTGCTGTGGTTTTGGAAGGTTTGAGCTGAGCTGGACGCTGTTCCTCCCTGTCCTGTTTTGCAGGATTCCTGTGCACACCATATTTGACAGCTGCCCAGAAGGTAATGGCATTAGGGCAATAGCCATTACCCGTGACGCCAAGTATCTGGCAACCATCTCAGACGCTGACGTCCAGGTAAAGGGCCCTCTGGGTTGGCCTCAGCAAGCTGGTCAACCTGTCAGGTGTCCCCACAGTCAGCTCTGCTCCAGCCAGCTGGCCTCTGAAGTATTCCCAGGAGATGACCAGACTCCATGGTGCAGAGTTGGTGCTTCCTGCTTTGTGGCTTGGCTTGTGGTCCATTGCTTAGTTGCCTGATGTTACCATGTCACCACAAGGGACATAGCTCTCTGCAGCAGCCCTCAGAGGCCTTCTCACTGTGCTCTCCTTTGTAGAAAGTGTGCATCTGGAAGTGGACTTTGGCAGTGGAGACGCCGGCGTGCAGTCTCCTTCTCCCCAAGGAGTATGGTTTCCAGGTAGGTCAGTCTGGTCCTATAACCCTCAGCCTGACCTCACACTGAAGCCAGGTCAGAGCCTACCTTTTGCTTTGGTGGAATTCTGCTGTGGTGCAGCAGCACTTTTAAAAGTACTTTCATATCCCAGGCCTTGTTTATCTTTGCTTAGAAAAGCTAATATAGTTCAAGCACTTATTATGTGCCAGATTTGGCTAAATTCTTTACTTTCGTGATCTCACATAATCCAGGCAAACATGCTAGCAAGGAGATATTAATGTCTGTGGACTATTAGTAATTATTCAATAATCGGTCTGAAGTCACCCAGCTAGCAGACTTTCCTCTTCTAGACACGTGCTCTTAACTGCTTCTAACCTTATCAGAAGCTCATTGAAGTATGGAGAGAAATTATCATTATTCTTCTCAGTTTACATGAGGTGACTTGCCAAGGTCACCTACAGCATTTCTGCACAGTCTCTTGCTTTCCTGTGTCACTCCTGTCTGCCATGTTGTCACAATGTCCCTCGGATCCTTCATTCGTTATACATCTGTTGAGGATGTGCCCTGTGCCGGGCACCTATCCGGCTCACAGGGTCTAAAACCCCCAAAATGGGTTTGGGTCACTAGACTCAGCAAGATACATGTCTTTATGTAGTCCTTATGCTCTGATTCCCTCCTTTCCCTTCTGAAAAAAATGTCCTTATTTCTTAAAGTGGCACTAATACATAGTCAGGTGTGTGTGGTGACTTGGCATGGGTTTTCCTATTGCTGCGGAAAGTGCCTTCAGGGCTCTGTAGAGACTGCACTGGTCTGTGGGTCACTCTGGGTGCTGGTGTCTTCTTAATAATATTATTTTCCAGTCCTTGAGCACCAGATGTCTTGTATTTATTTATATCTTCTTTAATTTTTTTCAGCAGTGTTTTAGTTTCCTTTGTACAAATCTTCCACATCCTGGATTAAATTTATCCCTGTGTATTTGATTCTTATTTATGCTCTTATAATTGTAATTGTTTTCTTAACTCCCTTTTCAGATCATTCGTTGCTAGTATACAGAAATGCAGGAGAATTTTGCATCCTGTGACTTTTCTGAATGCACTATTTAAATTTACATTGATTATGATTAAATAGAACTTCAGTTATCCTCAGTATTGCTAGCTGCCCTGGAAGCGCTCACATGTGGCTGTTAGGTACTATATTTGGCATCACAGATCACACGGAGCGTTTCTATCATTGCAGACAGTTCTGTTGGGCATCTCATACCCCCTCCCCTAGTGAACTCTGCCTTCTTGGTACCCTAGCTGAGCAGGGGATGTGGCCGGAGAAAGCCACCCAGAGAGCTAATTCAGGTGACATTGAGTTCAGCCATTAAGAGCAAAAGAACTCTCTGCTGTTCTGGTGGCTGGCTAGCCTGCTTCCCACCTCACCGTGCACACACACACACACACACATATTGTTGTTGTTGTTGTTGTTAAATAAAGCACAAATGCAAAATATGTATATTTTAAAGAAGAAAACAAAATGTACCTGTGTACTTACCACTGATCAAGATATGGAACATGAACCAACCCTAGAAGCCCACTGTGTGTGTGTGTATGTGTGTGTGTGTATGTGTGTGTTTGGATGTTTGGTTTGGTACTGGAGATTGAACCCAGGGGTGATCTTCCACTGAGTTACACCTTCTACACCTTCAGCCCTTTTTATTTTTTATTTGATTCAGCATCTCACTAAATTGCCCAGGATGGCCTCAAACTTTTGATCCTTCTGTCAAGGTCTCCTGAGGAGCTGGCATGACAAGCATGTGCCATCGCTTCTCTCTTTGATCCCTGTCCCCAATCTCATTTGCTTTCTTTTCTCCCTGCAGTGAACCACTATCCCAAGTTTTGTGTTATACATTCCCTGTTTTCTTTATACTTTTCTCTATTTATGTATCCCTCAATTCCATCTTATTTAGTTTGACCTGCTTTTGACCTTGATATATTTGAAGTATATTTTATTGCTTCATCTGCTCAGCATTGCTTCTGGGACTCATCCTTGTTGGTTGCCGAGCTGTGATTCTTTCATCCTCACTGTTGCTCTGAGTGTAACACAACTTACGCTGGTGATGGGCGTTGGGCTCCTTTCATTCCTCTTCCACTCTTCCCACCCCGTGGCTCCATCCAAACCATGCTTGTTGTGGTCTCCGGCATGCCAGTGGGATGACCATGTTAGATCTCTTTACTCTTCGTCTGTGAGCAGCTCCATCCATGGCTTACAAGACACTTTTTGTGCTATTGCAGAGACCAGTCTTTCTCTGGCTCCTTTGTGGATTTTTTTCTTTCATTTGCATACATTATAAATATTGGTGTTCCTCAGATTTAGTTCTAAGCCATCCTCTTTCTCCTCCTCCTCCTGCACCTTCTTCATCTGTTTTAATTCGACTTCCTCTTTCTCTATTCTCTTTCCTCCTCCCCCCCCTTCTCCTCCTCCTCCTCCCCCTCCTCCCCCTTCTCCTCCTTCTGTTCTCTGTAGCTTTCTTGAGTGTTCTCATCCATTCTAAAGATGCCCTGAAGTTGTTCCTCTTTCCTGCATCTCTCCTGCCATCCTGTCCAGGCCGTAGTCACCTCTACCTCGTGACTACAGCTCCTTACCCTGGGGCTCTGAGCTCACTCTGGCCTCACCCCTGAACACTCTACCCCTGCAGGCACATGATGTTCTTTAAATGAGTAAAATATATATGTCTCTCTTACTTAAACCCTTGTATGATTTCTCATTACCCTTAAAATAAAAACAAAACACCATATTATGGCCTCCAAGGTCTGATCTGGTCCATTAATCAATCTTCCAACACCGAATTCTATATAAGTGAACTTGTTTTTTTTTTTTTTTTGCTGTGGGCTTTGGCTTCTTTAAAAAACTCAATCATTTTGTTCCATGCATCAATAGTTTATTCCTCTTTATTGCTGAATAGTGGCACATGGTTATGTTACAATTTGTTTATTCACTGTTGGTGGACATGAGTTGAGGCTATTAAAAATTAAGTTGCTATGAATGTTCATGTACAAGCCTTTGCATAAATATATGCTTTCATTTTCATGGTAGTTTTCTTTTTCTGCTTTCCTTCCCCTTTCTTTGTTTCTTGGAACTCTACCACTGAGCTATATCTCCAGCCCTTTTGTATTTCTTTGAGACAGTCTAAGTTGCTTAGGGCCTCACTAAATTGCTGAGACTGTCCTTGAATCTCGATCCTCCTGCCTTAGCCTCCCAAGCCACTGGGATTACAGGTGCATGCCACCATACCCGACAATTGTTTTTATTTTTGAAGGATATTTTCTCAGGTAAAGAATTCTATTTTCTTTCAGCATTTTGAAGATAAGATTCCATTGTCTTCTGACTTCTTCCATTTCTCTTGAGAAATCAGCCATCAATCTGTATTTCTTTAAAAATTTTTTTTAGTTGTTGATGGACCTTTTAATTAATTAATTATATGTGGTGCTGAGAATCAAACCCACTGCCTTATGCTAGGCAAGTGCTCGAGCACTTGATTCCCAGCCCCAATCTGTATTTTCAAAGTTATCTGGATACTTAGAAATTTCTCTTATTTTTCAGTGATGTATCTGTTTGTATATGGGTATGTTGTTGATTTTTTAAAGCTTACTTTTGGGGGGTTTCTTGGACCTGGGATGCTTATACCTTTCCTCAGTTTTGGAAAATTCTTAGCCATTGTTTCTTTAAATATTCCTTCTGCTATATTCTTCTCCTTCTGGGACTCTAAGTACAAATGTGTTGGGCCTTTTGTGTCCAGTTGGTCTTTTGTTCTCTTTTTTGTTTTTATATCCTTTTGTCTCTTTATGATCTAGTCTGGATATTTTCTGCTATAATTTATCTTTCTTTTCTACTGGCTAATCATCTCTTTGGCTATATCTAATTTCCTTTTAAAACATCTTTTTGAGTTTTTTAATCTCCTTTTTTTTCGGATTTAAAATTTCCATTTGCTTCTTTTTTTAAAAAATAGCAGTATCTGCTGAGATCTTCTTATCCTAGCTTTCTTGAGCCTATTAATCACAGTTTTCAGGCTGCGTCTGTTAATCTCACACCTGGACTCCTGTTGGCCTCTTGCTTCACCCCCTTGGTTTTCAGTCATTTGCATCTGCCCCTTTCATATGTCTGGTTATGTTTCATTGAATTCTCAGTGTTCTATTTTAAAAAGTATAGAAATAATTTGAAGCTTGGGATGATGACTTCCTTCAAAGAAAACTTGTTTTCCCTTAGAACTGGGGATTGAACCCAGGGGCCTCACATATGCTAGGCAAGCGTTGTACCACTAAGCCCTCTCTCCAGTCCTTTTTATTTTTATTTTGAGATGGGGTCTTGCTAAGTCGCCCAGGCTGGCCTTGAACTTGTTTGTGATCCTTCTACCTCGGCCTCCCAAGTTGCTGGGGTTACAGATGTAGCCACCATGCCCACAAAGACTCGGCAAAGTAGTCAGTCTTGGAAGGTTCTGGTCCGTGCACTTGCTTTTATCAGGTCCTCCCTCCCCCAGGCCTCTGGCCTGGATGGTTTAAGCAGTAGGCAAAGGAATGGGTTTGGAGCTGGGGTGAAAGCGACGAGCCTGGAACATAAACAGCTTTCCCCTGTCTCAGCGCTGCCCCCTGTAGCCCGATATCTCTAGCTGTAGCTGCCCACCTCCGGTGCACATTTCCAGATACAGGCCTTCTGGCTCCCCGGGGGAATTTCTCGCTCTGTTGTTGTTGTTTTGTTTCTGCATTTAATGTTTCCCTTACTTCTGTAGTTTCTGCAGAAGTGATTTTGGGGAAGGAAGCCAGCAACTCAAACTATGCACTATCTTGGCAGGAATCAAACTCTTCTTCCAACATCTTGCTTTCGTTCCAAGATCTCTTGTGGCCCTGTCAATTTTAGAAATGTGAATGCAGAAGTCCTTGTCCACAAGGACACAGAATAGAAGTCATTGGAGAGGGGCTGGGGATATATAGCTCAGTGGTAGAATGTGTGCTCAGCATGCATGAGGCCCTGTCCCTAGGACCAAAAAAAAAGGTATTTTGAATGTTGGCTTACTTTCTTTCACTTATTCTAGTTTATAGAATTGTAATAAGTAAGACTTGAAAATGAACACACTTTCTACTGTATTCCTTAACAACCAGCATTTAAATGGTATTCTCATTGCCCACCACATGCCATGTCTTCTGTTTTATATTCCTTCTTTGTTATGTATTTTAATTAAAATTATTATTTAGCTGGACACGGTGGCACACACCTGTAATCCCAGTGGCTCGGGAGGCTGAGGCAGGAGGATCTTGAATTCAAAGCCAGTCTCAGCAATTTAGTGAGGCACTAAGCAACTCAGTGAGACCCTGTCTCTAAATAAAATACAAAAAGGATTGGGGATGTGATTGGGGATTAGTGGCTCAGTGGTTAAGTGCCCCTGAGTTAAATCCCTGGTACCAAAATTATACATATTATTAACATATATTATTTAACATTAATATGTATTTTTAACATTCAATTTAATCAGAGAGAAACAAAATATATCATGTAATATATTTTCATACTTCATATTTCAGAACTACCTTACTTTTAATCCAACAAATAATAAAGAATTGGTGAGCAATAGTAAAACACAGGCAATATATTATTCATGGGTAAGTAGAAATATTTTGATTTCTTTAAATATGGGTCAAGTTTATTCTTTGGATACAGACATTTTAGTAATATAATAATACTGTATTTAGGGAGCAATGACTATATATCAAAATGTTGATTTAATTATAGTCTTTGTTTTAGTCCCATTGGAAATTAGCATATTAAGTCAGAAACATAATTAAATTTCTTTAAGTAATAAAGCAAATGTTTATTTGAATATAGTTACAGGTCTAAAAGTATATTTTGAGATCATGGACTTTATTTCCTTTCAGAAAGGAATTAGCAAACAGATCGGTAGTAGCATATATACCAACACAGGAAAAAAGAATGACATTAAAGAACAAAGTTAGGGCCTGGGGAGATAGCTCAGTTGATAGAGTGCTTGCCTAGCACGCACACACCCTGGGTTCAAACCCCAGCATCACTAAACAAATGGTGGGGCTGGGTGGGCTAGGGTTGTGGCTCAGCGGTAGAGCTCTTGCCTAGCAGGAGGTACTGGGTTTGATCCCCAGCATCACATTAAAAAAAACTAAAACTAAATAAACAAAATAAAGGTTAAAAAAAAAAAGATGGGGCTGGGGATGTGCCTCAGAGGCAGAGCCCTTGCCTACCTTGTTCAATTCCCAGCCCTACACAAAAAATTAAACGTAGAATTGCCATATGACTCAGCAATTCTAAGGTATATGCCTGAAAGAATTGAAAACAGGCATTCAGACAAATAGTGCTACACAAACAAATACTCATTGGAGCAGCATCTCCACCATAATCAAAAGGTCAAAACAAGCCATATGTCCATCGACTGTCAATCAGCTGATGAATAGGTAAACAATGAGACAGATTCATACAATGGAATATTATTGAATGAAGTACTAGCACTTGCTATGATGTGAATGAACATCAAAAACATTTTTTCTAAATGAAAGAAGCCGAATACAGAAAGTCACACATTGTCTGATTCCATTTATGTGAAATGCAGGAATCGGCAAATCCATAGACAGGGTGGTTATAAGGGGCTTGGTGGGAGAGTTGGTTACAGGGTCTTTTTGGGGTGATGAAAATGTGATAGTGGGAAAAAAGAGAAAATATGATAGCGGTAGTTGCACCGCATTTTAAATATAATAAATACCACTGAATTATACACTTTAAAATAGTTAGCAGTTAATTTCATGTTAAGTGCATTTTGCCTCAATTTAAAAAATGCAAAACAAAAGCACATTGACTTGTTAATTGTCAGTAATATTCATTGCTTCAGCTGTTTATTTTAGCTTTAAAGGCTTATTAATGCAGAATTAAAATTCTTATTAAGTACCATTTAAAGTCTCAGTCACTCTGGCATTTTCTGTGTATTCGCTTTTCTTTGAGAATGTTTTTAGAGGTTCCTTAAGATGGTAGGTTCTCTTAGCTGTAGAGATTGCAAATCTCTGACCCTGTTTAGATGTGTTTGTTTTGATTTTGCTATTATGTAGTTCCTATTTTGGAAATTGGGCCTTTTTTTTTTTGGTAGTGATTATTTTCTTCCTTTGCTTATCAGTGTGAAGAGAAAAATATACTTGCTCACAGTGCCCCACTCTTAACAGAAAAAGTGAGTATGCCTGTTGCATTTTTATATACCAGATTCCATGGAGAAGGATTGTGTATGTGCAAGCTCAGTTGTTTCGGATCATGTTTGAATGTCTTAATATTGAACCACTGAGAAATAATTGGAAAAGTTTTACTTGGGTCCTTTGCCCTTACCAAATTGTCAGTTGAAAATAACAGAAATATTGTTAAAAGTAAATGCCTTGGGCTGAGGATGTGGCTCAAGCAGTAACACGTTTGTGTGGCATGAGTGCGGCCTAGGTTCGATCCTCAGCACCACATACAAACAAAGATGTTGTGTCCGCCGAAAACTAAGAAAAATAAATAAATAAATATTAAAATTCTCTCTCTCTCTCTCAAAAAAAAGTAAAATGCCATATAAGAAAATATCCAAAAAGCAATGGATTTTATAATGACATATTGACAAAGAATGAGAATTAATTAGAAGTCATGCCAGTGGAGTAGCCGGACATGAGTAGATCTCTTAGGAAGCTGCTCAGTTTCAGAATAATTTTTTAAAGAGTGTGTTCAGCTATTTAAGAAGGTAGGGAACCAGATGTGGAGAAAGTGTTTCTTCTCACCTTCTTACTTCAAGCCCCCTGCACCAGAGCTGGAACTGGGCTTCTGTCTACTACAGCATTTCCTCCCTTTGATGCCCACGTAATCTGCCCTCAGGGAACACTTTATGGTGACTTTACTGCTCCTGTTCTTTCTTAGTATGATTTGTAAAAATTACTTTCAAAGAGGATATGCCAAAAGAAAAAAATAAAGATGGAATGAATGGACATAAGGAAAGATGGTTCTGTGTGCAAACTTATTTTCCAGAAATGAGAGTATAAAAAGTAGTCAGCTCTCCTTAATCAAGGTAGCTATGTTCTATAAAGTCCCTGCAAGTACTGAATTAGTGAATAGTGACCCATCACTCCCAGGGGAAATACAGTGGGTTCCTGTGAGCCCCTGGTCACATCTTTAACACTCAGCATCATTTTATGTATGTTTCTGCTTAAAGACACCATTAATATACAACACTGATTTATTAACAGGGGGCTCATGATGAATAGCACTAGAACTTTTCATGCCTGAATGAAGCTCATCTGACATGCATTTCCTCCACAGAACACATCACAGCCTTCTTGTACTTAGGACTCTAGGTAGCACTTCAGCATTAAGTTTGAGGGCTGGTTTAAATACTGAAATCACCAACAAAAAACACCAAAAAATGTGTGCCACACAGCACTAAATGGAAAGAACATTTTTTTATAGTATGAGAACTGAAATAAGAAGGCAGAACCCTGGACTGGGGCTGTGGCTCAGTGGTACAGCACTTGCCTAGCATGTGTGAGGCACTGGGTTCAATTCTCAGCACCACATATAAATAAATAAATAAAGGTCCATCAACAAGGTGGTGGCAGAACCCTTCCTTGTTTGACTTTCAGCTGGGAAAGTACGTGTCATGTAAGTCAAGTTTTGTTTTGTTTTGTTTTGTTTTGCCATACTGTAAATACACATATATGCAAATGACTGTGAAAGTACTATATTGATTTAGGGTTACAAATAAATTCTAGCAAGTAGATGAAATTCGCAAGTACAGAATCAGCAAATAATGAGCATGTACTGCAAATTGAAATGGTAAAAATGCCTTATGTTGAAACAGTGCTACTCTTAGAAAGAACTTGGTGCTCTTGTTTGGCCAATTTTTCTTTACTGATCCTCTTGGGTTGGGTCAGAGGACACAACCCCACAATCTTCTTGGCATACTTAGAGAACTAGGCAGCAGACTTGCTTTATCACATTGCTGAGTTTCATTTATTTCATGAACATTCACTAAAAAGGCTTTTATCGTTGTTCTGTATTCTTTCTATACTTCATCTCTGAGACACTGCCTAAGAAGAATGGCCTAGTGCCTTATTTTGTAGTACAGATTTAATAAGGAGTCTTATTTAGGGCATTTCTATATGAGTGTTTAAATAATTTTTACTGATGTGAAAATATCTCATGATCAAAGGAAACTGGGGTAATTATTTTATGATATGTTACAACCAGAGCATGCTTTTGCTCATGAAGGACGTCAATTTCTTTATCAGCCTCTGAAACCTCTGTAGAAGTTGGCCTGGTATAAACAGTGATTACCTACTCTTTCATTTGCTTTAAACAAGCAGTTTAATTGAACGCAGTACATAACCCATCATTTGCTCTTAGTAAACTTTAGGAGGTTCAGGACTGTCAGGACCATGGCAAGAGCCATGGGAGAAGGCCTTTAGTGATTCTTTATGTTTTTTTCCCCTTTCTTTTTTTTTTCTCACTTTATTTCAGCACAGTTTTATAAAAATGTTACATTTTTTGACAAATGCTTTGTTTTGTATCTATTACCAATAATAACTCATACTCTGTCTTTTGAAACACAGACATTCAACAAGCTTGTGGGAAAATTTAGCCAGTCCGTCTTTCACTTGAATTTAACACAAATACTCTCGGCGACGATGGAAGGGAAGCTGGTCGTCTGGGATGTACACCGTCCCCCGGAGTCTTCCTCCACCCTCTTTAGCTTTCCCTACATCAAGCCCTGTAAACTGGTACATCTGCAGAGGGAGGGCATCACCGTGCTCACCACAGTTGATAAGTAATTAATCTAGTTAAAAAGTAGCTATAGATGATTGTAAAAATGCTTTAGAACTCTTTCTGTACACATGTTTAGTATATGCATAGAATATTTCTGGGGAGACTCATAATTAACTGAGAACATTGGTTGCCTCTGAGGAAAAGAAGTGAGAACAAGAACTAAGGGTGGGGGTGGAGTTACTTCTTTTTATAGTCCCATTTGTACTAATTGGATTTTTTTAAGATCACAGGCCTGTGTTATGTTTTAAAAAATCCCTTTGTGTTGGTGAAACAAAAAGTAACTGAAGTTTTTTCTTTGGTGCTAATTACACTTGTTTTGCACCCCAAATTTTGCATACTTTACATTTAAAAAAATAACTCAAAGAGCTGTCTTGTTTCCATCTGATTGAAAAATGACATTTATGCATTGTGTGAAGATCAAATGCATCAGAAATTTATAGAATTCACTAACTTCATTTTGAGGGACTGTGGAGGCTCACAGATGATCTAAAACCTTGCTTAGAACAGAGTTCACATTCCAGCTGCAACTCTTCCCGGCTGGATGACCTTGAGCAAGAAACTTAATCTTGCTAAACCTACATCTCTCCATCCACAGAGTGGGCACCACAGCACTGTCTCTCTGTGAGTTATTTTATGAGGCTTTCATGAGACAAGTGTGCAGAACTCTGCACACTGCTTAGCCTAGAGGTGCCCCTAGGTAAGTGATAGCCATCATTAGTGTGCTAGAGAAGTTCCCAGAAGTGTGGAGGAAATACCCAATGATGAGGACCTACCCATATGGTTGGAGTCACAGTACCATCTGCTTTTAAAAGACCCATTAGCTTTCCTTTGCCTTCCCTCTGATACAGGGGAATAGTGAGGTCCTGGTGTGGTTTCACAAAGAGAGGTGCAAATTGTCATCTTCACCCAGCAGTGCATAAAACATAGGAGATCTGTGATTGATGACGTAGTCAACTCAATTAGTTGGGGCTTAGGGCCCAAAGAAGACCATGCCTAGGTTCCCCTCTTTCTGTGTTAGAACCAGCCAGGACCTGGGAACCCTTGAAGGAAAACACTTGGCCAGTTTTGCTGCTTCTGTCCAGCAGAGGGCAGTGAAATAAGTTCTAGCCCATTACTCTGCCCACCTGCCTTGCTTGTTAACCAGAAACCTCATTTAATCACTGTGTATAATATATGAGAAAATTTATTCCCCTTCCCCATCACAATAATTGTGTCACAGTCTTTAAAAAAAAAAAGCTCATTTGGGGTGGATCCAAGGACTGGAAATAAAAGCCATTTTGTCATGCGACACTGCCTTTGACTGTGATGACTGGACAGGGGTTTATGATCACTCTTACAACAGTGCCCTCCTTGGAAGCAGCTAGTATCCCATTGCCAGCCTGTGTGGTTTTTGGAGGGGTGGTTAATTGACTTGGTTGTCATCTATAATGGTATAGCAAATGTAAATCACTGTCCCTCTATGCGTATGGTTGACGTTGGAGATCAGGAAAGAGTGCATGAACTTTACTTCAGATACACCTGGATTCTCTGTGTGGTCTAGCCAGACGGTTGCAGGGCATATGTATGTCCCTTGGGATATTTGGGATATACTTACTCAGAAGATTATTCATCAGCATGCAGTGGTGTATAACTGTATCCCAGCTACTAAGGAGGCTAAGGTAAGAGGATTGCCTAAGCAGCTTAGTGAGACCCTTCCTCAAAATTAAATTTAAAATGAGCTGGGGGTATAATTCAGTGGTAGAACACTTGCTTAGCATGTGCAAGACCCTGGGTTTGATCCCCAATACTGGGGGAAAAAAGTCCGGTACGATGGCACATGCCTGTAATCCCAGTGACTCCAGAGGCTGAGGCAGGAGGAGCACAACTTCAAGGCCAGCCTCAGCAACTTAGTGAGTTCTAAGCAACTTAGCAAAACTTTTTTTCAAAATAAAAAGGGCTGGGAATATGGCTCATTGGTAAAGTGTCCCTGGGTTCAATCTCCAGTTTCCTACCCACCACCAAAAAAATCATTGCTTATCTTAGATTCAGATTTATCTGGGCATCCTGTGTTGTTGTTTGCTAAATCCAATAATCCTAGGTCTTGAGCAAATTTTTCAATTTTTCTGAGCTTAATTTCTTAGTTGTAAAGTGGGGCAACCTCATACTTTTCCTAGATATAAATCAGACAAGATTCAATGAAGTGGGCTGGGGATGTGGCTCAAGTGGTAGCGCGCTCGCCTGGCATGCGTGCGGCCCAGGTTCAATCCTCAGCACCACATACAAACAAAGATGTTGTGCCTGCTGATAACTAAAAAATAAATATTAAAATTCTCTCTCTCTCTACCTCCCTCTCTCTCTTAAAAAAAAAAAAAAAGATTCAATGAAGTTTTTCTTATCATGCCCAGAGCCCAGAATGCAACATAGTCAGGTATTCAATAGATGGTACTTGCTATTACTGCTATTAACAAACCCATGTTATTCTCTGTTTCAGCTACCTTGTCACAGGTGACATTAAGGGTAACATTAAGTTCTATGACAGCACCCTGTCCATTGTTAACTGGTACAGTCACTTCAAACTGAGTCCCATAAGGAGTCTATCCTTTTCAAATATCCCAGCAAATCCTCCTACTGAGGAATCAAACTTCCTTCCGGACTGTACTTTAAAAGGTGACTTTTTCATTGTCAGGTAAGTTGTTGATAAATCTAGTCATCTGGAATGTCAAATAATGTCTGGGGTCATCTTTTGTTTGCAAGTAGTGGAACATTCCCCTTGTTCCTCAGATGTGAAATGAAGAGGCCTAGCCTTTCTCCTCAGCCCTTTACCTGCTTACAGATGGTCTCCTTTGCTGATTGCGAAGGATCATTGGATCATTTTTTTAATATAAGGAACCTTGAATAACTAGAAGCTGGGAAGTCCTTATGCTGTGCTCTCTCACCTCTGTTGAGCCTTGAGTCCTTGGCCACAGTTGCTCTCTTGCTCTGAGCTGAGCTTGTCCCAGCCACTGTGGTTAAAGGCGCTAGATAATTAATAGCCATAACATTTCAAGACCGAATTATCTGTGAGTCTGCTTAATTACCCTTGCAGTCTTTACAGGCACATCTGTATATGTGCACCCAGCTCCATATTTGCATACACAAATGAATATTTGCATGTGCAGATTAGCTAATTGTACAACTGACTGTCCATCTGCATACTTAATGACTCAATTTACATGTAGAAAAGTGGGCTTTTTTCACTTGCAAATGGAGGCTGTTGGGTATTGGTGGTGTATTTTTGGAGATGTTGGGTTAATAATGTCACTAAATTACAGATGACAGAGGCGTTTCGTGTGCAATTAGAGGCAGAATGGCTGGCGTGCCCCATTCCCTGCAAACACTGATACTGTTGGTCTCTCCTTGGCAAACAGGAATTTTATCATTGGAACATCTGATGCCTCGGTGTACCACTTAACAACAGATGGCACCAAACTTGAGAAGTTATTCGTAGAGCCCAAGGATGCCATTTATGCCATCTCCTGCCACCCATACCAACCTCTAATCGCCATTGGGAGTGTCTGTGGGATAATTAAAGTGTGGGATTATGAAAAGAAGAAGTATCTTTTCAGCAGGGTCTTTGAGAAAGGGCTTGGAATCCAGAGTCTGACCTACAACCCTGAAGGTATGTTCACCTCTCCAATCTATCACGGGTTCCAAGTCCAAAACACGTCCACAGGGGCTATGCCCGTAGCTGCCAGGGCTCCAGGAAGTTGCCCCCGATAGAGGAGACGCCTTCTCTCTGAGAATGCTGTGGCCCTCTGGACCTCCTGCTCTCTGAGAGCTCATGCCAAGTGTCCAGCTTTTCAGTTTATTTCTCTTATAGAGACTTTGTCTGTTGTGCTGGTCGCTGTCTGCTCCGCACATAGGACCAAGCCTGGCTCAGACTCCTGTTTCTAATGGAATAAAGTCCTTTTTCCATCAGGGTTCTCTGGCTTGTCATTTCAGGAGCTCTGCTTGGAGCTGGCTTCACAGAGGGGACAGTTTATATTCTTGACGCAATGTCCTTAGTAAATGAAACCCCACAGGCTTTCAAGTATTCCAGGACCAGCGTGACTCACGTCAGCTTCTCTCATGACTCCCAGTATATGGCGACTGCTGTAAGTATCTTCACTGACTGCTGGCGGGTAGCTTAGCACCCTTACTGAAGATCAAAAGAGGGCCCGTCGGGGAAAGAGGGGGTGACGGCACGTGCGAACGTTGCAATGATGGATGCACAACTCTGTGGCTGCACTAAAAACCACTGCACCTTGCACATTAAATGGGTGAGCTGTGTGGTATGTAAATTATATCTCAATAGGCTGTTTCCAGCAAGGGGTGGGGGAGGTAGAAGGCCTTTTGCCTGTGCACAAAATTAGGCCTCAGAACTTCCAGACGTGACTTCTTCTGTGATGGCACCTATTCTTTTAATCTTTGCCTCTCATTGTTGACAAGATGAAATCTCCTTGATTTCAGAGCAGCATCCTGTACCCAGCATTTTGTATTCTGTTCCTTCCTCTATTCTTAGGGCTCATGGTCTCAGGAAGGATATTCTAGACCTTTGACCTCTCCCTCCTGCCTGTACCACTGGTCTGCTTTTCTTGGGGGAGCAGTACCTTCCCTGGCCCCCCGCCTCTGAGCGCCTCTACTGCTGCACAAGTCGCCTCTCCTCTGAGGTGCTTTCGCCAGGGCAAAGGCATTGGGGCACACAGCTTGGGAATATGTGTCCCTCCAGACCGTGCTCTCCCACCGCGGCCTCTGTCATACCTTTTCTATTTTCTGCAGCTGAACAAAGAGAAGGGAGGACAAAAACAAAGGGTCAGGCTCTTGGTTTTCTGAGGAGAATGGGGGGGCGGGGCAGGACTTGGAAAGAAGAGTAAGACTCCAGTGTCAGATGAACTCTTTTTCTCCCGTCCACCTTTGTCTGCTTGTAACTGTAATTTTCTCATCTGTGAAATTATTTTACTGCATGTTCTGACAGAGTAAGATTTTTTTGGATAAGATATTCTGAGTTTTTTTTTTTTTTTTTTGGTACCAGGGAATGAACCCAGGGGTACTTAACCACTGATCCACATCCCCATCTGTTTTTATATTTTATTTAGAGACAGGGTCTCGCTAAGTTGCGTAGAGCATGGTAAGTTTCCAAGGCTGGCTTTGAACTTGAGATCCTCCTGCCTCAGCCTTCCAAACCTCTGGGATTACAGACGTGTGGCACTGTGCCTGGGTGGATAAGATATTCTAAAAGCAAAATTGTTGTGAAGAACATAAACATGATTCTTAAGTCATAACATGAAAAAAAATAATAAATGACTTCTGCTCCTGTGCTTGTATCCAGGATATAAATTTCACTGTGGCTGTGTACATGGTGGTAGTTAAAAGTGGACAAAGGGTCTGGGAATATTTAGCAAGACTCCGCTCTCACCGCAAAAGCATCCAAAGCCTCCTATTTGGGGTTCACCTGGACAGCAACGAGCCTAGGCTGCTGAGCCTGGGTTCAGACAGACTCTTGGTGAGCTGTTTAGTTTTGTTTTCCTGGTCTCCAGGACTGTGTCTTATTCTCGTTACAATATCCCTGGCATCTTGCATAGAACAGGCCCGCAATGTGTGTTGGAGACAAGGAGTACCCAGCACAGTGTTAGATCCTCCCCGAGTCAGCATCTTGCCTTAACACAGCTGTGACACTGTATTGGGATTTGGGGCCTGAAGGAGGGGGCTCCTGGAAAGGGGCAAGTGGGAAGGCAAGGGAATAGGGTATCCCCCACAGCATGGAAGACTCAGGCTGGGGATGCAGCTCCATGGTAGAGCACTTACTTAGCATGTATGACACCCGGGTTGAACCCTCCAAGCTCCTAGAGGACAGGAGATAAAAAGAGAGACAATGCAAGCACAATATTAAGGGATGAAGTCAAAAGGATTCCAAAGCATTCAGTGTATCCATCTGTGGTTTCTTCCTCCCTCCTTTCATCTTCTCTCTCTACTCCCCCTCTGCCTTCCTTTTCTGCTTTTCTTTATTCTATCCATTCATCCTGGAGTACCCACTAAAACATATCTATGGGAAAATGCAGCAGGTTACTAATTTGTGATCATTAAATGCTGAGATTTAGATATGAATTAGTTCCTGCTCTTAAAGAGTTTGCAAGATAATATTAAGGGTGCAGAATAACATAACTGTAAGAGTTCAAGTTGGGGTCATTTGGACCTGAATTTGAAGTTTCCCTCTACCATTTCTTAACTGCGTGGCCTTGGGCAAGCAGCTGTGAACATATATTTGACCCTCTGTGAAATGGACACAGCTACTACTCTGAAGGGAGTTGGAATTAAACTACCCAGGGCCTTACTCATACTAGGCAAGGGCTCCACCACCACGTCACATCCCCAGCCCAAACAGTTGGCCCTGTTTCTCAGGGGAGTACTCAGTATGGTAACTTCTTCCCTAGGAGATCTAAGTGATTTACCTAGATCTCAAGTTCCCAGAGCCAACACTGTCTCCCTGTGGGCTGAGGATTAGAAAGGCCAGCACCCAGAACTTGAGGCTCCTTGAGTGAGCTCTTCATCCAGCTCAGTCCTCACATGTGTCTTCCTGGGTTCTTCTGCAGATAGAGTATAATCTCATCAAGAGCTACAAAGACAACCTGGAAGTCCTGGACATACACCGAACTGACCAGGGCAATTACCCAACCTGTATGGTCTGGTACCCGCCACTCATCAAGGAGCAATTCTTGCTTATTTGCAACAGTGGCTACAAAATGAAACTTTTTAATTCGACCACCAAAATGTGCAGGTGAGTGCAAGGTTCGCCTGGATCAGCTCCTCCGCCCCCAGTCTGTTTCAGGTCTCCGCCCAAGGGCCCATGACATTTTGGCTACTGTAATCATCCTCCTCACTTTGCAGAGGAAACTCAGGCACAGAAACACAAGTAGTTTTCATGCAAGGTCACACAGCCCGGCAGGCTAGTACAGCTTAGAGGTAGGATGCCCAGAGCTTGATGCTTATGAATCAATGAATGAGACAGAGTCTGGGGCCCAGGAAAGGTTGCTGATGCTCTCCAGTGCCTGGCTCTTCTATGTGAAGAAAGCCATATTTTCACCAGACTGCTCCCAGCTTTTTTAAAAAAAATTTCTCACCCTGGCTCTCAAAGGTGGCATCATTTGTCCCCTGTCTGCATGAGCCAGCCTCTGTTCCAGGTGCTGAAGGGGGGAGGGGTAAAAGCCAAACAGCAGGCTGTGGCTGGGGCTCAGTGGTAGAGCGCTCACCTGGCACGCGTGAGGCACTGGGTTCGATCCTCAGCACCACGTAAAAATAAAATAAAGGTATTGTGTCCACTTACAACTAAAGAAATGCATATTAAACAAAATAAACATTTCTCCATAGTGGGGCTTACACTTGCAGTAAATGCAGAAATTGACCAGGTGGTGAGGGAGCAGGTGCCAGGGAGTGGTGGCATGCAAAATGACCCCAAGAGGTGGGGTCCTGGGAAAGAGGAGCTGCTGTTTTCAAAGGGTAGCAGGGGATACCTCAGAGTAGGTGACATTAGGCAGAGACTTGAAGGAGGTGAGGGGGCAGGCTAGGGCATTGGAGGAAAAGACCTCCAGACAGGATCTGCACATGAAGAGAACTGAAGACAGAAAGCATCTGGGTTTGATAAATGCCAGGAAGTCTTGGTTGGAGTGGAGTGGGCAGGGGAGAGTATGGGAGAGCTCAGCCTGGGCCGGGCACCTGACACCTGGCCTCTGTCCGGGTTCTGGACTCTGGGGTACAGAGGGCAAAGGTAGAGCAAGGTCAGGAGGCTATTGTAAGAGATGATGGTGGCCCCAAGGGGTGACAGGGAAGGAGTTAGGTTCTGGGTACATCGTGCAAGCAATGCTAACAAGGTTTGCTGGTCGTCATTCTGCATGCCACCACTCAGCAGCACCTGCTCTCTCACCGTGTGGTCATTTACTGCATTTACTCTGAGTGAGAGGAATGTGTCAGGCCCCCAGGGTTCTGGCCTGAGCAGCCAGAGCAGCAGGACTGACCTCAAATCAGATGAGGAAGGACAGGTCTGAGACAGTCAGGACTGGAAGTTTAGACCAGGTAAGTTTGAGATTCTACTCATCATCCACGTAGGAATACCCGGCTTAGGTGCTTGAGTCCAGAGGTCATGAAGTAAGCTGGGCTGGAGGTCAAGAGGAAAGAAGGGTGGTTTAAAGCCACAGATACGAGATGTCGAGGGAAGAGTAGATGAAGGTTGAAGGCCAAGCCTAGGGCATGCACAGCTGGTGTCTGAGTGCAGCACCTTTCCTGCAGAAGTGGTCCTGCAGCCAGGGGTGGCCGCAGGGTTTGCTGGACCTGCAGACTTTGGGCTTGCACCTCCCCATGGGCACAGATGTGTGTCAGCTCTGTCCAGACCTGCACTCATTATCCATTTCACCCTCAAAACCCTGTGTCCTGCTGAGGTTCAGGTCTTCCCAGTGACACAGCTGGGCAGGACAGGCAAGACTTGATCTTCAAACCTCGCTCTGACTCTGACCTCTACTACAGACTGCACAGACCTGTGCAGCCTGGCTTTGGGTCCTGCCTGGACAGAACTGGAGGGGATTTTCTGCCTCTCAGGTTTAGCTAGAAAGAGGCAGAGCCAAGCAAAATTGGGAGCGACAGCATTTCCCGGGAGCAGGTAGGTGGAGAGCTCGCAGCAGCAACTGTGTTAGAGGACAACCGCTGTTGTGACGAATGTCTCAGATGAGATAAGGCCTGCAAGCCCCGGTCATGGGGTCTTTTTTTCTTCCTTAAAAGTTTTTTTTTTTTTCTAGAAAGCATAAAGAAAAATAAGAAATTCCACATTATATGGTAGGAAGAGAAATCCAGTACAATTTAGCGGGGAAAAATCTATTAAAACACTTGAAGAATGTATAAAGAAGAGTTTTAGGAAGATTTTAGAATCTCTGTGCATCATCTCTAATGGATGCACACTTCTAGGGCAAAGACTATCCCACAGATACTCTGCATTTGCAGGGCAGGAGAGTTAGGGATGGCATGCCTCAGGCTTGACATTCCTGCTAACAACTATCAACAAGAGAGACTTCTAGCCACACATTTAGCAGTTTTGCCTATTGGAGATCAATCTGAAATTAGCATAAGTCGTCTTTTTTTAAAAAAAATATTTTTTTAGTTGTAGATGGACACAATATCTTCATTTGTTTATTTTTTATGTGGTGCTGAGGATCGAACCCAGGGCCTCACACTTGCAAAGCAAGTGCTCTGCCACTGAGCTACAGCCCCAGCCTCGCATGAGTCATCTTTTAAGAAGATAATTTATAAAGATAAAATTCACATAACGTGAATCTCAGCATTTAAAAATGAACAATGCAGTGAAGTCCCACACAGCCACAGTACTGTGCAGCCGCCACTCTTGTTTCTAACGTCTGTGTCCTTCCGAAATAAAACCCCTTGCAGGAGACATCTTCCATTTGTAGGAGAAGTAAAGCCTCATAACCCCAGCTTAATGGGGAAGGAGTTGCTTTTTCTGATAAATCCAAAATAATTTTAAAACACATTTTTAAAATACTTGAAAGAACATGAAAAGGCAGTTCACAGAAAAAGGCCAATAAACATGAGCAGATGCTCAGCAGTCTATCAAAGATGCAAATGAAAACAAGATATCATTTTTTACAAATCATATTAGCAAAGATAAAAATGATCGATAGTGCCAAGTGCTGGCAAGGGTATGGGAGTCGGACGCTCTCTCCCGCTACGGTGGGGGTGCAAATTGGTGCAACCTTTTGGGAAAGCAATTTGTCACCCTCTATTAAATTTTATCATATCTTCTGAATTCTAGGAATGGAGCCCACAGACGTACTCACACAGTTATGCCAAGACATAAGTAAAAGGATCTCTTGTTTGAAAATATGTTTTAAAATGGAAACAATCCAAATGTCCATTAATAGGGGGTTAGTTAAATGATGGATTGTCAGTACACTGGAACACGGTGCCGCTTTTAGAAAAGAAAAAAAAAGAAAGTAAGACAGTTCTCTATGTGATAACAAGGAAATATCTCTAAGACATAAGATTAGATAGAGCAACTTGCCAAATACGCATAAACAGTATACTTCTAACTTCATATGAGATCATAATTACAAAGGAAATTCTCAAATCATGTACATCTATTTCCCAGGCTTATCTTGGGACAGGGTGCAGCAATGTGGTGTTATAGGTTTATGTGTCTAAATGTTTGAAAATTTTCACAATTAGTATACAATATTTTTTTTGGTTAGAAGAAAAAGATAATTAATTTACAAGATTGTCTGATAGGCTTAACAATACAGTTATGTGGTGGCAGTTAGGTGGCTGTGTGCCAGAAACCATTCTGAGGGCTTCATACATATTGAGTAATTTGACGTCCAGTACAGCCAGTGTAGGGGCCAGTGCTGTCCTTATCCCTATCTTACTAATAAGGAACCGGAAGCACAGATAGCACCTAAACTTTTCTTTTTTTTAAAGAGAGAGAGAGAGAGAGAGAGAGAGAGAGAGAGAGAGAGAGAGAGAGAATTTTTTAAATATTTATTTTTTAGTTTTCGGCGGACACAACATCTTTGTTTGTATGTGGTGCTGAGGATCGAACCCGGGCCGCACGCATGCCAGGCGAGCGCGCTACCGCTTGAGCCACATCCCCAGCCCCCCTTTTCTTTACTTTGAAATTTATTATTAATAATGATGACCCATGAAATCATCCTAATTCTGTTAGAAGCCCTCAGGGCTCACTGGGTACAAATAAGGGGTCCTGAGCTTATGTGCTGCCGGCCCCAGGGAACATCTAGCCCTGGCCTGGAGTGAGCCCTAGTTATAAAACAGTCTGAATTAGAGGAGTCTAAGCCAGGAGTAGCCACACACACCTGAAGTACCAGCTCCTCAGGAGGCTGAGGAGGAGGATTGCTGACGCCCAGGAGTTTAAGGCAACATAGCAAGACCCCGTTTCAAAAAAGAAAAGTTGAATTAGAGAAGTGTCACCAATACCGTTGCAATTTGATGCATGAGCACAGATGGGCTTTGGAAATCTGTGTGTAGCACGCACCTGTATAAATCAGACACATGGAACAAAGCGTAGATGTCATCCTCATCTTGAGGCCTCACAGTGGGACTGGGGTGCTCTCTGTGTCCTGCCAGTGAGCGTCCTTTCCTTGCAGCTTCTTTCTTGTTTCTTGTTCACGTGTGCTTTAAGTCGTTGACACTTCCGCAAGCACTCTTCACAGCCAGGCTCCCCAGAGCGTTTGCTGTTTGGAGTTGTTGCCTCTTATTTACAGCAACCGTTCGCAGGGACTGGGAAGGGCTCTTACATCCCAGCTGAGCTGAGTGACAAGACAGGAAATTCAGAATCAAAAAATGCATAAGATCATCATGACCAAAGAGTCCCAAAGCCTGTGTTTAGATTTGTGGAATTTAAAAATCCATTCCTTTTTTCCCATCCAGAAAGACGCTTCTTGGGCCAACTTACGGATCTCCTATCAAGCAGACGCAGGTCCTCCCGGTGAAAACCACCCTGGATCTACAGAGGCGCTACCTGGTGTTCATTAACAAAGACAAGGTAGCAGCCCTCTGCTCTCTACCTCTACTCTCTATCTCTCACCCGTGGGCGGCAGTCAGTCCCAAGGACTGACAGACTCAAGGACACCTGGTCTGCTGGCCACATGTAACCACTTCCGTCCAGGGTGATGTGATAGTAAAAATTGCTAGATTAGTGAGCAAGACTCTGGACCAGTATCTGTAGGTGGACCTGCTGTATTTTCTGTATCTCCAGTGAAGACATGTGGCCCTCTTTTTCCAAAGGATGGAAAAAAGTCTTTTTTTTTTTAATCTTTTTCTTTTTTTTAAGTTACAGATGGACACATTACCTTTATTTATTTTTATGTAGTTCTGAGGATCAAACCCAGTGCCTCACATGTGCTAGGCCAGTGCTCTACCATTAAGCCACAACCCCAGCCCTTGGAAAAGTCTTTTTAAAGACATGAAAATTAGTTATACCTAGTTGTACATTTCACAAATCATCTATGTAGGAAAGTAGAAAGTCATAGATTGTAAGAATTATTCTGGAAACCCCTGGACATCTGATTGCTAGGATAGGGAGGAAGGCTCCCCGTCTCTCATGTGCGAAGCTGTGAGGGGCGCCCATCTCCCCCAGCAAGGGCCAGTAAATGGATGCTCTGCTACAGTCCACATGCCTCCCACACCCTGAGATGGTTCTGGACACACAGGTTCTTGCAGCTCATGGATCAGGAGGTGACATGCAGCCGGCCAGGCCTGGGTTGGGATCCGGTTGCCTGAGACTGAATGTCCTATTACATATTCCTTCCTAGGTTGGACTTCAGATCTTGCCAGTTGATGGAAATCCACACAAGACATGCGCTATTGTCTGCCACCCGGATGGGGTGGCCGGGATGGCTCTTTCCTATGACGGCTCTTATGCCTTCACAGCAGGAGGACGGGACCGCTCAGTGGTGCAGTGGGAAGTCAACTTAAGGTGCGTGACAGGACACCTTGGCCTCTGAAGGAGGTGTCAAGGGTAGACCCCTTCTTTTCACTCAATAGCAGCTGACAGCTGTGGAGCCCTACCATATGGCAGACACCTTGCTAGGATGTCCCAGAGCCTGGAAGGATGCCCCTTGTAACACCTGTTTACTGTATAGACCAAGAGTTGCCGTGCAGTCTCGCGGGCCATGGGACTGAATTGATGCTTTAGGTTATTCGAGTCCACCTCGACTCACCCGTGCTCCATGAATACCCCTCATTGTCACATCCACACCAGCCAGAAAGATCTAGGCTGAATCTCCAAAGTGTACATTACAGAATTAGAGTATTATTTGAAATGTGTACTTTCAGTCTCCTCTTCTCACCCTTCCTGCCCTGAACTGAGAACCTCTACCTAAGGTGATTCTGGAGGATTCTAGGGTTGAACATCAGAGAGTACAGGGACATGGGTTTGAATATGGAGCCTACTCTGCTGGCTGTGGGACCTAGGGCAGTTTCTTAATATCTCTGATATTTAGATTTCTCATCTGGGAATGAGGGTAACAATAGAAACCTTTACAGGTACTTGTAAGGATAATATATGTGAAGTACCTAATGTAGCTAGATTACACCTGTAATCCCAGCAATTTGGGATGCTGAGGCAGAGGGATCACAATTTCAAGGCCAGCCTCAGCAATGTAGCAAGACTCTGTCTCAAAAAAAAAAAAAAAAGTATTATTTAGTGCAAAGCTACGTATGCAGCAATGAATGATCACCTTCCCTTTTCTTGATGAGAGCATTCACTTATGAGCTCAGGATCTTTCTCACTGAGAGAAGGGAGAAGCACTAAAATGATCCCATCAGCTACTCAAATCCAGTCAACTGCAACAGGGATGGAACAAACCACTCAGCAGCAAGTTCCCAGTTGAGAACACCCTCTCGGTGTCCCCGCTCTGCCTCTGTTTCAGACCTTTCCCAATAGTGTGACTTTAGGGGTAAATAGAGACAGCTTGGAGGCACCTTCCTTCCTCAAAAACACAACTTGATTCATGGCTCCCCGTGAAGTCCTCCTCCTGCCAAGCACACACCTTCCTCTTTACAGCGGACACTCAGGCTTCTCCTCTTAACACAAATTTGAGTGAAAATAGCCTGTGGAGTCCACTCTGGTGCTCAGGTGGCTTGAGATGGCAGCTGCAGCTCTGACTTTAATCTGAGCCTTCACCCAAGAGAGCAGGGCCGGGGCGTGGGGCATTAGCAGCCGGAGGTGAGCGCTTCCATTGAAAAGCCCTTCCTGAGCATGTCCTGTGTGAGGTACTTGATTCCGTGCCACCTCACCTGCCACCTGTAACCTTAGTGCAGGTGATACCCTGGTGGGAAAGCAGTCTTCCCTTTTTCATTCTTGTCCTCTTCTCAGCCATCCCGGGATCTAGAAGGGTAGGGATTAATAAAAACAAAACCAAAAGACCTGCTTTCCAGTAGCTTTCCCATGCCTGGCCAGAGTCCAGGCTTCTGAGAATTTCAATTTAATCTGTTGTGGGGACAAAGGATCATTATAAACTAATTAGCACTTTATTGCTGCTTCTGGTGACTTAATATGTTCGGCGCTTCACTAATGGAAAGAAATGTAAAAACCCTAAACAAGGAAACAAACAGATTTCCTACTAGATGGCAGAATTTTAGGGTGAAAGGAAGATGACAGATCCCCTCGTGTTCCGATGCTTCTAATTAGCACGTGTCCAGGCCCATACGCTGGGGTTTCGGCATTCAGAGCTTTTTCTCCAGCACCCCTTCTGCCACCCTCCCGGTGCTTGTCCCACATTCCCCTTCCTGCTCGCCGCCTTTGCTAGCGTGCTTCCCTTTTCCTCTCCCTGGCATGTGTTTTAAAATCCCCCATTCCCTTTTTATGCTCACCCTGGCTGTCTCCTCTTCTCCTGCCGCCCTATTCAGATAAAAGCAGAAACTTTGATTCAAGTCTTAACTTCACCATTTATTTACTGGATGACATCAGGCAAGTCTCGTAACTTCTCTCAGTTCCTCCGTTAAATGGGAGCATCATCATTGAGTTCAGACTGGCTTTGAGGGTAACGATTACCACCATTGTTATTGCTCTGCCTTCTCCAACTTAGGCAGAAAGGTGGGGGGGTTATGAGAAGGTCATCAGGATCCTGTGTAGCTGTGTGGCAGTAGGAGCAGGGACAGTGACACTTGCCACTGTCCCCATCCCTGTCTGCCTGGCTCTGCGGTTGGCTTCTCTCTGCAGAGCTAGGTTTGGTTTCTCAGTAGGAGTGTGGCCACTGACAGTTCCTCAGTTTCACAAATTGTAGTTCTCATCAGAGGGGGAGAGAGTCTCTCTCCCTCTTTCCCTGGTGGGAGAAATCCTGATACAGTCCTTGGCCCCGCTGGGTCAGCTGACCACGGTCAGGAAGCAGGGCATGTGGTCAGTCCTGACCAGCATAGCCCAGAGTGTTGGGCTGTCCAGGAGAGCCAGGAGCTCGTGCAGCCTCCCATCTGGGTTCCTTGGTAGTAATGGGCTCCTCTGGGTCCCTGCCGTGCTCCAGGACCACATGGCTGAAGGTGGGGGAACCCTGAGGGCTGAAACCTCCTCCACAGCCCAGTGTCAGAGCCAGGAATTGGGGTGAGGACCAGGCCCTGCAAGAGGGGACCTTGAGCCTATTTGGAGAAGGCACCAGGTGCCCAAGCCCTGGCACTGCCTACTGAGCTTGGGCAGAGCCCTGACAGCAAGACAGTTTTGTGGGTATCTCTTTGTAAGAGAGGGTAGGGGCATGGCGGTTCTGTTTCCATGGTATCAGTGATCTTAAGCACTTTGTTTGGAGTCTTTCTTCTGGGCCAGGCCTGTACAGAGTGCTTTTCACATGTCCCTCCTGCTGTCCTGTCCTGTGAGGTGGGCACTGTTGTTATCCCCACATAGAGGTGAAGAAGCTCACTGTGTGGGGTACATCGACGGCTCAAATGGAGTAAATGGAATACGTGCGGCTGGGATCCTGCAAAGCCAGGCTTGCTGCCCTGATCCCCACTTCCAAACACACTCCACAGGAAGAGACCAAGGACCTGGCAGCAAATCCTCCCTGAACACTCACTTTTCAGATCCTTCCAGCAACCTTTGTGCACCTTCCCACCTCACAGATGAGGAAACAGAGGCTGGGGTCAAGTTTCATGCCCACAGTCAGTCCACAGCTTGCAAGCATCCCTGTGGCTCTACATTCCAGACGTGGAGCCCCTTCCCCACAGTGTGCCGCATTGCAGTGTTTTACTGTCCCAGCGGAGGGGCCAATCACCAGTTAGCAGAAGCCCAGTTCATGGACTGGAGTATTATAAAGATTTCAGCTTATTAGCCTTTTATATGAGACAAAGTCAGTCTTATACCAAAGTAGGTTTTCTTACCACTTAAAGGACCTATTTTTGGAAATCTGACCCTGTGTTAGAGAGCAGAGGGTTATTCTTGTCTGACTGGCATGGGTCCCTGTGGTCTCCTGAGTTTTTGTGTAAGCAATTAGAGTTGGCGGTCCACCTGCACGGTTTCCCAACCTTTTGGTGTCTAAAGTTACCGGTAAAGCTGCTCTGCTTGGGAGTATGTGGTTTCAGAATACAAGCACCCACCTACCCTCCCTTAAGAAAGATGTGGTCCCCAAAGACTGCAAGCAAATTACCAAGCACCTGCCCTGTTATCAGCTAAAGAACACAACCATACTTAAGGTGGGTGCCCTGTACCACCGAGTCCCACACTTGACATTGAATTTTCTGTCTCTGGCTTCATTACAGAGGGACTTCTCTGACGGAGTTGGCAGAGACCTGCACTGGACTGGTGGCTCAGTGCCCTTCAGAGGGCCCTGCTCCAGGCAGAGCCCTGCCTGGGCCGTGTTGGAGCATGAGTGCCTCCTAATTGTGACTTTCTGTTGCTGTTCCAGTGCCCTGGAGGCTGCGGTTTCTCTTGGGGGTGAAGACTTGACCCCGTTCTATGGTCTGGTGTCTGGTGGCAGGGAAGGAAAGTTCTACAGGGTAATTGTCCTCAGAATAAATACTTCCTGCTGCATCTAGTTAAGTCTGTAGAAGAGACACGCCTGGGCTTGGCCCTTGTTGTTTTTCTCCCAAACTCCTTTCCCTGCTAAGCTCAAAACATACTTTGTAGAGAATGTACTTGAACTCTTAACACCCTTGCCTAAGCCAGAATGCCGTGTTTCCATTTCATCTCCACACAGGAGCTGGAGGATTATTTTTACTACTCTCAGCTCCGCAGTCAAGGTATTGATACAATGGAGACCAGGAAGGTGTCGGAACATATTTGCCTGTCAGAGGTTCCTTATGTCATGAGAGCAATTGGCTTTTACCCATCCGAAGAGAAGGTAGGTAGGACAGAAACAAGAACGGGGTGGATGCGCTATTTATAACAACTACCTCTGAGAAGATAATTATAGGTCAGAGTAGAAGTTTAACATTTTTCTTACATAAATGGATCAGAAAGAAGGTTGTGAGCATTTCAGATGCACTCCTGAGTAACTGATTTACAATAAAGACACGATCCCAGCTACTCTAGAGGCTGCGGCAGGGGAACTGTGAGGCCAACCTGTGCAACACGGCGAGACCCCCAACTCCAAAACCAAACAAATAGAAAGATGCGTGTCATTCCCCAAAGATGTGTTCCTTATGGAAGTTCCATGTTGGGGAACCCGGGACTTACAATATGGGTTCTGGAACTGGACAGACAGCACCCTGCTGCGCCCTGGCAGGAAGAGGTCTGGCCTTCTCAGATTTGAGGGGACGCCTGGGGGGCCCTGGGCATGGAGGAAGAACTCGGCATTTCAATCACTTTTATTGTCACTGTAGAGTGCGTGTGTTAATGGGGCACCTCTGGGAGGTGGGGACCCTTCTGAACTGAGGAGGAGCCCAGTCAGTCATTTGTCACGCGGCGGAGATAGGCAGAGACACCCCCACTGCAAGAGCTCCCATCAGGGACAAGAAACAGCCCAGGGGGGCATCCTCAAGTGAACTGTTTTTTTTGGTACTGGGGATTGAACCCAGGGGCACTTCACCAATAAGCTAATCTCCTGTTCTTTTTTCCTTTATTTTTGAGATAAGATCTCATTAAGTTGCTGAGGCTGGCCTCACACTTGCAATCCTCCTACCTCAGCCTGGCATGTACCCTGTACCCACCTTACACATACATGCATAGTTTTAAAAGGCTTTTTGAAATAATTTTTTAGTTTTAAAAAATTGGTACTAAATTGAATATATATTTCTATCTTATTTTTTACTTAATATTATATCATAAACACTTTCCATTTTACCATAAAATCTGTGAAAACATGCTCTCTAAAGGATATATTTTAATTTTATAACTTTTTCTGATTTGAAAAATAGAACTGTAAAGAGGAAAATAGAAACTAGAGATGATCACTGTTATTAATTGGTGGATATATATGTATATATATACACACTATATAAAGAAAGATATGTTTATATTTTTAAACAAAGAATTGGCATTCAATGGTGTAAATATGTATGTGTGTGTGTGTGTATATATATATACACACACACACACATCAACATTATACAGTCCGTATATGTGTAAGTACTTGGCGTACGTATGTATGTGTGTACATGTATCGGCATTCTCAGTAACGACTGGTTGGTGAGGTTGATGGTGAAAGTCCCTTGATGGCCTGCCTTTAGAGGCTTGTACCCAAATGAACAGTCCCCCAGCTGGTGGACACAGAGGTGGTCTGAGTATTTGGCCAGCAGACACAGCTGTGATGAGCGTCTCTGAGCAGGGGTTTTGCTTACTTTTCCAGTTATTTTCTTGGGTCATTCTGAGAAGCAGAATGACTGAGTCAGAGAACATGAACTTGTCGGCCCCCATGTTGCCTGGCTGCTGTCCAACACTGTGGCCTGTTACCCACCTGCCATCAGGCACACACAACCCCTGAAGCCCAGTGGAGTCTTGATGTTCATATTAGGTGACAGAGCTCCAGGGGCCTACCCAGAATCATGTATTGTGTGTGCTTGAAGGTGGCTTTTATTTTCAAGTAGCATCTGGAGAGAGAAATGAGTCATTGGAGCCCACAGCCCATGGCTGAGTCCTAAATGAGGACCTTGAACACCAGGTGTTCTCTAAGCGCCACAGAGGGGGTTCCTGATGTGCATTTTGTAAACACAAGACTGGTACCACACTGCTACCAAGAAGGGGTATGCGGCCTACGTAGTGGTTTTCTTTAAGCTGGTGTTGTGTCTATAGTCCCTGGTACATGGGAGGCTGAGGCCAGAGGGGCACTTGAGCCCAGGAATTCAAGGATATTCTGGGCAACATAGCAAGACCTCATCTTAAAAACAACAAACAAACAAACAACAACAACAACAACAAAATAGTATTCCTTAGAGCTATATTTTCCAGACCTAACCTTCCAATGCTGGTTCCCAAACTGGTCAGCCACATCAGAATTATCTGGAGAATGTCCTCAAATTTCCAATTCCTGGGTCACATCCCTGATGGAACTAATCCGTCTCCAAGTACAGGGCCTGGCACTCTGTATTTTCACCTCCCTGGGTTCAATCCCCAGCACCACGTGGCAGGGGCGGGGGGTGGGTATTGCATAGGATAAAAAAAAATGGGTCCACTATTCAGAACTTTAAAAGGTCCCTGGGCTCTGGAATCTGTAAGTGATGAACACTAGAGCATTCCCCAAGCTCATTCCATTATGGAAACCTTCTCATTTCCTGAGGAAAGCCCAGCTCACACCTTACTGCCCCCACTCCATTGCATTTCACCTTCATGGTTGTATCTGTGGTTCTTTTTTTTTAGCTAAACGTGTATCTTAAACTGATACCCATCTTCTCTGGGTGATTGCTTGGCACAATGCCTGGTGCTTCAAGATTGAGGAAAGAAAAGGAGCCGATCTTGGTGGGAAGTGCAGGGGACTCAGAATTAGTTGACCTGATGGCCATTCCTAGCTGCTGGATCTGCAAGTCATTTCAAAGATAGTCTGAGTTCCTGGATCCTTGACTCTAAGATGAGGCTGGAAAAACCTGAAACCTCAGTGTTGCCATGAGACTAAAGAACAAAGGCCAGGCAGCACCCAGCACAGAGTAGACACTTACTCAGTGGGATGCTTCTGCCAGGCACGGTGGTACAGGCCTATAATCCCAGCAACTCAGGAGGCTGAGGCAGGAGGATTAAAAATTCCAGGCCAACCTTAGCAACTTAGCATGACCCTGTCTCAAAATAAAAATTTTAAAAAAGGCTAGGGTCTAGCTCAGTGGTAGAGCTCCCCTGGGTTTAATCCCTGGTATCCCCACACCAATACTTCTTCATCCTGCATTTCTCATCAAAATGGCATGTTCTTTTTAAGAGGTTGATGGGATGGTGATTTTTTTCTCATTTTTTACTTTTTATGGTAGAAAATTCCAAAAATCCACAATAGTAGACATTTATCCTATCCTTGGCCAAAAAAAAAAAAAAATAATAATAATAATGTATAAAAACCTACCAAAATCTTGCTGATGAATAATAGGTATCTAAAAAATAATTTTTTAAAGATGGACACAATATCTTTATTTATTTTTACTTATTTTTATGTGGTGCTGAGGATCAAACCCAGTGCCTCGCATGTATGAGGCAAGGGCTCTACCGCTGAGCTATAATCCCAGCTCCTAGAAAAATAATTTTTAGTCTATAGCAAATGTTTATAAAGTGACATTGATAATTATTTACAAACTAAAAACTAAAAAAAAATGGAATAAAACAGCAGTGTGAAGTCTCCACTGGCGCCTGCATCCGCCCATCCCCAACCCAAATGGGGAGTTTCAGGGCTGACGTCAGCATCTTCATAAATCCCTTGGACTGGGGTTTTAAATCCACTTTAAAGAATATATTTACTCTTTGGAGACACTTTCTGAAGGCCCTGGGATCCAGATGTGCCCCATACCAGTGTGCAGGCTTTGTGAGCTGATGAGTTACTTTATATCTGAAGCTGCACAGGGAGAAGTTTCTGATCTTTTGTTTTTCATGTCAGATTTATAGAGATTAAAAAAAAATCTTTTCAAGGCTTTGAAACTTCTCAACTTTGGCTTTTCTGTGGTTAATGGAACACATCCATCCTATTAAGATGCAATGGTCCCCCGTACCCAAGAAGCTGCACAAAGAAGTTGGCCTAGCTAATAGTGTTTTAACACTTGGGCACATTAAAGGCTCAAGCACAGAGATTCAAAGCAGCCCCGCTAAGACTATATCGTATTTATATTTTTCTTACATCATAGTAATTGCCTCAGGGATTTGAAGCTAGTCAGCGTGGTAAATTGAAGCCAAATTATACAAGAATATAACCCTCCCCAAAGAATTCCTAGCCCTTCCCTTGTTTTGCAGGAAGCTACTCACAGAATACAGCTAAAGCAGTCAGAGGGGGCAGTTCTTATAAACCATGTTTTTAAATGAACGATTAGTAAAGTGTACAATGTTATCGAAGGAGCCAGGACCTAGGTGTCCAGTTTATATAGCTGATGATGTCGAGAATGTTTCATCTCCCATCTTTATAAATGCATCAGGTCTTCCAGGACATTGGAGCATCGTGTTGGAGTGGCCCCTGTGCAAGGTTCCTTGGCTATCACTCCCAGCCTCTCTTCTGTTTAACCTGTGCAGCATTGTATAATCCTGACCAGTTTTTGTAGTGAATTAACACCGTGCAACCACTTAGTTCCATAAATTTAAGGCGAATCCCAGCAGATACATGTGTGCCTGCAAAGTGCCCCCAAAGTGAACACTCCACAAGTGTTACCTGAGTGAGTAAATGAGTGAATGGTGCCCACGGGCCACATTTGACTGCAAGGACAGTGAGGAAGGAAGAATCCCTGACTTTATGATTTGACCTCTGAGTGATCATCAGGTACCCCTAATGTGTCCGCTGTGTTCAGGAGTAGTGGCATTGTTTAGGAGTGTTCGGAGAGGAAATAAAGGACTACTTGTCTTCTTAAATGTGTATATCTTTGGACTCAACAAATTTACTTTTTTTGTGTCTGTGTGGTACTGGGGAGCTTTGCTACTGAACGACTTACCCAGTCCTTTTTAATTTTGAGACAGGGTCTTGCTAAATTGATGACAACCTCAGTAACTTGTTGAGGTTGGCCTCAAACTTTCAATCCTTCTGCCTCAGCCCCCTGAGTGCTGGAGTTATAGCTGTGTGCCATCTTCCTTACCCAACAAATCTACTTTTAAGGGTATATCCTACAGGAAAAGTCTCACAGTGTACAATAATACACATAGGGAAGGGACAATTATTGCAGGATAGTTTCTAGCAGCAAAAATTAAAACAACCCTAATGTCCATTGACAGGAGATGGGATCAATAAAATAGGGC